TAGTTTTTGTTTGCATTCCTGGATTTGAAATGCCACGAGAGGATTCGTGGAGTGAGTGGGGATGAAGCGGTATGGTGCCATCGCTCAATCACCAGAACTCAGGCCAATGGGCGGTTCATGATCTGAGATGACACCGATCCATTTTTGTCTTCTCTGCAAGTACAAAGATATATGATTTTCTCTTCCTTCTTCGAGAATTTCAAGACACTCACCGAATAGCGCCCATGTAGAGGCAAGAGGAGAGCTACATGATTGTAGAAAGCCTGCATTGACGGAAGGAAATCATGTCCCGTAACGAAAACGCGTGATCAAGCCTGAGGTATCTGAACGAAAGGGAAGTAAATTGCTCGTAGATATGCCCTTTTCTCACCACAAGGGTCCAGTCGATAACCCACTTCCAACACCACCAACCCCGGTTATCCCACTTGGCACATGGTCAATGGAATGTACCTGCGAGATGTCTGTAACATGCAATGCAAGTTAAAATTTGAGCTTCTTCCAATTTCAGTTTCAAGGCCACAGAACTATAATATGCATTGCTTGCACCAGGTTGCAAGGATGTAGGAGTATAACACAACACTGAGATGCTTCACCCCCTGCAATTAGAACCAACTGCTCGCTTGAACAAGATCCGACCTTATTATGTCATATGATCTGATGAAACAGGGTGGCACCACCTGCTGCATAGCGTGACGACCGAAGAACTTAGTATAAATGGGTCAATAGCCAGCTCTCGCGTCACCGCTTCACATACCGACCATCATTCCTAACTCATCATTAGAAAGTACTGAATCTCAATTGAACGATGAGCGGCCTTGTGAGAACCGGTATGTTCCGGGCAGTGCGCCCAGCCGCACGCAGCGCGACATTCGTGGCACGTCCAGTAGTAGCAGCGACTCTCACCAGCCGTCGAAACTTCACTTCCAGTCAGCGATGCCTCTGTTCAGGCTGCACGGGCTCGTCGGGTCACAAATGCTCCCGCCATACCGCAAGAGCCGCCGCCAACCTCACATCCACTGTCAATGCCAAGAAGAGCATAGGCAAGGCCGCGCCATATGCCACCTCAAGTGGCCCTGACATCCCGACCGAGCAATGGGCACAAGTCCTGGAGGAGACTGGTGGCCGTAAGTACCCATTGAAAGCTCAATTTCTCTCAATAGCTGTTGCTGACCTTTACCGATGACCAGGCGTGGTCTACAAGAAGATCCCTGTTCCGACACCCGCTTCAGACGAGGTGCTCATCAACATCAAGTACAGCGGTGTTTGCCACACCGACTTGCACGCCGTCAATGGAGACTGGCCGCTGGCTTCCAAGATCCCTCTTGTTGGAGGACATGAAGGCGCAGGTGTTGTAGTTGCACGCGGCGAATTGGTCCAGGATGTTCAGATTGGTGATTACGCCGGCATCAAGTGGCTGCACGGCTCGTGCATGAGCTGTGAGCAATGCCGCCAGTCCAACGAATCTCTCTGCTCTGAAGCCTCGCTGTCAGGATATACTGTCGACGGATCATTCCAACAATACGCCGTGGCCAAGGCTGCCCACGTGGCACGAATCCCGAAGGACTGTGACCTCAAGGCCGTGGCGCCCATTCTCTGCGCCGGACTGACAGTCTACAAGGCGCTCAAGTCATCCAATGTCCGACCTGGACAAACCGTCGCTATTGCCGGAGCTGGCGGTGGCCTTGGAGTCTTCGCCATTCAATACGCCAAGGCCATGGGCCTGCACGTCATCGCCATCGACGGGGGTGAAGAGAAGCGCAAGGTCTGCCTGGAGCTGGGCGCCGACACCTTTTTTGACTTCAAGACAACACAGAATTCCGTTGCTGATATCCGTGCGGCCTCGGGCGGACTGGGCCCTGACGCTGTACTGCTTCTGGCCGCCAGCGAGAAGCCCTTCCAAGAAGCAAGCCAATATGTGAAGAGCAAGGGCTCTATTGTGTGTGTCGGCCTGCCAGCCGGCGCATTTGTCAAGGCGCCTGTCTTCGACACCGTCGTTCGGTATGAACTCCCTGGTAGCTGATATTAAGGACCAAGCAAACTAACAACTTCTTATAGAGAAATCAGCATCAAGGGAAGCTACGTCGGTAACCGACAAGATACTGCGGAAGCCATTGAATTCTTCAGGAGAGGGCTCATCAAGGCCCCCATTGAGTAAGTTTCACACAATCTGGTTTCAAGACAAAACTAACTGTTTCTTCCAGGGTCGTTGGCCTGTCAGAACTTCAGAAGGTGTATGACCTGATGCAGAAAGGAGCAGTTACTGGTCGCTATGTTGTTGACACAAGCCGGTAGTAGTCTATATTCCTTAGAAAAATTTTTATCTGGCGCTCGGGTGGTGGTTGAATATGGGGACTTGCTCAACACGTGTGTCTGATATCTGGCTGAGCAATGATGAACATTTATCAACAAATATATATTTCGATGGAACGTATTTCATAACCTTGATCATCAATTGGGTGTATTTTACAATCAGCCTCAGTGATTCTTATGGAAAGGGTCTGGTCTTCATTGGTGTGTTAATGTGTTGTGGTACTGGGTATGATATCAAGTTGTTGAATTCTTGGTGCTTGGGAATCCTCCCCCTTTTTTTTCAGCAACTACCGCATATCTATATAGTTCTCGCACTCACTAATACTTCATTGATGTGATCACTCACACTTATTTCTCAATGAAAAGCTCATAGTCCTAAGGGGAGGCAAAGGGTGTAGATGGTAGATGTACAATAAGCATCATCTGAGCTCACGTGAAATTCAGCTATGCAGCATGACTCATGCTTCTTGTAGACCAGCTAGTCAGGTGATGCAAATGCAATACCGATGTGTCAGGCCAGTACTGGTGCCTTACCTAAATATGAACAGCGATACAATGATTCTAAACGGTGCCCTGAAATAGCGTAAGGTACGGCCTTTACCACGCATGTTTCACAAGTTATTCAAAGACATTAAGCAATTTAGTAACTAAATGCCAGGTCGGATGAAGGTTTGTATATAATTAACACTAAAAGGTATGGGCCCAAGGAAAATCTCTGCTGTGAGCGAAGTCGGGGCAAACCTTCCGATCGGTTCCCCATGTCATGTCACATCTACGTCTTGCAGCGTTATCTAGATGTGGCAAGCTGCATAAGCTCTATGAGTACTTACTCAGGTCAGGTGGCCACCCTCACGATTGCGAAGCAAAGTGCTTGTTTGTAAACTGAGCCCTCCGCGGGCACCATTCGGATTCTAGATGCATAAATGCACCGATGGCCATGCTTGGGCCTGCATTATATTGAAGCAGCCACAAATTCTAATGCTTATCCAGCTCGCTATTTGTCCACGTTTGTACAAGATTGACACGTCCTGAGACAAAACACGGCCCAGAAGCGCCCAGCTGAGCCACCAAGCTGAGTTCCGCCTCGTATTCATGCATACTAAAAACGCCAAGGAGCATTTTCACCGCGAAACTAGCGATGGGCGCCTGATGGGCTCTCTGGGGCTGAATGCAGCTTTCAGCTTACCCCTCGGCATCATGCAGGCGGTCTTAGGTGCATGAAGCTCGGCAGGAGTTGTAACTACGGTGAACGGTCGCTAAGTCAACGGTATCATTGAGTTTCAATTCTGAACACTGTTGCTACTTTTCATCACTATCAAAAAAGACCTAATGATGTACGATCTAGCTACAGTTCATGACCTTTGTCTGCTCATTCGCCGTCCAATTTCAATCATGCTACCTCTTTGCACAAACTCCGACAGGGCGTCCCCAAAACTGGCAAGAATAATCAATACAACAATAAACAGGCTTCGTGCCGGGAGGGATCGCGCCCCCGCAGATACCTACAGATTTTTTGTTAGTGCTGCAGGTCCCTACTGAAGCTGATGACAGTGACAACGAAGAAATGCTCATACCGGCTTTCGAGCACTCTCTCTTCTCGAGGGGGGAGGCTTCTTCGGTAGCAGAAATGTCAACGACAGGGGAGGCTACGGCGGAAGCGACAAGCCATGCAAAGGCAAACGAAGTAATGGAAACTCTCATGTTGGATAATATTGGTGAGATGATGGATATCAAGTGAGATGAATGGGTAAATGGGAGTTAGAGGAAACAAATCATGCCAAAACTTTGGGATAGGGACATGGTATATATAGGTATCTAGGTAGTCCAAGTAGAGGACAGAAAAGACTATGTCCCGTCTTACCGACAGCCGATAAAGCGGACCGCGCAGGGTCGAACGTTCAGGTGGTGTGGAACGAAGACAATTCAGTGCTGATAGTCTTGGCAGACCTTGTCGACGCATTTTGGGGTTCTGAACATATTCGGACTTTCGTCAATAACAATAATGCAACCATGGTTATGACAAAGGAATCTAAGGCCATTCGAAGTGTTCAGCAAAGTCTAGATCGATTAGAATATTAGATCCAGGGGCAAACCATGTCTTTTAGTAGACTTAGGCTCCCAAGCAATAGCGGAAATTATACTAGCTACACCCTCAATGTCGTAGGTAGCGAATATGTACCCCTCATAGGCTCTTCTTATTATGCAAGTCAGCGAGACTGTTCGAGCCTAATCCTACGCTGACACTTTTGTGAGCTTCAGCTGGGCTCCAGCTGGCCTCGACCCCGCCCTTTTGCTCTTTGCGTCTCTTCGCCCAATTTCCCTTTTCTTTCTCCACGACGCTGTATCAATTCCATCAATACGTCACCTTGTCTCTAATATTAGTGGTCCACAGCCTTGCCGGCCATTGTCGGTAACGAACGGAGGTCATCCTTCGCTGGCGAAAGAACCCAACTGTCATCTTTGTGGCTGAGCACTAGGCAGGGACCTCCGCATCGCTGCCTCGGACGTCCTAAACCTACTCCCTTTGACAGTCTTCGGGACTCCTTCGAGTGTCACAGATGTATGACCCCGTCTAAGTGAATAGCTGTACTATAAGTCACGGCAGTCGCGGAATAACCGAATCATTTCCCGACCCCCGTCTACCCTGACCTGAAGATCGAATGGATCCCCTCGTTGTCATTGAGTCCACAATGGCCGTCGTTCAAGCCATCTATGATATATATTTAAGGACACATCATCTCAGAAACCTGCCGAAGGGGTTTCATGAAGTGTGCAGGGACCTCCCTCTTGCGCAAGACACTCTGCGTCTGGTTGGTCAACAACTCCGAGGTCTGGCCTTGGATGGATCATCCGTGAAGGCCCTCAGGCCTCTGGTCATCGAGTGCCAAGGGACGGCCACATCGCTGCTGTACATTTTCAGGGAGTTCGAAAAAGAGGTGAAGAATTTCAATGACAGATCCTTGCTCGACTTCTCTCGCATGTCCTATGACATGTCCTATGACACGTCCCCTCGGTTCCGCTGGGAGCTGTCAGATCAGGAAGAGACCCTAATGGGAGATTTCTTGAGACGCTTGAATGAATTATCTAACCTTTGCCAACAAGAAGTTCAATCCAACGAAGACCAAAAGACTCGAGTTGATATCCTCCGGAAGCTTTATACCTCACCGTATCTGGACAGGAAGGACAAGAATCCATATCGGGTCCCAGGGACGTGTGAGTGGTTCGTAGGCCACCGCGACTTTCAGAGATGGCGAGAAAGCAAATCGTCAAGCATGCTCTGGGTATCCGCAAATCCCGGGGCCGGAAAGTCCGTTTTGGCAAAATACCTGGTTGACTCTGAGCTTCTTGAAAGTACGGGGTCCAGAACGATCTGCTACTTCTTCTTCAAGGATGATTTCGAGGACCAGAGGAGCGCGAAAAGCGCTATCAGCTGCATCCTCCATCAGCTTTTCACGCGAAGGGAGCACCTTCTCTCTGACGAAATTGTCAAGCGGCTCAAAGCCCATGAAGCGAATTCAGCCCGCTCGTTTGATGAACTCTGGGAGCTCTTGCTTATAGTTTCTCAGGACACATATATTGGCGAGTTAGTCTGTATTCTTGACGCATTCGATGAATGTGAAGACGAAGAACGGATCAAATTTGCCCAAGCCTTGCGTATGTTCTATGGCATGAAGAATGACGCAAAGGATAACGCCAACTTGAAGTTTCTCATAACAAGTCGGCCCTACAACAAGGTCAGACGGGATTTCCAGTCTCTCGATGTTTTGGGATTCCCTGTCATTCACTTGAAAGGTGAAAGCGACGCTGAGACGCTGAAAATTACCCAAGAGATCGATATCTATATAGAAGACAGAGTTTCGCGCATCCGGGAAACTAGGGGTCTCGAAACAGCCGAGGAGCGGCTACTCTTGCAAGAGCTCCGGCGGTTTCCTAACCAGACATATCTATGGGTTCACTTCTTCTTGGAGTCGATCGAAAGAGGGAGATACTTCAGTGATTATAAGATTCGCAAGGCCGCTTCCTCACTTCCACGAAACGTCGATTACGCGTACGAAAAGCTCTTATCTAAGAGCCAAAATGTTGAAGAAGCCAAAAGACTCTTGCATATTATAGTCGCGGCAAGACGGCCCTTGACGCTAGCAGAAATGAACGTCGCATTGGCTCTTAAGAAAAATCACACGTGCTATAGCGACCTCCACCTCATGCCAGAACTGCGCTTCCGCGACTATATCACAGACCTCTGCGGCCTTTTCGTAACTGTCATAAACTCGAAAATTTATCTCCTTCACCAGACTGCGAAAGAATTCTTGGTCCGGAAAAGCGATTCGAATCCCAGAAGGGAACGGCTCACATGGAAGTACTCACTCAGTCTTCCAGAGTCTCATCGCATTCTTTCTCAGATCTGTATCTGGCACCTCCTCTTTACTGAGTTTGAGACCCATCCTCTGAGCGTAAATCTGGACGGAGATCTAGAAGGGGAGGTATCCCGCTACCTTCATGGCCATGTCTTCCTTGACTACTCTGCTACCAATTGGGCTGCCCACTTCCGATTGTCAGATAAAGGAAATGATGTTGAAACGAGGGATTTAGTGTGGCAAATCTGTGATCCAAGCTCGAGACGTTTTAGGACTTGGTTCAGGATCTACTGTGCGAGCGTACAGATGGACTTTTCCGAGGACATCACGAGGCTCATAATTGCCTCACATTTCGGACTTGATCAAATTGTAAAGTCTCTGATTGACATGGACGATATTGAAATAGATGCTGTGGATGGCACTTATCATTTTTCAGCCCTCTTTTGGGCTTCACTGAACGGATTTGCTGGTATTGTGAAGCTGTTGATCGAGGGTTCTATGCTTCCCTCGGATCTAAGAATTTTTGAGAAAGGCGCGGACGTCAACAAAATGGATAGGTATGGTCGAACGCCGCTATCATACGCTTCTTTGAATGGTCACATGGACGTCATAAATCTGTTAACTGATGCAGGAGCCCGTGTCGACTCAAAAGATGAGTTTGGGGGGACTCCAGTTTCCTATGCCCTTTGCTGTGGACATACGGCTGTAGCCGACCAGCTGATGAAGGGAGCGCAGATCGATTCAGTGGATAAAATCCTCCAAGATCTGCTCTTCTCCACTGCCGAGAAGGGTGAGGATCTCATCGTCGAACGACTACTCGAAAATGGTGCTGCCATAGAGGTTGTAGATAGTAATGGCCGGACGCCGCTCTCGTGGGCTGCTGCGGGCGGGCACGAAGCCATCGTTAAGCTTCTAGTCGACAGGCGCGCTATGATTGAGACGATGGATAGCAATGGGCGGACACCGCTGTCGTATGCCGCCGAGCACGGCAGCACGGCCATTGTGAAGCTGTTGCTAGACAAAAGCGCCACCACTTTGGTGGTGGATAGCAACGGGCGGGCACCGTTGTCTTATGCCGCCGAGAATGGCAACATGGATATTGTACAGCTGTTGCTAGATAGAAGCGCAGCCAACTTGGTGATGGATGGCACTGGCCGCACGCCGCTGTCATATGCTGCTGAGAAGGGGCATCAGGCTATCCACAGGCTATTGCTTGCAACTAGCAAAGCCGAAGTTAGAAGTGAGTGCAAAATTCACGAAACTCAACTCAACTTCTGAAAACGTTACTGAGCCATAAGCTGTAGGTAAACTTGACACGATCGAACTTCATTCTCTTGAGCTTGATCATCAAGTCCAGGGCTATCTCCTTGATCCTGGTAGCTCAGATGCAGGTAACGCAACTGAGATGATCTCCAAACCCGATTCTGGGTATGCAAGTCTTGACAGTGGAGGGAATTCAACCAGGAATGACAGCGATACAGCCTCGCTTTACTCTGTCGGCATATTTATTCCTCAAAGTTTGCAAGACACTTACGTGGACGAGTTTTCTCAACAACTCTTACATGAACTCCAAAAACTTTCGATGGTCAAGGAGTTACCTGAGGGGTTTTATGGGGTTCTGCTTCCCGAATTACTGAAAAGCTTCTCCCGAAGGCTTCATGGAGAGTCTACAAAAAGAGCCCAACGAGAAGCTTCAGTATTTGTCCATCGTCATAGAAGGTGCGTAATAGTAATCTTTGTGGCCTCTTTACTAATGCTTTTAGTAGGGATATTGTCAAATTTGTTGCCCAAACTTTTCCTGGAGACTCTCATAGCCAAATCAGTGACAACGACATACTCGAGAAGGAAACGGGAACAAGCGGAGCACGAGTAACAGAAATAGAAGGATCACCTGATGATGTTGATTATGAGGAAGTCATACCGCTTCGAGAGCCGTTCAGGAAGGATGCGCATGAAATTACGCACTGGGTGTCCTCCCTCGACAGTCGTACTTCATCAGAACCATTAGGCGCGGTTGGCGATATTGACAGTCAAACTCAATCGCGAGACTCTCCACTACCGCAGATTAGAGACTATCGATCATTTATTGAGACATCACGCGCATATCAGTGGCTTTTATCATCATTGCGGAAGCACTTGCAACTGGACATGCCGGATCCAAACTTGATGTATGAAATCGGTGAATTCATCCGGAGAAAGCTCTTGGAAGACGATACGATGAGAAAGCTGAGCCGGAGGCAAGCTCAACCCTCAGTCAAGATGTCCTTTGGCCTGGAATGGGACCTTAAAAAGTTTATTATCGACCAGGAGTACGTGAATTCCGGCACAATTATCCTAGAACATATTCTCTGTGTTACTGGCACCCGACGATGTGCCCAAGCAACAACCGTCCAGGAGTATTTTGAGCAGACTTGGCCTGGCGGATACCATCCTCTCATATCTCTTTTGAACAAATTTCTATCATCCACCCAATGTGCTTCATGTGATCGTAAGTTCGGTTGACATCTTCACCATATTTGGATGGCTGCTTACAGAACACTTCTTAGTCGAATTGCCAGACGGAACATCGCTGAGCATAACACAAGGCCAATCACAATGTTTCATCGTTGTGAGAGGAGGATTCGAGTTTGTTGCCGAGATTGGCGAGCAACTGGGATGGCTAGCTTCTGCTTTACGCCCTTCAGAGCTCCCCGAGGGCGTACTTTCTTGCGTACCCCAGATCTCGTCGATTGATCTCCATGGCCAAAGCACCTACAAGGGCAACATCACAATAAATGCGAGTTGTCGAATTACGTTCTCTATGAATAGAATAAATGACTCTAATCCTTTGCTGCCTGGATTTTGTTGGGCTAATATGTTTCGAAACCCGGTGGTCGTCGCAGGCTATCCGATTCGTCATCGCGACCAGGGCGACACTGGTCTCGAAATTCCGCTCGAAGCCATGGCAGGACTTGTCCAATCCAACCAAGTGTTTAGCATAGATGGGAATATCATGCTAAAAGGGTTCTGTTCGCTTCTAGTTGTGACAGCTATTATAACAGACACTGCCATGTGGCATTTCTTGTTCAACGCAGATGGCGAGCGAATCTCTTATTGCGACACACGACTGGAGGGTCCTGAGGGAATGCGGATTGTCACCCACAAAGGCCTAGAGCTAAAAGATCTCGAATCTCGCCGACACGTCGTTGGGTGGTGCTCATCCGTCAGAGAGTTCACAGGTAAGCAGTTTGAAGAAGTCACCCCCTGTGTTCACCATCCTGAATAACTCTCTGTACAGGACACCCTCAAGCGGGATTTGGCGTAAAACGCTCTATCCTGCCCCATTTTCCAAGCTCGATCGTGATTGACAGGTTGTATGTTGAGGGTGGTTTTCACGTGATCGGTGGCATTTCTGTGTCACCTGGCAAACGCGACAAACCTCTTCGTCTAGCCAAGGCAAGGGGAAATTTAGCAAAGCTAGAGTGGATATATTCTCAAGCCTTGGTTTTAATGGATGTTGACGATCGAAGAGCATGGCTGGTCGATGGGGCATCCGGTTTGTTGCACCTAGTTCGAGCCTCGATCGAGCAAAACCGGAACCATCCAGCATATAAGTCCAAGTGGAAATTCTCAGGAGCACTCAAGCTTGAAGGTGATGATTGTCTGGGGTTGGGCGGGGACCATGGGGTGACCGCTGTTGAAATACTGGGAAATACCGAGAACCTCAACGTTCAGCTGTACGTTGATGATGTGAGGCCGGATGCGAGTGGACAACTGGTTGAAGTCCCCTACTGCCTCCGTGACAAGGTTCAAGAGATTCTACCTCACCTCGAAGCACTTATAGACAAGCAAGCTGAAGTTGCTGCCCAGGACGGTTATTGGATCCGTTCACCGAGTAAACTGTTAGAGAAGAGTCTTGCAGGCTGGGATTTCTGGGATATCGCAGGACCTGCCGGTCCAGTCCAGCGAAGAATCTATCATTTGCAAGCAAGCGGTCATGGGTGGGTTGACTACATCCGGTCTATCAAAGCCGTCACCATCTTCGGGAGAGGGTTTGGAGAGTTGCTCGAGCCCGAAAAGCAAAAGCTTTGCCCAAACTGGATGACTGTTCCCAAGAACAAGGATTACTTGGGTACTTCAATTGCAACATTGAAACATATCGATGCATCGAGTAACACCCAGCTGGTGGATCAGGGGTCGATCGCTACGGACATAAAGTGGTTATCACAGGCTACGCTCTTCTCACCATGTGCTTGTTTGGATCCGAATGGAGCTAAACCTTCAAACCATCACGATCCAGTCCAGCTACTCTTACCAAAGGGTTTGAATCTTCACCTCGATATTCCCAGCACGTGTTTGAGTATCACTATAGGAAGCATTGAGCACAATGGGGCGGTTGTGTTTGGACACACGCCGTACAGGCGCCCGTGGCCTAAAAGTAAGAATGCGGATGACCAAGCCGATAGCGAATCTACTGAACCGCCTTCGTCTGCTTCAAACAGCACCCAGCCCAGAGTTGGCCACTCAGATGAGTCAGGACTATTCGAGATGTCTTCGTCATCTTCACGTGCACAGCCTACCTCGGCTAGTCGTCCAGTGACGTTGAAGAACCCCGCGAAGTCCAAAGTGAAGGACAGATGGTCTTGGCTTAAAAAGCTCAGTCGCTAGTTGTCCTAAAAACCCAATATTATAGGCTGAGCTCAAACATACCGATTTTTATTCTAAGTAATGGCTTCCTGGCGAGAAATGACTCACGCTGATATCGTGGGTGTCTTGCGCGTTGCGTCTGAGATCCATCCTGACCTCCCAGAAAGCGCCGGTGTCTTTTCTGAGCGCCTTTCATTATTTCCCGATGGCTGTCTGGTCCTAGCCCAAGGAGACGACATCTGTGGCTACGCTGTTTCGCACCCGATCCGAGCAGGCCTCCCGCCGGCTCTGGATCATCAGATCGGGGAGATCCCGCCCGATGCAGACCAGTATTACATCCATGACCTGGCTATTCTGCCTCGTGTTCGGACTCGCGGCCTTGGCGCACACTGCATTGAGAAACTCCTCCTCGTGGCTGACGGGTATCAAACAACTTGCCTCATCTCGGTGTACAACTCGGCATCTTTCTGGCGCCGGTTTGGGTTCGTTCCTGAGCCGACTGACACAGCTCTTTCAGCCAAAATACGAGGATACGGGCAAGACGCTGTATATCTGGTCCGACGGAAAAGCTAGTCAAAGCCTACAACAATGTACTTAGCCATACTTTCCTAGGTGACGGGAAAAAAACAAGGGCTCCAACACCGGAGGAAGTAGTCATCTAATGTTATTCGGTGTACTATAGTGCATCATGTGCGCTGTTTTTATAACAAGAGGAACAGGAAAATTTAGACATCCCACTTGAACGAATGCGGTCTGTCAGATCTTCTACGGAATGGCAGAATCAAGGCACGCGGTGGTTGCAAATTTAACAAGAAGGAATGTCAGTCACAGCTCCTAAATCTGAGAAAATATAAATAAGTCTTCATGCCACTTGCTATCAAATATAAGTTTTTGGGGAAATTTCCCTATCCAGTATCTTCGGATAGAACAACCCGGGATAAAATATCAGGTGACATCTGTAGTGGCTGCAGATATAAAGTGCCGTCCCCCGCAAACTATCTTGTGTCAAAAAAGCGCGCTCCGGAATATCAATTAATTCAATCATGGCCCACGTCTCTTGTTTCTGTGGAGGCGTCACCCAGAATGTAAGACCAAAGATTTCAACAGCTTCCAACGGCATAGCATTGTCTCTATGCCACTGCAACACTTGCCGACACACCACAGGGCTGCTTTGCACCTCTTATCTCCCCATTCAAGAGCCTGAAATATCGGCTAATCTACGAATCTTCCGCACATCGGGCAAGTCAGCGAGATATTTCTGCCGTATCTGTGGATGTCATATTTTCCGCAACGAGGAGTATAATAGAGGCGAGGCAGAATGGGGAGTAGCCACCGGTGTGGTCTCAAGGACTGATGACGATGTGATTGGGGAGGTGAAATTTACAGACCACAAGCACGTGTCCGACACCAAGGATGGTGGAATTGCAAAATGGATCTCATTCGAGGACAAAGAATGGATATCGGAAGAAGCAGACAGGCCGGAGATTGACTCAGCACAATCAGAGTCTCTAGAGGCGGCTTGCGCATGTGGCACTGTCAGGTTCCATCTCACACGCCCAGATGCCGCCAGCCTGGTCCCAAGACGCAACTATCCCGACCTCACACACGCATATTGTGAGACTGCCGCATCCATATTATCAAATGTCTCCGATGAGAAATGGTGGGTTCGAGGAGGGAAATATCTCGCAGGGACCTGCGCATGCCAATCCTGCCGTTTGGCCTCAGGTTTTGAGATTCAGACCTGGACATTTGTTCCGCGAGCCAATATATTCATCCAAATACCAGATAGAGAGACAACAACAGCAAATATTCCGCTCGATTTCGGCTCTCTTCCCCCCGGCATACTGCAGGGTTATAAGTCGTCACCAGCAGTAACTCGAGAATTTTGCGGAACATGTGGTGCTACTATCTTCTGGCATGAAACTGAAGACACCGAGGTCATTGATGTGAGTGTGGGACTTCTAAGAGGTAGCGATGGAGCATGCGCAGGAAGCTGGCTAAAATGGTGGAAAGATCGTGTCAGTTTCGTTGAGGAAGTTCAATCTGGCCGCAATGGGCCCTTCGCAACTGCGGCAAAGAGCCTCATTGACACATTGTCCAATGGAATGAAGGGTGAACTAGTGAATCAATATACGACATGATTTTTTTAATTTCTTAATCTTGTTTCCTGAATTGGTAATGCTTTACTGAAGAAAAATGCTCTCCTGTATTACGCTTCGTTACTGATGAGAGTTCGGGTATAAAGTCAAAAGCAGCAATGAAAGACTTCAGACCTGGCATCTCAACGAAATAGATACAAAGGCAATAATAAGCGTTGTTAGCCTATGGCTGTAGTCATGCGGAAGCAAAACTCTGTAAACATTCATCATACAGAAGGAAAACTCTGCGAAGATAGGTGTTATGCAACTTTTCACCATTCGCTAGGTACACTGTGGCTTCTCATTTCATTCATGTGGCGGTTGCCTGATACAATATGTTCTTATTGGAACCCAGAAATGCGTTTCAAGAAATTAAATCTATTGATCTCTCGCATAGGATAACAAACAATTATCTCTGTAGGTCCAAGGGGTCGTCGATAGGAGCCAGCATCTTCCATCAAAATACATGTCTACCATCTCAAGAATCAATGGCTTACCAGCGTAGCCGTGCAGCCATTATACCATCACACCAACCGAATCTGCCCTACTGTTTCTTCCACTTCTTAGCAAGTAGCGAACGCCGAGCCTACACCTCCAGAAACCCATTCCTCAAGTTCTTTGTAGGCCTCATGAAGATTTCTATTCACGATAATGATATCATGAAAACCCGGGACCTTGGCACGCTCCATCTCAACTTTGGCCAATTCCAACCTCCGCTCGATGCTCCTAGCCGATTCCGTGCCGCGATTGTGCAGCCTTTCCTCGAGAACTTGAAGACTCGGAGGGGAAATGAAAGCAAATCTCATGTCCATAGCTTTGTTCATCTTGATTTGTGTAATTCCGCTCATCTCGATTTCCAGGACGGGTATTTTGCCCTTGGCCTGTTGGTCCTTGATCGTCTGTCGGCTAGTTCCGTAGTAGTTGCCGGAGAAAAACGTGTATTCCACAAAGGCATTATTTTTAATGAGGATCTCGAACTCTCGTATGCTGACGAAATGATATGCATCGTGATTCACTTCGCCAGGTCTTGGTTGGCGTGTTGTATGCGAGACGGTGGAGGCCAGAGTGTCGTGATAACGCTCCAGGAGCCTTCCGAGCAGTGTTCCTTTCCCAACACCTGATGGGCCAGATATAACAATAGGTCGGCGATCTTGATATAAATTGACAATTAGGTCAAGGTCAGTAGGGTGGGTGTCAAGTTCAGACGAACCGAAAGCCATTGCGCTCCCTCTTGAGTCGATGTACGTGTCACGAGTGATTTGTAGGGTACAGTGGTTTGGCGTCACAAAAAGCGATTGACGCGAGGAAATGCTTCAAACATGCGGGGTTGGGGGTGGTCATGATTTATACAAAAACCAAGGTCTGTTCATATGACTCACTGTCACACCAACGGCCACGTAAAATTCCAGTCAAACCAAGCCAACCATGATACTTAAACATTGGGGGCGAAACTCAGAAAGCGCGAGAAACGCGACAGAATATACAAACCAGTCATGACTTGGCTACATTCAATGTTGAATCCTACTGCTGGTAGGTCTACTTGATTGTTCCTCGCGTCACTGTCATGTAAGAATATGAATGCTTCTCACATCCACTCATCTAACCCGGATTTCTCCTCATCGGAAATCAACACCTCGCGACTAAAGCTTTCCAAGATTGAGTTTGTGCCCAGTAGGTACTAATTCAGGCACCTCACGGTCGTTTGTGTGACTTGACTCAAACCACTCACGGGCCGGGCTCGCCTATAAATTTCAGACCGAAGCAGCCGTAGAATCGAAATTCTGTATTCCATTTTTTTTTCCTGATTACCATCAATCCCATTCTGCAAATTATCACGCCATCAATTAAAGCAAAAACCTTCACCATGTGCGATCGACTCTACGAAGTCTGCACCCGATGCAGCAAGGCCCTCGGCCCAACCACTGACCGACCGTGTGGTCAGCCTCATATCTGTGGTGGGCCTTGGCCTTGCCCATACACAAACAATCGTTTCTGTTTTGAATGCTTGGAACAAGTACGAGCACGAGATCGGTAGTGTTGATCGCCCCTCAAGCCACCGATCCTGAGCCCAATGGCGCGGAGGAGGGCGAAGTATCTGGGAGCCCAGACAACCGTTCCGCCGAAACTATTACCTTCGGTTCTAAATATCTGCACCGGTTCTCAGATTATGAGAGTCTCCAGGATATAGATCTATTAGGCTAGAAAAATACAAAATTTCTCACGAGATATAAGTGCCGATACAGTGATAAACGCAGTGAATTTATGTCTTATATTTCAAGAATTACAGGCCCTCGCCATGGAATTCTGGCTGTTCCAGGTTCAAGGAATCCAGATCAATGCCCCCAACAGCCCATTCAGGATAGACCCATCCAAACATTGATCTGAGGTCGCCCGATTCGGCCGTTTGGAAATCTGAAGCTGCTTCGAAATTCATTGGCGTCGGGTAGTTCAAGTACTCCGAGGGCACGGGTGTACCAATCTGCGGATCAGAGATATACTCCATGCTAGGGATTGAGGTTGATTCCGAAACGCCCTAACAAGATCAATAATGAGTTATGATTTTCTTTCGATTTATTCCTAAGAATGACGATCGACTTCCTCACCATTTGAAAAGCTCCATGTGGTGCAACAAACGCTTGTTGCTGCGGTAGCTGATCCATGTCTTGGGTCACCGTCGACTCCGGCATCATCGTCACCGGCAAGCTGGGAGGATCCATCGGCATTTGTGACGATTGGAGCTTAGCTTGCTGACTCTTCCAGTAGTACTCTCTTGCGATCTCTGCAAATTCTGACATAATGGTGCTTGGCATCGCTCGATCAGACGCAAGAGAGACGAGGCTGAAGTACCCTGCCGCTGAGTCCAGCAAGGATAGGTTCGTCCTTGATTCACGGTGATACGGATTGTGGATGACAAAGTCAAAGAGTATGAATACTCCCGCCAGAGGCAGGACGGTCAAAATGCTTGTATTGTGAGTCAGCTCGTGTGCTCAACCCCGCGGAGTTTGGCATGGCGTGACTCACAAAATAGGAACATAAGGCTGCACATCAATATGCTTCGTCAACTCAATAATCGTTCTTGCTGTATTCATCAACCTCTGCTTGCTCATTTGTCCCTTGTCACCCTGCTCGAGCTCAAGGTGCAGAGTAAGACGCTCGAGGGCAATTATGATATGATAATAGCTGTAGTGAACCTGGAGCGCGATGAGTGAAATGCTCACAGTCGTCGGCGACGCCGGAAAGCTTGCTGAATCTCCGGGCCGGTAGTCGGCTGGTATTGACTGGCGCCAGTCCTCGAGAATACGCCGGATGTGGCTCATTGCAATCTGGTAGGATTCTTTGGATCTCAGTGACGCACTGATCGAAAAGAGTGAGTTGTACACGATGGAGCTGATCCGCCCAATTCGAATGAAGGCGACAAACCAATTGAAGGTCCCAACCTGTGCCTCCGGAAATGCGGGAACTACACAAGCAATATCCTCGTCAGGGATAAGCTTGATCATCTTGATTAGCGGGATTTGGTGCATGGTGAATAGAAGAATCAAGCTGCGGGAATCACTTACAGAGCATGTGCGTCCATGGATAGCTTGTTGTTTCTCGAGGGCATAAATCACCCAAAACACTCTCAAGTGTTTGGGTTCAGAGACGATATCCTTATGATAGCGAAGGGTGACAACCATCCTAGCAGCCTGTGAAATGAGGGTGTCTGAGATTTGGAGGCCACAGAGATTCATAGAAAATATAGACTGCAAAAATTAGACGTCCTCTCCTTCGAAATACGTACGATCACTCACCATTGCGGCTAAAGCCTATTCATCATGCTTGAGTAAGCTAAGATATCAAAAGGTTGGAATCAAGAAGTGGGAAGCAAACCTGGACGCTTTCGATGGACTCTCGAGGGAGAATGATATCCGACATGTGGCCCAGGGCCACCTGAAAATATCGCCATGATCTTCCATTACCAGGTTCAAATGTTCCACACTGAAGGTACTGACTACCCAGAGCCAAGATGCAATGGTACAGAGCCGAAAATGCCGGGCTTTGCTTCAATATTCCATCTAGATTTGGACTAAATGCCTGGCTTTCAAACTCTTCCTGGTCAAGGAAGGGATATACCGGATGAAGATTGATAAAGTACGCTTTCTGATGTTATGACATGGATCATCTTATAGGTCAAATATTTACAATTCTCACCTTGAATATAGGAGCGAGTCTCGGTTGGCGTAGGTCGGTCTTTTTGTTCTGGTTTGTCAAAGTTGATGGGTGGCCAGATGGGTTCATCGGTAAGCCCAAGACGAGAAGCAATGTAGTCATCCAACTTCTTGACGATGTCTTGAAGACGAGTGTTGCCAATCTTTTGAGTCAATGATGCTACCTTTTGCTCAGAGAAGAACGCCAATCCAGAGCTCAAGACTACGCGATCAGTATCATTTGAATACAGCGTGCATTACTTGCGTTGTCACTCACCTTGCTCATCCGGCGCCTATATAAAATGTTGGGGTCAATACACTATCCATAGATAGCTAAAGCAATATAAAATGGAGTAGACTAACTCACCGTCAAGATGCTTGTCTCATCTGGCAGGATGACATTCTGAGGCCCATATTGAAGAAGACGATCAACAAGTAACTCATCAGGGGCTAGTTCACCAGAATATTGGGCGTGGGAGGAGAAGGAATCGGGGACTGGGCTCTGAAGCTTAGCATGGTGTACTTTTAAGAACATCAAACTGAATATGAATGACCAGAAGCCTGTGTAGATGTGATGCAATGGCTACAGGGTATGTCGCTTTACCTCGGATGCGGACTTTGCGGCGGAAGATGCTAAAGTGACAGGGTTGGCCACGTTTCTGTGCAGTAGAGCGAGATGTCAGCAAGTCCTCACGCGTGGGACCGGCTATGTTACTCACTGTACAGTAGATGCATGTTGGCGGCGTGCCAGGCGGAGTGTCGGGCACTGGGCGATGGACGAGGGCCTGGTCAGGTCATGTCACTACTGATGGCAAGTGAATCCCCGCACGCTAAATGGAGCGGGTGACTGGGAGCGCGTCTCACCGATGCACCGGATCTTGCGATGCCTGCACTGGTCGCAGGTCTTGTTCATTTTGAAGGCCAGGCGGCCCTGGCTGCTCGACGCCATGATGGCGGAGTTCAGATCTGGTCAGATGGGATGACACTGATCACGGGACGCTGTTAGGCTCGCCTCAAACTCACTCAGCCAAGCCACAGAGAGCATCATCTTGCCTTCACCAGCGAGAAGTCAGGTTATGTAAGCCTCATGGCTTATGCAGGGAACGTCCTTGCTCGGTTTGAGTAAGCCCACACATTCAACCAAGCTTGTCCCTGTCATGTCCCGTGCACAGGCAACGACGTTGCTTCTCATTGATTCAGTTACGAACACGACGCTTGACTGCTAGGGCTGACCAGAGAACTGCCCTAGAAAGCTAGCTAAGGTTGTTTGCTGACGTGTTTGCGATCTCTCTCCGTGGCCGCAAATTCGGAGGCCTGAGCAAGGGGGAGGATCAATTAAAATTAAAGGTTTCAGGATGTGCTTCATTTCAACGGACCCGAAAGGTTCCGTGCTATCAAAAAAGTATTCTGAACAATTGCAGTATACCTAATATATTAATAAATTAATGAGATGTATAAAGAAATGTGAATGTAATTTTGAACACTGGCACCAACTTGCGTAGAAAAGAAGTCTCACCAATTCTACACTCTTTCTAAGAGCTAGCAGTTATCAATGTAAAATTGGTTCCAAGGACCGACCTCAAAATCAGACAGATAATAAGCATGAGATTTGGTTTACAATCTGCCCCAGTAGTTCCATATTCTTCTGGTATGATCACCAGCATGACACCCCTGTTGACGATTCTTGAAATAAGGTGAGTGAGATAAACGAGCCTAAGATTTGGCCCATCAGAGACTGCGGGAGAAGCACCTTATGTGGAGGCGATCCGTCCGAACAGTGACACCGGCCGATGAGCCTGTTGGCCCGAAAGAGCTTAAATGTGTATTTTGGTCTTCTTTGCATCGGAGACTTCTAGATTCGGTAGATTCGATACGATCAATCAGCGTCTTACTTACATTCCCCAGGCCTTGGGTTGCATCATCTGATCGACACCTACGCCCTACTCCGGAATGCTACAAATTTCACAACAAAAGGGATTCAACATTGAAGAATGCATATTTATGATTGAGAAAATATTCACAATAATTTTACGCTTGATAAATATGCAAAAATGGTACACAAGACAGATGTCCAAGTGACAGACGCCACACTGTTTCCAACCTGACCTACATGCGCATGACACGTCGCGGGGCAGACAAAATCTAAGCGGTGTTGTAGTACATGTCGATGGACTTGATCTTGAAGACGGCATCGGCGGTAGGGGGCCCAGCAGACCAGCCAATGTCGCCGTTGGACCAGTTGTTCCAGACCCAGGGGCCGGGGACGCTGGGGACGTCCTTGGTGGTCTCGGCGACCTGGACGCCGTCGACGAACCACTGGACCCGGCCCTGGGTCCAGTCGATGCGGTACTCGTGCTCGGTGGTGGTGGGGTTGGAGGGAGGGGCGACGGAGAAGACGGTCTTCTTGCCGTCGCCGTCGTTCTCCTGGTTGGTGAGCCAGAGGTGGTTGACGCCGTTGTCGGAGGTGTTGTTGGGGTCGGAGAGCCACTCGATGTCCGTCTCCTGGGAGTCGGACTTGTAGAAGAAGATGCCTATTATTGGATGTCAGTAACGGGGATCACAGACAATTCAAGATCAAGAGGAGAACGTACCGTTGCAGACACCGGGGGTCTGGGAGAAGATGGCGACGGTGCGCACACTACCGTACAGGATGTTTCCGACGGTGGTGTCGACCTCGGCAGACTTGTAAGGCTTGGACTGGCCTCCGGGAACAGTGAGCACGAGGTATCCGTCCTTAACGGCGACGTTCTCGGCATTCACGCTCCAGTTCTCGTCAATGCCCCAGTCGGCGGCATACAGACCGTCCGGCAGGCTGCTGCCCTCGAAAGTGAACTGCTTGTGGTTGCTGAACTGGGCAGTGTCGCTAACAACGTAGACGCCGTTGTCGAAGCTGGGCTCGGCAGAGCGCTTGCTGCAAGTCGAAGCTGGGACCGACCTGGCGGCCGAGAGGCCGGCCATGGCCGCAATAAGAGCTGACTTGGAAAAGTACATGGTGAATGAATGAATGCCGGATTCAACGAAAGTGAACGAATTGACAAAGAAGATTCATACACCTCAACAAGAATCAACTCCTACAACGATTCCAGGCCATGAAGATCCTATATACCTCCCGGCCTCTTTAGACGCCCTTGGCACCTGGTGGAGCATGTAAGCAAAATGATCACCAGTTGCGGCATAGCCCATAGCTGAACTGAAACAGGGGCATCCTTCCAAAATAGCCCAGCCGGGTTCCTCGTCTCCTCTAGCATCATGCTAGTGAGCCGAGTTAGGTTCCATGGGCCGTGGCCCCAAACCCTGCCTGAGCTATTCTTACGTTACATTTGTCATTTGTTTCTCGTGGTGGCTTTCCATTGCTTCAGCCGGACTGCCGCGATTCTTGTTACTTAACCTGGGCTTGGAACCCACTCTCCAAATGAAATAACAGCTCCTCCACAACTGCCGGGCCAAACTGCTCGACTTGTCTGTGGGAACTGAAACCCTGAGTCTTGCGCCCCGGCAGTTTCGGCCCCATTGTGTTCGTACAATTGTTATTTTCAATCCGAGAAGATGTCATCGGATTTGGCCCACTTAGTCCGAGGGCATTACAACCGCGAATGGGCTTGAAATGAAGCTTGGTTCAAACGATGGATGCAGAACTGTGCCGTTGTTGTGAGCTGATTATCCCCCCGTAGATGGTGAAACCCGCTAGGATGATCCCTCCTCACTCAGATCTCGGAATTCGGTTGAGTGTATGCCATTGCCGTAGGAAGCACTAGGTAGTTGCTAGTCCGCTACGGTGCCGTAAACACGACACGTCTCTGTTCATTTGCCATCGATCTGCTGAGAGTGCTCATCTCTTACCATCACCGTGTACAATATGTGAAGAGCCTCGGAATCAGGATTTCATGTAACCACAGAGACACGCCATATAGATCCTCAGGTGGCATCATGAGTACCGGGACTTGGTGACCAGCTCGGTATTGACGAGAGCACCCCACAAAGGATCAGGCGTAAGATGAAACGGCCGGCACCCCAGGTAATACTTTGCCGTAGCTAGTTCTTACAAATATAGCAACAGCATGCATCGCGCTCGAATTCGCCGGCTATAGTAAATCTTCCAGGTTAGGAATTTGAGTTGGTTCCTGATCAAGCAATTCTTTTCTCCGACCCATGACCCATGGACAGACTGGCGTATAGGCGTATAGGGGAATGGGCGAGGTTGTTTGGTAGATTAGGCTCCGGGCACACGTTTTCTCAACCCAGGCCTATATATCGACAACATATTATATCTCATGGGCACCACCGCGCGCCAATGACGCAGCAAGGGGAATCTTCGCTTGATCGTCTGAACTGAGTTCTATTGTAGAATGTACGTTTTGGAGTTGACCTCGCCCTTGAGCGCCTCACCGTGCATCACCCCATACAGAAATGTCTCGCCCACCAAGCTGTAACCTTCTCCGTCCTTCTCTGGCCGGATCATGTATGGCGTCTTGCCCCCGTAGAAAATACATACCTCATCCCCCTCTTCCATGTGTGATGGTCCCAAGCCCACAAACCCCGTACTCGTCAAGAAGGGGCGACGAGAATGGAGGTAGTGAATCGCACGAACCAGCCAGTCGTCGTCGCTCGGTGGTTGATCCTCCTGTGGGTTCCCATCTTCTCCTATTGGGTTGACCAGGACCAGCCTATCGTATGCCCAGATGAACTCCGCTATGTAGTTGGCGATTAACTGGCCACTCACGTCCTCCTCCCCGTACTGCGCGCCGTCCGATGTGGCAACTCGCACAGCATCAAGCAGCTCCTCGTTCGCTCGTACTCGCGGCGATTGTTTGCACAGCTCCTTGATGTCATCAATAAACGCGAGAGCCGCGTCTCGATCCAACGGCTCCTCCCAGTCCGGGTCCCAAACATTGCCGTACTTCTTCACCGTGTCCACCGAGAACCCCTTTATGCTCAGCCGCCCACGGCTGATCTCGTGGACTTCCTGTTTCTCATCCGAGTTGCCCGAGGCAGAGAACTTGCTGGACCATGGCCCCTGGTTGCACGGGTTTTTCACGGGCATGCACCAGTCCGGCGCCCATGTTGGCAAGCCCTCGATCTCCTTGGGAAACTGGCTGTATGCCAGAACATCCACATTGCCCTGGTTGAGCAGCGCCAGCGCCGTGTCACGGTACACCTCGGCGCACGTCTTGGAGTAATCTACGATATCCTTTATCTCATCGACGTCGGCAGCGAGATACAGCAGCGAGAATACGCGGTCCCGGGGGTCCGACGTCTGTGGGATGTTGTAGTCCCTCTCCAGCACCAGGCAGGTCGTAAGGACCTGGAAGAACAGGTCGCCCTCCCAACCCTCGTAACCCTGGGCGCGGAACCTCGACCTGCGCGTGATGACGCTGTCCATGAAACTCCGCGAGGGGGAGGCGTAGTTGTCGAACAGCCTCTCCAGCAGGAGGTCCCTTCCGGGGGTCTGGCGCTTCCCGATCTCCTCACTCACCCTGTCGGCCGACTCCTGGACAGCCAGCAGGAGGGTGTACGGGAGTACGGCCGACCCGCACATGACGGACACGTCCGAGGCAATGGCGAATTCCTGGAGGATCCAGAGTCTCTTCCAGTAGCTCCGCCGGCAGAGCGCGTCGTACGCCCTCCTCACCTCCCTCAGGTGCTCCTCGTCGTCGTGCAGCATCTCCAGGGCGTCCCAGTTGCGGTTCTTCACCCCGTTGCCCATCCTCCGTAGGTGCTTGAAGAGTGCCTCGCACCCGTCAAACGAGGGGCCGAGCCAGGCGATGACAGAGTGCGCGTCGCTGTAGATGTGCCGCATCTGCAGGACCTGCTCGTTCTTCTCCTCATTGTCGCGCTGGTTGATGCAGATCTGGTCGACCCAGAGGTAGGAGACATCGCCGCGGCGGCAGATCTCCCTGAGGGCCTGGTCGACGGTGGGGCTCACCCGGCACGCCTTGTCGTTGATGGTGATGGGTCTGGTGCTCGCTTCAGAGCCCCAGGTGTAGGAGAGGGCCACATAGTCCGGGCAGGTCCTTCGAGTGAAGGTCTCAAGCGCACAGTCGAGGGGGGAGTCGGCTGCTGGCGCGGGGGGCAGGCGGACGAGGCGGATCTGGCGCCGGTCCACGCCCAGGGCCTCGTAGTCGATACCGTTGTCCATGTTCAACTCCTACTACAGAACTTGGTTCAGCTGTGAATTTTCAGTTTGAAGTTTTAGAGAGAAGCCAGCGCTTTGGGGCCACCTAAGATTGAAGGAATCGTGCAGGGGCCTTGATGACTGGACGCTAATGGGCTGCCTGAGTCTGCCTTGCTGAAGCCATCATCTAAGCTACCGCAGTGGGTGGCATGAGACATTGGACACCAGACAGTACTTTGATCTCCCTTTTCGTCAAATCCCTCACCTTTACAGCTTAAGAACTAGCAAATAGCATAGCATGTACTCTTATTAAAGGCATTAAAATGATATTTAGATCTAAAGAAGTTGTTTCATAGTCTTGGTTTCAATATTTCTCATAGAGTTCAGCTATCGAATTGAGAATTAACAAAAAAACGCCCTGTGGTTTGCGTGTGCAACGTCTTATGTCATCCGGTTGCCGCCTTAGCCTGCAACGCCAAGTGGACAATCAAGCTGGGTAACCTGTCATCTCACATCCCTCCTTGGTCAATCAGTCTTGCTTATTGATGGCTGTCAGAAGGGAAACCTGCGAGATGGAGATGACCAGCAGCTAATATGGAACTCAACGGTAAGATGGTTACAGTAACGTGGCTTCTGCGATAAGGTAGGTATGTAGCATTGAGATTGAACTGCGGTGTAGAAGCCATGGACCAATCTCACTGATCAGCTTCCGTCATTAGGCAAACCTTGAGCGCTTCATTGTTCCAATTGTTTCTTAGTGCCCGATCTAGTTCCCGTAAGCTTGGGCTGGATTATTAATTGGAGCAGCTCCTCGAAGGAAAGTCAAAATATACACACAAGTCATGGTCGCGATCCCCCGAGTCGTGGTATAAAAGATAGATCTATCAAAATGGCTATGGGTGAAGACGTGAGCGTCGTAATTCAAGGCATAAGAACAGTATGTAGCTGAGCCAACCTCCTAGTGCGCCAACAAAGGCATCCAGTCGTAGAGACACAGCAATATTCGCAAAAGATCACGAACCACCAGATCCAGCGTCGCTAGCCGACGAAACGGAAGACGCGCTGCTGACGGAGCTCCTGCTGCTGGCACTGCTGCTCCCCTCGTGATGCTCGCCCCCTCCGTGCCCACCCCCTCCACCACCGCCCATCGGGATCGGGATGAAGGCGAACCCTCCTCCTCCCCCGTGGCCCTTGTCCTTCTTCTTGTCCTTGTCCTTCTTGTCCTTCTTCTTGCTGTACTTCTTGGCCATGGAGAAGGCCCCCGTGGCCAGCGCGCCCAGACCGGCACCGCCCGCCATGGCACCAAACATGCCCTTGTCTTTCTTATCCTTCTTATCCTTCTTCTCTCCGTCCTTGCCTTCCTTGCCCTCCTTTCCTTCTTTGCCCTCTTTACCCTCTTTGCCCTCCTTGGGGGGTTTGGCGCCAAAGGCCCCCATGGCCGCGCCGATGGGCAGGCCGGCGCTGGTCAGCTGCTGCGAGAACTTGCCGAACAGGCCCCCGTCGTCTTTACCCTTCTCCTTGTCCTTCTTCTCCTCCTTGTCTTTCTTCTCCTCAGCTACAGGGGCCTCAGGAGCACCGCCCCCGTAATAATTAGGCTGCTGCTGGCCACCGTACGCCGGCTGCTGGGGGTTCTGGAAGCCCGGATAGGCCTGCTGCTGCTGGTGCTGCTGCGGTGGAGGCCCGCCGTACGCGCTGGCGCCAGTGCAATCGTCCGCCTGAGGGGTGCCTGTGTACTGCTGCTGCTGCGGCTGGCCTCCAGGGAAATAGCCCTGCTGCTGCTGTGGTGGGTAGGGGCTGCTGTTGGACTGCGGCGACATCGCTGGGGGCCCTGGAGGGGGACCGCCAGGGAACTCCCACTGCGACACACCCGATTGCGTGTTCACGTAGAACCTATTGCCTCTTGTTAGAAGATGATCTCTTTGCGATATGGAACTTGCGCACTCACGGTCGCTGGTACTGGTCATTCCACTGCGATATCCATCCTGCCGGCAGGGGCGGTGCCCCGGGAGGAGGGCCTGGAGGAGGGGCTTCCATCTTGCATGCACGTTATGCAGGACCAAGACCGAGAAAGCTGGGCAGAGTGTAGGCGCCTTTTCCTCTTCGTCTCCGGACTTTTTTCTCTTTCAATTTCGTTGAAGCACTTCCGTGTCTAGAATCGCTACCGATAGCGACAGACGACGGCTCCTTGTTGCCGTGTTACCCAAGATGAGGGGGAATGTGGGATGTGGGAGGTGGGAGAACGCTCGCCTCGGATTTAGGCGGTGGGAGCGAACGGGAACTGACCTTAATTATTTAAACAATGAAATAAAGCTCGTTTTTTTCACGCCATTCACCCTCCCCACCTCTTTATTTGGAGTGGCCAACCAGTTGGCTGTTGCAGCGGGGATAGCCAAGGCAGCACATCCCTCAGCCTCCCTTCCTCTCTGGCTGTGACCCCTCCTCCGTCTAAGCCTTCCTCTACGCTGCCCAACCGCCCGCTCTGGTTATGTGGGGGGGGGCAGATCCTTGGAGTGTTTACTCTAGCCCTGTCGGTGGGACCTCAGCTTCAGCTCGTCAGCTGGATCGTGAATAGTTTCTCATAAACCCTGGCTCTTTTTGCCGGTAGCCGATCGAGCTCGAGATGTTTGATAAGGGCATTGTCGTTGAAGTCTCCTGGTGCCAGCTCTGTCCGTCCTCCTTGACGCAACCCACACGGATCGGTTGGAGGGGTAAAGTCGCAGGACAAGGGGCAGAAGAGAGGGGCAACAATGCCAAGTCTTACGATTAGACCGTCTTCTCATCACAGTCACATGCAGATAGAGAAAGGAGACCGACCGGCTGATCACGTACCAGATTCGAGGCTAGGCTCGTTAGATTCTAGTGAAAAACGTGCTTTTTATTTATCTTTTACTTATTTTACTCTCTCGCTCAGAACGATTCTATATCTACGCCCACAGCTGCTCCTCTAGCTTGCCCGCCTCGGCCATAACCTCCCGCACGGCCTTCTTGGCCGGTTCGGCTGGCTCCTCGTACGGGTGGCGCGGCCGCAGCTTCTCCTCGGCGCCGGCGATGCCAGCCAGCCTGCCCGAGTAGACGGAGACGGCGAACTTGGTGGACGCGATGCCGCTCTTGCAGGGGCTCTCGGCGAGGGCGGCGCGCTGCTGCAGTTTGACGGCCTCGTCGATCTTGCCCGCCTTGTAGAGCTTGTAGATCTCGGCCGAGAGCCTGGGGAAGACGTTGGCGAAGGCGCCGATGGCGCCCGCGCTGCCGGCTGCGAGACCGCCTACGAGGAAGTCGATCTGGCCGCCGTAGGTGGAGAATTCCTCGGGGGAGAGGGTGGCGGCGAGGCGGGTGATCTTGCCGACGGAGGCGCAGGTGAGCTTGACGCCGACGACGTTGGAGACGCCGTTGGGGCTGGCCGCGGCGCTCTCGCGGACGATGGCGGTGATGGTCTCGGAGTCGATATCGACGCCGTTGCAGACGCCGGGGAAGTTGTAGATGACGACGGGGAGGGGCGACTTGGCGGCGAGCTGGGAGAAGAAGCGCTTGACGACGGCCATGGAGGTGGCCTTGCCGAAGTAGGCCGGGGGCAGGACGAGCAGGTAGTTGGCGCCGGCCTTGGCGGCGTCGTTGGCCAGCTCGAGGGTCTGCTTGGTGGAGTGGGCGCCGACGCCGGCCATGATGGGGAAGTTGGGGCCGACGGCCTCGCGAGCCGTCTGGATGAGCTGGAAGCGCTCCTCGCGCGTCAGCAGGAAGGCCTCTGAGTTGGTGCCCATGGCCACGAGGCCGGTCAAGCCCGACTTGGCCAGGTAGGAGAAGTACTGGGCCTGGGCGGCGAGGTCCAGCTCGTCCGTCTCATGGTTGAAGAAGGAGATGGCGGGCACCCAGACGCCGGCCGCGGGGACGTGGGGGAAAGCTGGTGTTGAGCCGTTGACGGTCATGATGGTAGTCTGGTGTGGTCGAAGAGAGGTGCGGTATACAGGCTCAACCGGGTGAGGTAAAAATCAAACACGTAGCAGGCTCGCGATGCTGTAGAAAATAATACCGCCGCCTCACTCCATCCAGGGCGCAGCGAGCATCTTTATTATCGACGGATTGAGTTTCCGCTCGGATCTCTGCCCGTCGAGTTTGCGTCGTCTGCTGCGTGGCTCGGAGCAGATCCGAGGCGGGCGACCAGCCGAGCGAGGCAAATCAAACCTCAAGTCAGTCTTCTGGCCTCCGAGATACGGAGCCAGACTGGGTTCAACCACTCAAACGCGCTGCTTCAGACGTTGGAGTGGAACAAGCTCCCGTAGCGCCCAGAGACCGGCAGCGCATGAATCAAGTCATGTCGACTCTTGACGCGATAGATACCCGGTACAACGACCGCATTGTGCCTCTGCCTGGAGTGGAAAAAAGCATGACAATCCAAGCTAATGTCGAGCCAGAGAGCCGTCATTTCAGGACTTGTTGCGCGTCTCCTCGTGAGGGGAAACTGCGCCTTCGCTGTTGTTATTTCCGGCTGACTGATCTGGTGAACGAGCGGGGTAATCGACCGTCGCGTTGCAGTCCCTACCCTATACAGCATGTCCATCGGCGGCTCGGGCTCGCAATGTCGAATAATTCCAATAACAATTACCAATTCCAGACTTATTTTGGTGCTTGCCAAGTTATATTCAGAGCTGTAGCAATTTTAAAGGGATTAAAATCTTATTTCTTACCAGCAGGGCTTGAGTATCGTTGTAGGGTAATATGCTACCAGTGTATAGCTTCCAGCTAAACTTCAGTCAAAAGATCACTTTCCGGTTCATAGCCAAGCGTTTAAAGAGCGAGTATATGAAAAAGAAGGCGAAGCACTTTTACCTAGCCCTAGTTCATCAAGGCGCAAACCCCCATCTACTCGTGGATAACTTCACAGCGTTAAACGTCTTGACCAAGGAGCTTACTACAGTTGACGAAGAAACAATTGACAGAGTTGGCGCAGACGATGCGTGAAGGGTACAAGAGCTGCCTAGTAAATGGCCGGACCAAATACGTCCCTGCGATGAGGCCTGGAATGCAGAACACGGGTTGAATAATCGGGTCGTTTAGATCTAGTCGATTGCACGTTACTGAGAGCGATAGCTCGTGGCAACATATATACTGACTCTTAGTGTCAGGCGGACAGCTAAGATAATCGTACGCTAGATGAAATATAATGATTCTGCTTCCGTTGATCTATTCAGCAAGTTCAGTCAAGGGAAGACTTATATTGCTCTCAAAGATATATGCAGATATTTCCCGGCCTGTAAACCTTGTCTACCCAAGCAGCCAAACACGTATATATTTTTATTCCAATCTTTCAAAGCTTGCTCGAAGTAGGCGTTCTAGGGATACCAAATAACGAGATGTCACTGTCTGTTTTTCCGTCAATCGCGAGCTCAGCCAAAATTCGCCCCACTGCCGGAGCGAACTTGAAGATATGCCCACCCCCAAGTCCGACAATAATGTTCTTGTACTTCTCTAACGGGCTGATGATGAACTGGCGATCCGGTGTAATCGCGTATTGGCAAGTCACAGTTCTGAGTGGCTGGCCCTTGGCGGGGATGAGGGCTTCCATGAAAGACGTCAGCTGCTCGAGTAATTGCGGAGAGTGGGCAAACGTGCGCTGTTCGGGTGTCATGATATTGTTCGCGATATCCCGACCCGCCTTGATAGACGGCTCGCCGTAGCTTGGGAACCCATAGAACCATTCTTTACCACCCCAGATCCAGACAGGGAACTTTGTTGTTTCGAACGGGGCAAGATCGTGTGGTTTGAAATATGTTACTTGCTCTTGCATAACGGTGAGGGGGATTTCTGCATCAAGTGGCTTCAGGAGCCTGTTGATCCAGGCATCAGCCGCTAGAATCACCTTGGCGGCTCGAAACTGACCCTTGGAAGTCTTGATGACTACTCCATCAGGCACAGGAATAATTTTATCCACTCGAGTATTCTCTCTCAATATTGCGCCCTCCTGCCGAGCTTCATTTTGAAAGGCTGCGACCGAGCGTCCGGCATGGACGATGCCAGAGTCAGCTGTAAACACAGTCTCCACGCCCTGTGGGAGATTGAATTGAGGCCATCGCTTTTTAACTTCTTGGGGGCTCAGAAGCTCATATGGAAGTCCGTTGGCATCCAAACTCTTTGTAAACTCGCTGGCAGAATTGGCCGAGTTGATACCGGTTGCGTCCGGTGAGAAGAAGACGACGCCGCCAGTAATGGTCAACATCTGTAGACCGGATCTTTGCTCTAGATTGGACCACTCCCTGTAAGCGTCCTGGGCAAGCTTAACATACTCCGGGGTGCCATATGACGTCCTGACGATACGTGATGTATCCGAGGAGGCTCCACGCACATGACCAAACTCGAATTGCTCGAAACCGATTGTCTTTGCGCCTTTCAGGGCCGCTTGGTATGCGGCAGCGCTGCCGACAACACCGAGCCCGACAACAGCGACATCGAATTGGTCCATTTTCTCCATGTATATTGGGTTAAATATCGAAAAGAGTTGAAGATCAAAAATCTAACCTGCTCAAGAGGAATATATAACAAAAAGAATTGTACTGAAAACCTATTTACATAAGATTCCCACGCCGTTCAGCAACTGTGATTTGTGGATTGATTAATACTAGGACACGCGCTCATAGACTATCCACTTTAAATTCGTTGAGACTGGCCTGTTAGATGACACGGAGACGGGAAATCCGTTCGCTATCCCGGGCCGGTAGAAGCAGAGAATCCGTACCAGGCCGATGTAGAGATTCCGTCCAAGGCCGATGCAGAGATTCCGTGCCGACTCCACTTCTGCAAGATTCAGCCCCGTTTCTTGGACCCCCATATGCAACCTGTGAACTCCGTCATGATGTGACATTGTTCTTTTTTCTTTTTGGATGTCCCCAAGTCTTGCGAGGAATGACAGCTCGTACCTTACTAATTAACACATCGATGATTGTTTTGTAGCCTAGGCCAACAGCTGTATACCCTTTCAGAACAGCCCGGACATCTTATCCATTGAAAGGGGGAATCCTTTTGAGGATTATGGACTTGTTTCCTTTATGATATTCACGTCGCGGAGCTATAGATCAAAATAATTTCTCATTCTCACATGAAAGATATTGAGGGAATTTCTCAGTGGAGTCATATGGCGTGCACTGGTTGTTTTTCTACAAGTAACTCACACAGTCAATCTATCTATAGTCTAGGTTTGATCTCGTCTGAGAACAGGTTCTGCCGCTCTGGCCCGCCTCGACTGCCATCACCCCCAAAAAGATTGGAACCATTTTGATAGTCTTTCCTCAGTCTCCACTTGTTGGCCAGGCTTTCAGGTAGCAATCCCTTCATTCTCAACGTGACGTATTCGCCCAGCACTGGCAAGAACTTGAAAGCACTGGTTTTCATTAGCATTGTCTTCTCCTTGAATTAATGCTTGGTGGTGGTAGCACCCAGACACTTACTGTCCGCTGCCGCCCCCGGCTACCATGAGGTTTTTGTAATCCGGATGGAAATCCATGATGAAGTCGCCAGAGGGAGTATCGGTGTACCAACAGACCGCAGTCCGTTCGAAGGGTCGGTCCGCCAACTCAGGGAGAATTTCTCGAAGCCCTTCTTTCAGCCTGTTCTCTCCGTCTTTGGGAACAAAATTTGCTCGCTCACGAGGTGCCTTCAGCGGGGGCATTGAGACGTCGGCCTTGATTGTGGCCTTTTCTTCCGGTTCAGGAGAACGAGTGTACCCCCAACCGTGGATGGCCATCTTGAGCAGCTTTGATTCTTGATGGGGTGGGAAATTGAACCAGCCGGTGGAAAAGTTGATACTGATGGGCAATTCTCGGTACCGCTCTAGTTCTGCGTCGGTCAAGCGCATATATCCTACTACTTGTGCGGTGGCCAGAACAGAGCCGTAGAAGGGCACAATACTAGATGCCCAGGCTCCAGCGGCGAGTATAAAATGCTCGCCCTCAATCAGTGTACCAGCAAACGTTCGAACTGCCCAAATCTGGCCATCTTTGTCCTCGAATTTCACTGCCGTTCCAGCGCTGCCGGAAATAAATGATACGCCTAACTCGAGGCAGTCATCACGGAGCTGGCTTATAGCCTTGGAAGAATCTACCCAGCCGGCTTGAGTGTTGGTGTAGCCCACAAAGTTAGGTTCGGCCAGTGTTCCAGTCAAGCTTGGGTACAATTCCTTCGCAGCTTTGGCATCTTCAAGAACCTTCCAAGGAAGTCCTCTTTCGGTTAGGGATGCAGTGCATTTGTTAATATACGACCGTCCAAGAGAGCCTATAGAGTTGGCGCTGAGAATAAAGGGAGACGGGAAGAAGATATCTTTGTACTTGGGGGATATCGACCATTTCTGGTAAGCATCCAACGCCATTCCCAAGTAAACATCGTCTGCATAGTCAAATCTGATGACTCGGGAGATGTCAACGCTGGATCCATCTGGAACCTAAACAAATATCAGCGATAACTCGTCTCAAGACAGGTTTAAGGAAGCGAATCTCGTACTGGAGGTACGTGCCGATCAATGACAGTAATATTTTGGTGACCTTCGGAAGCAAGCTGACGAGCGGTGGCCAGCCCGAAGAGCCCAGCGCCTACAATAAGTATGCGATCCGTCTTATCCATCGTGTTGCACGCAGCGTGTCCCTGGCGTTTATGGGCGTTGTACATCGAATCTTCAATAGAGTATTTCCTCTCATTTACTACCTTAGCCCAGGCTCCTCTCGTTTCCTCGTGACTCTATACAACACCAAGTGCCTTCAGCTTAACTCGGAGACACTTGACGTGTTGATATGCTGAGCCGTTGAGAATATTCCAAGTCCAAGCCCGTGTGTGCTTCGGGCCACGTGATCGGGATATCCGACGAGAATCCGGGTGCAAGAACAAGTTGGCTGGCGACAATTCAGTCCCCAACATGTATTGGGGTTAGTGGCTTTACAATCTTGACGTAGATCATCTTTAGGATTGGGTTCTAGTGCGATAAGCGTATGCGGGGTTGGTTAGAATACGCAACAGTTTTCGAAAAGCACGCAGGGAAGGTCGAAATGTGGCATGCTCTCCGCTTGCCAATATCCACGGTAGCAACACATCCCACGGCCATACTCAGCATCATGAGCACACGTAAGTCGAGACAATACAGGCGCGTAGCTCAAGCTTGTGAGAGCTGCCGGTATGATCAAGTGTAACCCTATTTGACCAAGCAACCGCTGATTGATTGGCTAGTCGAAAGAAGATACGGTGCCCTGGTGAAAAACCTGCCTGCTCAGCCTGTCATCGCGTGGGACAAGCATGCTGCTACGGAGATGGAGACTACAACTCTGAGCAGGGCCCGGATAGGCTTCACAGTAGAATGGTAAAGTTTGCTCCGGGGGTTTATTTTTAAAACGAGATTAACACTGGCAGGCAAATCGCATAGCACAGCTCGAAGAGAAGCTCGATATGGTCATCAGCAAGGTAGAGTGAGTAACATGTGCTCTATAGAACTATCAGGCACCAGAATGACTTATATTGGATGCTCATTCGATTTAGTCATTCTCACAGATCATCGCCATCTGTTGATGGCGAGCCTCCTAGCTTGGCATCTAAAACAAGCCTAAACACGATGATACCGTCACCAACCACAACGAATACTATTCCAGGATCACGGTATGTCATAGCAGGATAATCTTATAAGTTCTATACTGATATCTTTAGGATGCAACTTCCCAGTGAAATCATCAAAAAGGCCTTTGACATATACTTTGAGAGCATACATCGCCAGCCGTTGTGGCTCTTTGAATCTGATTCCTGTCTATCCCCAGATACGAGTGAAGAGCTTGTATGTGTTATCCTGGCCCTCGCCATTACGTATAGCCCTGTCGAACTCTCAGGGACCGATTTACAAAGTCCTGAGTTCTATAGCCAAACTGCTAGGAGATTGATTATGCTTAAAGTTGCAGACGATGAGATGAGCTTATCAACGCATCAAGCGTTATGCTTGCTGGCCTTCTTTAATCTGATATGTAAGAGCCCTGACCTAGGATTATGTTCGTGCTTCATGATTGACGCAGATATACCAGCTGGGGATCTTTCTCAAGCCGGGCTCAATATAGCATTTGTCAAAAATACTGCCCAGTACTCAGGACTGAAACAGGAATATCCAAGTGGTCATCCGACAACTCAGGAGCAATCGAGGATATTTTGGAGCATAACTCTACTTGACTCGTTTTACGGGCCTCCAATTTTGATTCCCGAGCTTAAGGACTTTCATAATCCTCGATTTTCCACAGTCCAGTCGAGACAAATTTCAATGCCTTGTCCGCCACTACCTTCTGAGTCCCAAGTCAGGAGGCGGCAGACCCTCCCTGATATTTGGTCACATATGTTGAGGATATGCAACCTGTGGGGAGAGGTTCGGCTGTATGTGTCACGATGCATCGACGGTTTGACAGACGCACCATGGCAGCCCAACTCAGGCTACAACACAATATGCTCACGCCTGTTAGACCTTGAGGTCGAATATCCTTCGTCTCTAAGCTACAACAATGTCAAATTCCAAGATAGTCCCATTCAAGAACTTCATGAAGACCGGCTCAAATGGCTGCCGTGGCTAAGGGTCCAAATGGCTTATCACGCTATACACTGCGTGCTTAACCACCCTTTCCTCTACTCCTTCAAGGGAACAAAGCAGAGAATGGGCAATACGACGTTCTGGAGAGCTTCTTGTGAAAAAGCTCTACAGCACAGCACCTGGATCTGTCGTTTGATAAGGGAGGCATCAGAAAAGAGGTTTGAACTGGCTGACCCCTTCTTCGCTCAAGTAGCTGCCATTGCCGGCACCTTGCATCTCTATTGGACAGCAACAAGTAATCCCGGATTGCAAGCATCAGCGGAAGAAAATCTGAGAGTTTGCAGGAATCTCATTGCTGTGATGGCTACTCGCTGGCCTGTTTGCAAGTCCATCGTCAGTATCCCACTCGTTATGACTCCCTAATTCTACTAACTCTATGATACAAGGAACGAGATTTAAACCAGTTGATTAGTTTAGTGGGAGCATTTGACCCCAAATCAGAAGCAGAGCTAATCCAGAGAGGGGTTCAAACCTCCTTGATGTGGATTCTCTTGGACGTAGCTGCACCCCAATTCCCAACTTACGCTGACGATGCGATGCAAAATAAAGGTCTTTGGCGAACTGGAAACAACAGCCGCGAGTACACTTCTTTGGAGAGTCCTGATATTTACACTCATTCGACCGAGATGGAAGGATCTACCAACCAATATATTTCTCCGGCAGATTGGGTGTCGTCTAGGTTTATAGAAGATCTCTCACCAAGTGGCACGCAGAGGGGTGGGCCAAATATGCAGCAACCGGATTCTTCTTCATTTAACTTCATGACATCCGCTCGACAGGAAGGCATGAACAACCCAGATTTGACGTGGGGACCATGGCAGCATATGATGCGCATAGGGGATAACTCTATTGCGGGCTCAGATTGGTGGAGCTCAAGCAATCTGTAAGATTAAGCCAGCACTTAAGTTTTTGGGCAGATGTCATGAATTCAACTAGAAGTTCCATCTCAGATTGATTCAAGCACCACACCTGAGTCTTTCAGAGTTTCTTGTTAGTCATGAGTTACTTCAAATCCTTCGCCCAGAAGCACAAAGTCACCTAAGCCGTTGCGTTTGTAAGTTTCTGAATATGACAGAAGAATCATTGTTTCAATATTGTGGGATGAAAAGGCACAAAGTGCTCTAAATAATACAGTCAACTATTCTGTGGCATTGCCTGATTAAGGCCAGATGGATCTAAGAAGCGCTCTTCCCATATGTCTCAATAGGGAAAATAGCTGCGACGATAGCCATAAGCGCAAACAAAGCTACAGAAACATATAGAGGCGTTACGGTTGTGGTATCTGCTGTTACAGAAATAACTGCTGAAAGGAGCCCCATGATCCTGTTGAGTGAAACGGCGGTTCCATTCCCGGTAGTGCGGTGAGCCGACGGGAATACCTCAGCTGAGTATGCGTACAGCGTTCCGTAATAGATGTTGATGCAAGTAGCTTTAATAAGATCAGTAATATACTCATATGGGTAACTTGCAGTGACCCTTACAAATGCAACTGCTCAATGCAAGATTCTGCGCAGGCGTCTTGATATACGTGTAACCGAGGAAGAAGGCGGCTGTGATTGTGGCGCCAATGCTCATCGTATACCGACGACCAATCCATTTGACTTCCGCTATTGCGGCAGCAATAAGGGGTCCGAAAATGGCACAGATGTTGCTAATTGTGTAGTCGCGCCAAGTCTCGGTAAATGAAGGTTCATATCCTGGAACGCGGCTGCTCAGAAGAGCGCTGAAGGAGATAGTTTTCGAGTCAGCGCTTATCATTGAAGCCTGTGAATTAACAACGGTCACTTACGGAAGGTAGAGGAAGAACAGCGGATATCCCAAGCCGATTAACATCCAAGATATCCAGATCAGTATAGTTGACAGAGCTAGTTTCCGGGTTCCAAAGAGCCCTTTTAGATGACCGGCGAGTTGTTTAGCAGCACGACGAATAGCTGACATTTGGGCAGTTTCTTCTTGGAGCTCTTGATTGACAGTTCCACAGGCCTGCAACTGTTCAAGAGTCAAAGAACATGGCCGGTTGTGTTTGCTTGCCAGCTTATGCAACAAGGAGACGACTTGCTCATCCTGCCCTGAACTGACCAGATACTTCGGCGTTTCTGGAAGATGCAGGGCAAAACTTCTCAGTAGCGACATCACCAACATGAGGGCGCCGCCGGTGAACATTATCAACCTCCAGGCTTTGTTGTTTTGCCAAGTACATTCAGTCGAGGCGCCGCAGCTCCACTCGGCGCGGGCTAACAAAAACACTCGTCAACCCTAACTTAAAACAAACAGCAATAGAAGTCATTAGACAACTTACAGTAATACCCCCATGCAATAAAACCAGCGCTGGCCTGGCCAACACCCCACCATCCGGCCATTGCGGTGATAACCCACTGTTGTTTAGCTGGTGTGAACTCGAGCATGATTGTAGGATCAAGGACTAGATTTCCGCCAGCACCAAAGCCAAGGAGGGCAACGAAGACGCAAAAGAAGACCCAGTTGGTCCCAGCACCTGCAATGATTGTAGCTATGGAACCGATGAGGAGAGTTGTCTGAAAAGCGATGCGGCGACCGATCATGTCGGCGCTAAGGCCCCAAAACAGGGCGCCGATCTGAAGCCCAGCATAGAGTGCCATGGTTGCTCCGGTACGATAGCCGCCATTTCCAATCTCCAAATAAGCTTGGGAAGCAGCAACACTCTGTAGAAAGGCTACAAGTGAATCAGCAGCAAAGCCGAAACCAGCTAGACAGGAGAGCTTGAGGTGGAAGCTGGTCCAGCCGATCTCGTTGATAGCCTAATAATTGTCAATGACTGACCATCTAATCCATACTCATCCAAGGGGTAAAATACCTCGTTAACGAGTCTTGTCTTGGCTGAGAGGGCAGGATCCGCAACATTACCCAAAACGTCGTGTGGGAGGTTAGTAGTAGATGCTGCCCTGCAAGAAATGTTGTCATTGGTGGCAGCCATCTTCTCAGGCTTTGTTTCACCCTCAGGGCTTTTAGTATTATGGTTGTGTGTGGACGACATTGCAATACATAGGTTAATATTTGTTGACGGAGATACTTATCGACAAGGCAGCTTGGTCAGCAAAGGGATATCCTCAAGACGTGGGGAAGTGAAACTAGTTATAAGGACAAAAGAAGCATGCTGTCTTCGCTCCCAGATTGTCTTAGCTTCCAGTCTATCTATGGCTCTTTGCTAATGCCTAGCTGATTGCGGGGAGGGATCAGTAGACTCTTGAGATACACATCTAGCTGACGATTAAAACATGGGGTACATATCCAGCACTTGGACATGGGTCTCTCCTGATTCACCGGCTCAGATAAGGGGGGCCGGAATCTTCCCGTGCTTCCCCCTGCCTCAGCCGAAAAGGACGGAGAATCCGACAGCTAGTGTCAGGGCCAGCAAAACTCAATTATCTCGCCGTGTACATCTGGAAATTTCGAGGCAGCTCAGATAAGAGACATTCGGGAACTCAAGCGGAACTTGTCGGTCCGGGTACGTTCCCGTACTTCCAGCAAAAGCTTTAGTAACGGGCGGTGTCGGATATTCCGGTCACCGCACATGATTCTAAGACCGGTGGATGGTAGAATTGATAAAAGCAATGCAAATGGTACAGATAATCAGCTGAGAGAAAGGTGGAATAATAGTCTAGTGCAAAGTCTGTACCATAATGCCTTCCCTCATGCCATTCATCATACCGGTCACCACTTTCCAACTCGGCTTAAGTTCCCTTTTAACTTTGATACCTCTCAGTATCTTAGTTTCTTTGGCTGCAAAATACATATCAACTCATTTTTCACACAAATATACCTCACCAAATGACAACATCTTCACCTCAACGACACGGGCTTTACCCGCTTCATGGTATAGAAGTCAAGAAATCTACGAACTTGAGAGGAGAGCTATCTTTTCAAAGAAATGGATTCTCATCACTCATAAGCTCAGGTTTACAGAAAATGGAAATTGGGTTCGATTTGAAGAAGCAGGTTTCCAATTCTTCCTTATTCGTAATAATAAGGGACAAATCAAAGGATTCCATAATATCTGCCGACATCGCGCGTTTCCAATCGTCACCAAGGAGCAAGGACAATCCAGCATCCTGTCATGCAAATACCATGCGTGGTCTTATAGCCTAGATGGCCGACTGACAAAGGCACCCGGATATAATGACATAGAAGGGTTTAACAAGGTGGAAAATGGTCTATTCCCAATCCACGTTCATTTGGATGGCAAGGGCTTCATCTGGATCAACCTGAACGCTTCCAAGCCAGAGCCCTGGTCAGCTGCATTCGACAAGATTGACCAAATGAAAAGGCATGAGCCATTCAATTTCGATGACTATCACTTTGATCATACTTGGGGAATGAGTGGTGATTACAACTGGAAAACGCTGGCTGATAATTATAACGAATGCTATCACTGCAAAACTGCGCATCCTGATGCAGCAGCTATTTCCGATCTTCAAGCTTACAAAGTTGAGCCTAAGGGTGGTAATATTCAACATTTTGCTAATACAACCGACGACCAAGCATCGGAAGGATTGGCCATTGTTAGCAACTACTATTTTCCCAACGCATGCATGACTGTCTCGTAAGTTTATTATCGTGCTTTACATTATATCCTATGGAGACTAACACCCAAAAGCCCACACTTCTTCTATATGATGAGATGTGTTCCCACCTCACCATCACACTGCTCAATGGAGTATGAAGTCTATCGACATAAGGATGCTAGTGATGAAGAATTCAAAAGAATTGATGAGATGTTTAAGAGAATTTTGAGCGAAGATAAATGGCTTTGCAATAATGCACAGAAAAACCTCAATGCTGGCGTTTTTGTCAACGGCGAAATGCATCCAGGGATGGAACAGGGTCCTTTATACTTCCAAAGCCAGGTGCGCAAGTTCCTGAATGAGCACCACAAGCTTGAGGAGGCTTCAAAGAATTTGATTTGGCCTGCTCAGCAAGTCATCGGCAAAGATGGTTCAATCACGAAGCGAGACATGAGCTTCTGCACAGGTCTACCATGTAGTAAAGAGTCGGAGGCTTTGGCATGGTAGTATGAAAGGCTCTTGGGGGAACAGTCTGTAGCAGTCGCTATCCGTGGAATTGCTGAGGGCTCACTACCAACATTAGATCGAATTAATAGTAATATTGACATCATCAGTTTCTTCCCATTTGTTTCTCTCCATAGGTGGCGAATCCAGTCGCCACGCTGCACGTGTGTGTCTAAATCAGTTCTTGCAGCTAACAGGATCAAGGTCACACTTTGTTGTTAGCTCGCCATATGTTAAATTTTGCCCGAAAACCGCAGCTCATGGTTGGTCGGAAGGAAACAAGGTTTTACCATCACAAATTTCGCTACTGAGAATGGTGTTGTTGCACTCTGCCTTTACTCTTTGCACAACTGTGTATTATGCAAATATCGTGGTTTACCTCTGCTGGCTTCTTATTAATCGATTGTTTAGCATTACTTTTTCCTGCCTAAAGTCTGGGTGGCTGGTGCTTTATATATTTCGGGGTCTAGATCGAAAGAAACCTTGCGACTGTATAGTTCGTGTACTTCCACTGCGTTTTAAAAGCTTCAAAGCATTTCTATCGATGCTACCTCCTGGAGCCCTTCCTCCGTGTCATACTAGACGAACAAAGGAAGCCAGGTGAAAGAGATGGTATTAATGGACATTCGATAAGCCGCTATCCTGACGGCAAGTGAGTTATCCGTACGAAGGTTAGAGTTTTCTGGCCGTATGACTCCTTGGGTGTGCTAGGAAAGGCTATATTTTTAAGCTTTTCGTATTTATTGCGTTGAGTTGTTCCGGGCCCTGGCAGCTTCATTGTTGTTAAAGTTTATTATCGTATTCTCCCACGCGTATAGTTCGTCAGACTAAGCTGGCAGAAGGTGAGGGAGCCCTTATGCCTAGGGTTGATAATGTATCGACAGGTGTGCCATAATCAATCTTGCAATTACTGGACCGTGCTCTATGCCGCAGTTTCGCAATACTCTAGAAACCTTGAGGGTGATATGAACTCCATAAAGACAGTGCCAAATACATTTTTAGGCAATCAAGCCGATAGCCAAATGATGTACAATATAATCTGCTCCTTTAGATAGACGGGAATTGTTCGGCTGGCTTTGAAATATGCCTATATTACTAGTCGGTGCTCCTGTTGTTGATCCAAGAGATTGAATTTCTACAGTAGTGGGGTCGGCTCTATCTGGTCCCGGAGTATAAAGAGATATATTATTCGAAAGCGAGTGAGACCTATAGATAGGAGTTAGCGAAGTCTCGCTAGCAGTATCTATCGAGGGGGAAATTCGAGATCTCTTAGCAGTTATAGTTACTGTATTATCGCCTAAAATATCCCCGGAGATAAAGGGAGCTGCTGTCTGTAGCTCTTCTAATATTGTATTTTAGACTTTTTTAAGCAGTATGTCTTTTGAGGTATATATAAAGCGCGTATAGCGAGCGAGCAAATTACTGCGGGGAGTCAATGGTCTGGCTGTTACTGTGCAAGCGGGAAGGAGTCGGGATTACTCAGACCTTGCTTCTGCTTGGAAAAACACGGCAATTCAAACTAATATCGAGCCAAAGAGCTATTATTTCAGGACTTATAATACATCTCCTCGCAAGGGGAAATATCCCTGAGTTAATTTTATTTCCAACTAACTGATCCTGATGAGCGAGCGGGGTAATTTCGCTCTTAATTAACTCACTCTATATTGAAGCGCCTACGCTATATAGTAAGTATATCAGCGACTTGCATTTACTACATCAAATATTTCTAACTATTACCATTTAAGGCTCAGTTTAATACTTACTAAACTATCTTCAGAGCTGTAGCGGTTTTAGAGAGATCCAGATCTTATTGCTCACCAAGAAGTCTCGAGTATCGTCGCAGCTGAATTTCTTATTTCCTACCCTACGCCTAGCCAGAATGGCATGTAAAAATATATACCAAAGAGAGATTCAAGCGAGTAAAAAATTCCCAAGGATATGTTTGTGACTTGTTCACATTCACGCCAAGAGAGAATGGCAAGAAGGAATATAGTGACGTCCCTAAAGCTTACCGCTACAGATTCCCATCCAACCAGCTTGCACAGCAATTTCCACCCTCATAGACTGGTGGTAAGTCTCCACTGTATAAAGAGCCACGTGCAGACCAGTTTTGCCAGTAAGTACGTCCTGTTTCATGGACTGTGTCAGCATGAGCACAGCAATTTCAACCCTCACAAAGAGGTGGTAATGTTCTCCTATTGGCTACAACTTCATGCACGGAAACAACCCATGCAGTTCACAGTAGTTTTCGCCAGCGCAGAGAGGCGGTTATCTGACACGTAAGCTGGCTCCGAGTGTCAGTCCAGGGTTATGCACAGCAATTTCCACCTGCGCAAAGAGGTGGTTAGGCTGACTGGCACGTGGGTCTGTCTTTTCACCACTTTCTTCATTCCATCATTTTCGAATTAACGTTTTATCTGCCTAATTGGCCTTTGATGAGATTTTTTTTTTTCATATAAATATATATTTAATCTTATTTTTTATTTTTACAATGATCCAAGGCTACGTCTCCCGCATGTGCTTCAGCATGGCTCATTCTCCATGGTGACATTTCCACCCATTATGAGCCATTCTGGTTCAGATCGCCGCCATCCCAAAATGGACGGCTGCTTGGTTCACTTGGACAACATTATTCTTATTGACTTGTTGGTGGAAAAAAAAGGTTGAAATATATATATCAATACAAGTTCTGGACTTTTAATCCATCAGCTCCCTTTCTGAACTACATACAATTCTACCTCTTTTCTTTTGAGCCTACAACTCAAAATCACTACCCAGTTTAGAACTTACGCCCAGCCATTGGCCAACATACATTTGGTTTATCAGTGTCTGTAACGAATTAGCGAAGCTTAAATGTCTGAAAGTAGCGATGTGGAGGCCGCGAGTAAGGCTGAGGCGAAGCAGGCCGCCAGCATCAACGAGTCTTCAGTGGAAGAGTATGAGCTGACCGGCTTGCCGCTGGTCTTGGTCATCGCTGGCCTGGGCCTCGCCATATTCCTTATGTCGTTGGACTCATCCATCATTGCCACCGCTATTCCCCGTATCACGGCCGACTTCAACAGCACCAGTGATATGGGCTGGTACGGAAGCGCATACTCCTTCGCCATGTGCGCACTCCAGCCTATGGCGGGCAAGTTGTTTTCAAAATTCCCCTTGAAGGTGAGCTACACTCCCATGTGATCCCTAGAAACTCTACTTACCAAACACGAAAGGCAACGTTCCTCGCCTGTCTCTCCGTCTTTGAGCTGGGATCTTTGCTATGCGCCCTAGCTGCGAATAGCCCCATGCTCATTGTTGGGCGGGCGATAGCTGGAGCTGGGGCGGCGGGATGCTTCACTGGAGCCTTCTGTATTGTCGCAGTTTCTCTGCCCTTGGAGAAGCGGCCATTCTTCGTCGGGATCCTCCAATCGACATTTGGCATTGCCACTATCATCGGCCCTATTTTAGGCGGTGCCTTCACGCAGCATGTGACGTGGCGGTGGTGCTTCTGGATTAACTTGCCTCTGGGTGCTGCTACTATACTTGCTATTGTCTTCTGCTTCAAGCCGCCAAAGGACAATTCCAAAGAAGTGCCACCTGTACTCAAGAGATTGCAAGAATTAGATTTTGCCGGCGCTGTGCTTTTCGCCGGAGCCATTGTCATGGTACTTCTGGCTCTTCAATGGGGAGGGACTGCTTACCTCTGGCGGAGTGCTACCATCATCGGCCTCTTCCTAGGAGGGGCAGGACTTGGCTTTGTCTTCGCCACATGGCAATGGCACAAGGGCGACGATGCCATGATTCCTCCACGTCTCATGATGGAACGCACCCAGTTCTTCGCCTGCATGACCGAGTTTTTTGCCATGGGCTCAGTTTATATCTCGATCTATTACCTTCCGACATGGTTTCAAGTTGTCAAAGGCGCCTCGCCCACGAAGTCCGGACTCATGTATCTTCCCTTAGCCCTGTCAGATGTTCTGTCTGCCACGCTGACGGGCGCATCGCTAAAATGGCTCGGGTATCCAAATCCCTATGCCATCCTCGGGACAGCCCTGATGTGCGTAGCATCGGGTTTATTCTCGACGTTCGACGTTGACACGCCCCATCAGCAGTGGATTCCCTTTCAAGTTCTCCAAGGCCTCGGTATTGGAATGATGCTGTCGATGCCTTATGTCGCCATACAAACGGTTCTCAAACCCGCAGATATCCCTGTCGGCACCTCGCTGTTGCAGTCCTTCCAATACTTCGGAGCCGCAGTGTATCTTGCAGTCGCCGAGTGTATTTTCGAGAACAAACTTATTGAGCAGTTGCGCAGTTCGGGGTTGGAGCAGCGAGAGATCGATGCTCTTCTCAATGCAGGCTCTGCCGAGGTGAGGAATGTGACGTCTGGAGAGCAGCTCTCGGGTGTTCTCCACGCTTACAACTACGCTATGACGAACACGTTTTACGTTGCAACGAGCGTGGCTGGCGTTGCGTTCTTCTTGTCGTTCGGTATGCGCTGGAGAAGTGTCAAGCCGCCGAAACCTCAAGCCTGATAGAATTGGTCAAAATCTGGCCCCCTAATTTTTGTTTTATAGTCTGATTTCTCTACTTCAATTATCAATATATAGACTTGCCTCTTGGCCCTCTCTTAGATTAGAAATTTGAATGATTTTATACTAGTCGTTCCTCATTTAGCGAAAGAGAAATGAAATCTGTGCTTGGATTACCTCCGTGGTATTTGGGATTCGTTCACCTGGTGCTAAAACAAAGAAAATACATTGATGGGGCCGTGAATCGTGTTTTGATAGAATGATAGGGAAAGAATTTCACAATCCTAAGCTTTTGAGACGAGAAGCTTGCCGCGAGGGGAGAAAAAGATATCTACACATCTTCTCCTGAAGGGCTCCATCCTCAGTCGTCGCCGAATATATTTCAACCATTGACAAAAACCAACTCTGGTCAACAGACTCCTGAGTAGTCATGGCAGCGGTTATAAGACACCAGAGACGCACCCCTTCATCGAACACGCCCTCCCAAAACCGGGCAGCTAGCAGGCTGGAACGAAGTCTTGGGAGTAGTGTTGCTGCTGAAACCTGTGCTCCATGATACTCTGTCGCGCTCAGAAGGAAAATCATCGCAGTCAGTCTGATAGAGTCGTTGATGTCGTCGAGGTCTGAAAGCAAGAGTAGGCGGCAGAGCAAGGCCTGAAGCCTTAGAAAAAGGTGATGTTCGAGATGGTGAAATCTCCGTGTTCCCGCCCAGTAGGCTTCGGCGAAGTGAACGTAGTCCGCGATATCCGCAATAATCCGTTGCAGACTCCCAGTAATTGGGCTCATTCTGAACCCACTTCCTAAAGTTGGGACTGAGATTGATGCGTGTTCATAGCCAATCAGCCCCATTGGCAAAGGCCCTAAATCCCATGTAAAGGGCAGGGTAGGAGTCTGCCAGTTGGTGATGGATATAAATTTGTCTGCTAGGATCGCGCTCTCTAAAATATAAGGATCGAATTTTTCCCAACCGCCGGCTTCAGACACGAGCCTTTTCATGATATCAAGATGGGGTCCAGCAGAGTTGGACTCAGAGGAGTCGATTCCGAGGATGGACAAGGCTCTCATGGGAGATCGCGCCCAAATGTAGGGAGTGGTATTCCAGAACTGCGTAATAGCGAGGCTATAGATGGAGATCATAATCCAGTTATCGGCTTTGAATCTTGATTGACTGGCAAGGCGCATCCTCACGGCCTGAAGGGCTTTGCCTGTGAAATATTCCGGAGGCCGGCGTTCCGAGATGATTCCAGCCATCCATCCCTGAAGGCTTGACCCGTAGGCCAGGGTTGAATACATCAGAGCTTCATCGGTGACACATCGTCTCAGGCGCTCGTTGATGATTTCCTCATGCCTCATGTGTGTAATATCAGTGGATTTGGATGCTGGAGCGAACGCTTCGACCAAGAAAGTCAACTTTGTTCCTTTGCCAAAGACCAACTTGAGCATGGTGTGGTCCCCTGCGTCCAGACCAGCTATAGTGCAGTGAAAAGGATCCGAGCTATTGTTGGAGGGAAGAATACAGAGAGTGGCTGTTTGATTGTGCTTCTCACGCTTTCTAGAAGCGCTTTTCCTTCTGCGTCTTTGTTGAACATGGCTGAGAATCATCGACTTTTCACCACCCTCCGAGTTGCTCAAGGACACTGAAGCCGGCACTTTATTAATGAACATGAGAGAAGACTTATTCTGGCCCACAGCGCCCCCGGTAGTCACCCGCCAATGGAGTCGCCTTTCCATATTGTATGCCAACTCTCACCAACAATAATCTGCTCGTTCGTTCGGGTCGGCAGGGTACGCATACGATCGGAAGAAGCCTTTGTTCAGGTCTCTCCGGTGCCGGCTCGCTGCTGTTTACCCAGTTCGGCCGTCTCTTGGACTATAACGGTAATGTATTCGCCAGATCGGATTCACCCGCATGGGCGAGAAGCAGGCCCAAGTGATGGAGAGCGGAAGATGACGTCGGTAAAAATTTACAATCAGAAAAAGCACTGCCCCGGTTGATCACCGCCACCTCTTAAATGGTAATACGCTACTGTTTTGGGAAGTGTGTCTAATTTCATGTCAGCGTGGCCTTTCGGATAGCGCCAAGCACGGGCGGCCGCCTCTATGAGCCGAAAGATTGAACGTGAGATTTCCTAATTGAGTAGTCTAAGCTGGGGTCGCGTAAACTGTGCGTTAGAAGTCCATCACGAAGATGTTTTGTGTATATGTGTATATAAAACTTCTTGATCTTTATCGTTTTCGCAACCCTCATCACCATCAAATCTCGTGCGTCAAACTCCAAGTACACTGAGGAATTTCTCCATCAAGATACATTTCAACAGCCTTATCCCTATATCTATGCTACTGGCATCTGTTTCATATGCCTCGCCTACAAGTTCCCCAAAGCTTCCAGTAGTTGATCTTGGCTATGTAAGCTCCCTAGAAGATATGCTTGAGTCTAGATATACTGACAATTGTAGGAACGTCACGAAGCCATATCATACAACTCCTCAACAGAAGTCTACCAATTCTCGAACATTCGTTATGCCCAGCCTCCTGTCGGAGACTTGCGTTTTAGGGCTCCTCGACCTCCACTGACGAACCGTAACGAGATCCAAAATGGCTCACAGCCGAGAACCTGCCCCCAAGGAGTTGCTGGATGGCAAGCCAGAGCATTCGGGCCAATTGGTGCCTTTACCAACGGGAAGCCATTTACCCTCGAAGCCTGGGAACAGGCGATTCAGAACTCTTCTATCCCTCCAATCGATTTCAACAAGGCTAGTTCAGAAGATTGCCTCTTTCTCGATGTCCACGTCCCTAAGAAGATCTTCAAGAGCAAATGTGGTGCTCCCGTACTTGTTTGGGCTTGTGAAACCTATTTCTGAAAAATCTGTTGTCCAAGCTGTTCTAACCTGACATTAGATTCATGGTGGAGGATACGCATTTGGTTCTAAAAACGGCTCTCCAACCCAAGGCTTTGTCCCTTCTGGACTTCTCGAGCATGCTAAAGAATTCAGTGACGAGGGCATGATATTTGTTGCTCTTAACTATCGACTTGGCGCTCTGGGCTTCCTTTCTGGGCAAGAGGTTGAGCAAGATGGAGACCTGAATGCAGGTCTACTCGACCAGCGTCTTGCTTTACAATGGGTACAAGGTAACATCCATCTCTTTGGTGGCTCAAGGGACAAAGTCACTGTCATGGGTGAATCCGCTGGCGGAGGCTCTGTCCTTCTTCACATGACAGGCCCCTCCAACAGCACAAACATCAAAGCCCCGTTCGCACAAGCCATTGTCCAGTCTCCAGCTCTGGTTTCAAATCTTCAAGTTCCAGAATCTGGATATGCCGATTTCCTTTCTCAGCTAAACGTCTCATCCTTGGCAGATGCGCGTAAGTTATCCTCGGAGGCTATCATCCGCGGCAACGCGGCTCATCTTGCATCTGCACCAGACACGACCTACATACACACCCAGTACGAGATTCTAAGACGGCACCCGACAGCCTCTACCGATCATTCAAAAATGGCGCTTTTGATAAGTCTGTCCGGTTGCTGGCTGCCCATAACAGCTTCGAGGGAAGTTTCTTCTTTAACCCGAAGGTAAAGACCGAGGAGCAGCTTGATTCCTGGATTCAGAACTCGCTTCCTGGTTACACCAAAAAAGACCGAGACCACCTGATCAAAGATCTCTATCCTTTCGACCCCAGCCTGGGAGATGTTGCCCAAGGCTCTAGCCAAAGGGCCATTTGGGGCGACGCTATCTTTGACTGCACGTTCCTTACCGCCCATGAAGCTTTTGGAGGAAACAGCTACGCATGTAAGTAAAGTTCAAGACTTTAACAATAATACGACCTAACATTTGCTACTAGACTTGTTTGATGTTTCGCCAGGATTCCACACTCAAGACTTGAAGTATACCTTCAACGACCCTGCCACTCCGGCTTTTCGACCGATTGCGCAAGACATTTTGCAGCGAGCTATTGCTAGCTTTACGATAAACGGAGAGCCAGTCACTAAATCGAACGGGACCTATGAGGCCTTTCCAACTTGGGGGAGTGAGAAATCACTGATCAGGATCGAGGGGGATAGCCTCTCGGTTAGAACAAGTGTAGTCAACGAGACTCGTTGCGCGTGGTGGCAGTCTGGCTACGAGTCTGTGAGGGTCGGACAAACTCATGTCTGAGAAACTGTGTCCTGAAATTCAGACGGGGTAGTTGGCGCCACACATCTCACTGAGTTCAACCCGACTTTGACTTTAGCGGTCGGGGTTGATGATAGACGATAGACGGCGATGACAGACGATAGACGAGGGAATTTCTATGTTTGTTTCTGTGCAAACTCTCCTTAAGTAGAAGGGATTTGGTTGCGGGATAATGCTAATATAGAAGAAGAATAATTTGATTTTTCTCTTTCACAAAAACAACTGTCCAACACTTGTGAATTCTACAACTATAACCAGCCACTCATCTCACTTCTTCCCTCAATTCATGCATCTGGTGTTGTCTAATTCTACCTACCTAGGAGAAGGAGGATAAAGTTTAACAACAATGAAGCTGCTTGGGCCCGGACAACTCAACGCAGTGAATAGGTCTAATTCTACAGAATTTAGATCGAATCGTGGTGGTTAGATGGCATCAGTCCAGGTATTTCGTGAATCGACCTTGGCCCATTCTGCCCGACAAGGGAAGTATCACATCTTCAGTGGTCCACATTTCGCGTTTTGGATGATTCCTGTTTCGGTGAGCTGAGACGTTGCAGCGTAGTAGCGTCGTATTGCATTAGATCTGGCATTTGCGCGCGCGATGGATGAACCTAACTCTCGGTCGAATTGAGTGTTGAGCCAGGCACTAGAAATACGATTCCTTGCATAGAAGGTGTACAAATTTATGGGCCATATCTACATTGATTTGGATCTGTGATTGCATATGCACATTCGTATGTTTATAGCAGGCTCTATGGTCATTTCAAGGAACACGAGTCATACGATTGCTGTGAGGTTTCAGCTCTGAGCTTGGGTGTGGGACATCAGCCTTGAGCTTTGAAGTCTTTTGCAAGGATAGATCAGGCGGCAGATGCATACCTTTTAGGAAATTTCCAAAAATCACACAGCTAGCTTGCGCAATGTCTAATACGATGGGGCTTGGGAAGGGTTGGTGGAGAGATAAACACACACCACTGAAATGTCAATTGGTCGATGGCCAAATGCCTAAGACGGTTCAGGTACTTTTTCCGTTAGAAACACTTATCCGGGAAGGCGTGGCGGCACGAATGTGTGGATAATAGAAGGGCGGCTGAAAGGAGGATCAACAAAGCAGGGATAGTTGGTGTATTTTTGGAGCTCTTTCGTAGTTCTTGAGTAACCATAGTTCGAGAGCTCGTGGCATATCCGATAGGGCCAACAACACGTGCGAGCTTTAATCCGCCTTGCAACGATGATCGTGCTGATGAAATGGTCTGGTTCTGTCGCCATATTCACTCGACCCTACGCCCTGGCGGGTATTGTCTTTATGCATTCTGATGAGCGGTTCCTTTCGAGCTGAAGCGGGTACGAAGATGTCACCACCGTTATCACCACCCTGTCGGTTCCACCACGAGAACGGCATCTGGGGTGTTCCCTCACCATTCGATCCAATGAACACCGGGAGCATGACTAGTGGTTTCGTACTGAACGGCACTTGCTATGTAACAAGGCAACGTGCTAGAGTGGAGCACTATCTTTAAGCCATCCCCATTTGACCTCCCTATGTAGGACCGCTATCAAACTCCTTGGCCGGCAGATGGACTGTTATGGTCCGGAGTAACATATAGATCTTTTGTTAATTATCTCATTGACCCCTGAAAGTAGATCTTCCACCCTTTTGTGCGCGTGCGGAGAGGATGGGCGATGCCCACTCAACAGCCGAACTGTTCTACGAGCTTTCTATCCAACACGTGGTATTTGGTCAAGTATATAGAGCCCACCAATCCCTCGTAGATGCCACCTCAAAATTTGTATTGTTCGCAAGAAAAGTAGCCCTAGTTTGATATCTATGCGTATTTCATCAAGTGTGCCGTTAAGAGTCTCTTATCACGATGGCCGTCACCACCACCACAGCCCCCGCTGTTACCACCACCGACACTCCTCTCACTCTACCAACTCGTTCAGAAATCTTCCTTCCTCTTGTTCCTGAAGATGTTACAAAGGAGTGGCTTGCTTCAGTGCTTGGCTTGAAGATCAAATCTATCCGCAAGAAGGACGAAATCCATGGCACCGCTAGCAAACTGGTGTTTCTCATCACCTACGACGAGTCTGAGACGGCAGCAGATAAACCAAACAGTGTGTTTGTCAAAGGAGGCTTCAATCCCGACTTGAAAGCCGCCATGCCCCTCTTCGTGGCCATGTACCGCCGCGAAGTCAGATTCTTCAATGAAATCGCCCCTAAACTCTCCAAGATGAATCTTCTTCGTTCTTGGTGGGCAGCCGAGAACTCCGACCAAGGGATCATTGTAATGGAAGATCTTGGGGAGAGGCAAATCATGTTTAGTAAGGCTACTGAGCCCTGGGGCCCTGTGCTTGTGAAGCGTGCTATTGCCGAGCTTGCGATTCTGCACGCTGCCACATGGGGACAAGGCCAGAAGGAGTATCCCTGGATGACATTGGACTACGATGAGATCATTATGGGCATGTTCCCGGGTCTACCTTACAGCGAGTTCGTCAAGGATCCAGAGCACCCGCCTCTCCCTGAAAACATGAGGGATTCGAAGCGCGTCGAGGCTTATATGGCCAAGTACTTTGCCACGCGGAACCCCAAATATCAATGCCTAGTACACGGCGATGCTCACCTCATGAACATCAGCATAGCGCCTGATGGAGCTGTGGGAATGATCGACTGGCAGCTTATCCATGGTGGCTCGTGCTTCCATGACATTGCCTACCTCATTGCCGGTTCTATGAAGGTTGAGGACCGCCGCGAACATGAAATGTCACTACTGGAGTACTACTTCGAGTGCCTTCATAAGAACGGCGGACCAAAGTTCTCGACTAGCGAGGAGGATACCATGGTTGAGTACAAGAGATCTCATATCACCGGGTTTGGGTGGATCTGCACTACCACAAAGATGCACCCTCTGGAGAATATATGGGCTATGGTCCCGCGCTTTATTGCTGCTATTGAGGATCACAAGGTCGTTGATCTTATTGAGAGCATGTAAGGAATTACAGTGGATCGTCTGGCGCTTTTTGTTTAAGTTTTGTACAGAGGATACGATTAGCTACATAGGCAGTTGTGGATGTGATCGAGTTCAACTGCTATTGCATCAAAAACACCAATCAACTCGCTTTAAAGTTTGACGTGTGATACCCCGAAAAAAACCGGTGTTCGATATTCGATTGCTGAGTAGAAGTTAGCTTAAACCAGCCTCTCGGAGAAAAGGCGTAATTTCGAAGGCTTAACACCAACAAAATATCCGGATTTATCATAGTGGACAGGTGCATCAATCCACGACCGCCGATTCAATGGCTCGCAAAGATAATCAAATGGATTCAATTATCCCTCACCTCGACAGAAATACATGTAGGCAGCCTCACGTAACGGATCAAGGTGGGAAGGAATGTCACGCTGGAATGTGATCTTCTTCTATAATTTCCGTGAATGAGCAGATAGTTCATCAGTTCAAAAGCCTCACGTCAGTGGCGCTTGCTCAATGCTAATTCAGGTCAGAGCTCCCTGTCAAATTGTCTCTTCGAGAGAGTGATCAGCGGAATGTATACTTTCCTCACCTCGGCATTGGTATAAGCATTCATTGATAGGCTCAGTTTGATCTCGATCAGTCAGGAACCCCACGAGTCAGCATTCCTATTGATTTGTTCTCTTTGTGTTCATAGCTACGTTCTCAGTGTGCGCGTCATGTGGAGTTGTATGGAGCTAGGAACGGGAATGTCAAGTTCTAACTTTGTCTCGGATCCACCTGTCATCGACACAGTATCCGAAACATTATAAACCTTATCTGTATTGATGGAGTGATGGCTCTCATGATGCATTAACATCGGGTTGCTCGGAAGTAGAGCGCGGTGTCATCTATCAAGAGTCAAATATAGACAACGGGTTGACTTCTTTCAGTGATAAGCAAAATGGTTACAATAATATCTACACTTATGAATATTCTCGTAAGATACTTTTGAGGGCCAGAGAATAAGTGGCATAACTCGCATATACGGGGACATAATCCATCACGTACCGTGCGAAGGAAATCTACCCATATGAGCTTGCCCATACTAGAACTCGGAGCTATAGCTGTATTTTGAGTTATGCGGCGGCTTACTGTGGAGAACTAACAACCAAGCTCATACGCTCCTGCTCGATATTCACGGTGTCAGTGAGGAGCACATTCATCAATCTCATGTGTATGTCAACGGCGACAACCACTCTGCTGGGAACTTCGTTTTCCGATCAAAAGCTGCAACGGGTTACACTCTAATAAATTGGGCCCTATGATGCATTTCCATGATGAAGAAGGAAGCATTCTTGACTGGAAAAACTTGGTATTGTTGCAAACACACGTCATATCAGAAGGAACCAAAGCTTGAGCGAGAAGCTTGCATTCAGAGTTGGCTTTCCATACCAGTGACGGAAACCGAAACTCATTGCTCCTCCAGTTGCTCATACAACAACAAAAGCTTCCTAGACTTGGGAAGCTGCTTGTGACTGACTAGTCCCGACAAGGCATACAGGCCGTGACGAACCATTTTGAATTCGTAAATAGGAGTTCGGCGATCCCACAAGAGGGTGTGGTTTCAGCTCGCCACAAATCGCAAGGAAGATTTGACCCCTGTAAGATATGTCACGTACTTCGTACTAGACGATGGTGAGGGGTATGACGATTTCAGAGCACGATATCAAACGCATATTTATCCATCACAGCCGCCGCCACTTCTCGAACAAGTCCTCCCCATCTTCCCAAGAACATCTAACTCCAAGTGAAAATCGATCTCCCCAGTTTTTTAGAACTTGATTGCTGGAATCAAATGATCCCATACTCAATTCCATCCCATTTCCACCCAAGTTTTACCTGGGTATGTGTTTCAACAATTTCATCGCGACAATAAACTGCTTCAACTAACTCATACAGGTGCCATAATTTCCCTTCCGACAACTAGTTCCTTTCCTATATATTCTTTCGGTCCTTCATAGCTCAAGATGGCTCCCGGCATCGTCTCTCCTGCGCCGATCTCGACATCCCACTTTCCTATCAGTCCTCTCTTTCATGGCAGACGCATCTCGATCCCACAAGATGACGAAAACTACTCGGCTACCTCCATTACGAGGTACACATCTCGTGCCAGTAGCAGAAAGATGAGCATGGTGGACACTTCCAACATATCCAATGTCGTCTACTCCCTGAGGCGCCGCAGCTCTGAGGAGCTTGGCTCTACGACCTCGTCCAAGCTTCTGAGTGCCTCCCACGAGTCCATCCTGGACTGGATCAGCACCCAGCGCATGAGCCACCTGCCTCCAGAGGGAAGCAGCCACGACAAGGTGCTCGCCTGGGCGCAACTGTTTGTTGAGAGGTTGAATTCTTTTGACCTCGCAGTCTCCGAGTTCGCCGGTGATAGTTACATCGCGACGCAGCTTGCTTATGGCTATTGTGCCATCTTACTTGAGGTATAAGGGTCCCAAAAATGGCTAAGCGTTGAGTGTCTTACTGACTTACTATAGCTGGGAAAAGAAAATGCCCCAGCTCTGATGATTTCATTTGGCTTTTTCTACAACATGTCGGTATCATTAGTGAACCTCCTGGAACGCACCGAGCTCTTCAGCGTCTCTCAGGAGATCCGTGAGCAGTTGGTTCTGGCTCTTTCGGACCTCGTTACGCTGGTTGCCAGCGTTTCCACTCATTTTCACAAGGCTATCCGTGGCATGACATCCGCGTCTGTTTCGGTCAACATCTACAGTACTTTCACTTCACAGATCAAAGCCTTCATTGATCGATGCGACAAGACTGCCGAGGCGATGTGGCGTCATCAACTCGTCAGGGAGGGTCTGGACGTGAATAAAGGTGAGAGCGGCCTTTTCTTTCCTGTGCCGTTGACATTCTACGGTGTATCACAATTACTAACCATTGCAATCTAGTATCTTCCGTGAAAGCCATTAAGGCTTGGATCAGTCCTGAAGACCATGTTCTCGCCAATGTCGCCAATTCAATGTCGCATTTGGCTCATGATCGAGAGGAGTTGACTTGCCTTTGGATCGGGCCTTACTTGACACGCTTCTTGAAGGGCTCCTGCAAGACTCTCTCCATCAGCGGCAAACAAGGTTCCGGAAAGACAGTACTCTCGTCTGTCATCGTTGACTACCTGCAACACCCGGTCGGTGGTGTAGCATACAACACCTTGTTCATCCCCATCAGTAAGAAATTTCCCATAAGTTATCATATCTTCCTGGCTGTTTCTAACTTAGAGTGAACAGACAGCAGAATCCCCGCTGAGACTTCATCCCGAGCTATTGCCAAGACCATTCTATCTCAGCTCTTTGATAAACGAATCGGCAATGTCCAGCTGCTGGAGATTCTATCCGACGCATGTGAGAAATGCAGCAAAGCAGCCAATGACGGCGACTATGACAACATTGTTTGGACAGCGCTAGACCGAGCCTTGTCCGCTGCTCTTCCCGGTGCCAAAGAACTCGTCATTGTTGTTGATGGCATCGACGAGGCCTCTTGCCGCGAGGCGACCCTTCTCCAAAAGCTCACCAATTCGGCTACTAAGGGGACAAACGTCAAACTCATTACCCTCGGTGCTGAGAAGACGGCCTCTGCGGACGCCCACACAAGCATTCAGATCAATGAAGATCTGATCTTTGATGACATCATGGCTGTTGTCAGAGGACACTTCGATCACACTAAGGCTTTCGCATCCTTGTCTGAATTGGAGCAGGAGATGATAGTCAACCGCATCACCACAGCTTCCAAAGGATCGTTCCTCTGGGCCAAGCTTGCCACGAAGAGAGTTCGCAATGAACCTGATTCTGAGTCTCTCAAGAAAGCTATCGACTCCATCGTTCAGTCCGCGATTGTCGACTTCGTGACACACACTTTGAACGCGCCTAGCGTGACTCAAGAGGCGAAGAAGATGCTGCTCTGGCTCGCGACTGCCGAGCGACCTCTTTCACTAAAAGAGTTAGCCTCACTGCTATCGATCCAACTTGACAAGACTATCTTGGATCAGCCTATCGACGTTCTATCTCACCTGAGGCCCGTCAACTCGCTCGTGTTCTTACAAGATGGCCTGGCATACATCCGCCATGGTCTTACACGCTCTGCCATCTTGGATCTTTTTGCCAAGGGGAAAATGGTGCCCGAGGTCAAAGATCACCAGACAGACTTTACCACAAGGCTCCTCTTCTACATCAAGACCACCATCACTCAGCAACATGAGCCTTCTCTTGATGTCCTCGATGCTCATGAGACGGCTCAGCTGGTGAACAAGTTTCCTCTGCTTGACTTTGCCATTCGTTACTGGCCCGTCCACTTCAGACGCACCCCAACATATGTAAAGGAGGGTGACTCGGCTACCGTGAAGAAAATATCCAAGTACATCCCGAACTCCAGCACTTTTATCCTTCTTCAGGGTGCTCTTTGGGACAACAGGCCTACCCCCCAGTTGCTCTCCTACCAGGCTATCGTGACAGATATTTGCCGCCAGGTCTTGTCCACAAAGAGCACTGTGACTCTCCAGGCCGTTATCCTAATGGCCGTTCTCTACAGAAGGGTCGGGTACACGACTGAATCAGTTCACCTGTTCCACGAGGCGACTACAATGGCTAATACTCTTTTGTCACCCCGCCACCCCGTCACCATGCAGACTGCCTCGGCGTTCCTTGAACTGACATCTTCCATGGCGACAAATACTAAGACAGAGATCATGGTCAAGAGAGAAGATGCGCTGCTGGTCTTGATAGAATGTTACAAGGCTCAGTACGGCCAAAACTCCGAGATGGTGATGTCTACCTGGAATCGTCTTGTTGAGCATTACCAGTTGACAAAGGAAGATACTAAAGCTCAGGAGATAATCTCATCAATCGGATCTTCAACCAGTAATGGGGGAGTGATTCTGCAGCGTGAAGGAGATCTCCATGTGCATCTCAAGGGACACAAGCAGAAGGAAACTCACGATGATAAGAGCGTCAACCTTCTTCTTGATGTCGAGGAACATGACGAGCTCATTGAGCGAACTGATTCATACGACTTTGAGTACTCGATCAAGCAGGCTGAAAAGCAGATCAAGCATGGCCATGTGGAGGTAGCTGAGCACTCCTACATTGAGATATGGCAGCATGCGAGTCGCCAGTACTGCACCCACCACTCTGAGCTGTGGGAGAAGAGAAAGATGAAGGCTGTTCTCGAGTACTCCAAGTTCCTGAAGACGCAGAAGAGAGAGACGGAATCTGCATCTCTACTTTCGAGCGTTTGGGAGGAGTACAAGCAGAGTAGCATGGCTGTCACTGAATCTTCAGTCTCTCTTTTCCACGAGATGGCCACCGTGATGAAATCGCTGAGTTTGACATCCGAGTCATTGAGTGTTCTCAAGCACTGCTCGCAGTTCTACCAGAATACCAACCGCACTCAGTCTTCGAGCTACAAAGAAATCCAGCAAAGCATCCAGGCTACCTCTAGAGAGCTCGTCTCTTCAATTAGCTCTTACTCGAGCTCTGAGACCCTGCTTGAGGAGACAGTTCTGGAGGCGTCTAACTCGATTAGTACCATGGACGACTCCAGCTTCGCTGCCGTGAATCGTCTTGTTGGTTTCTACATCTCGCAGCATCGCTGGCAGGATGCCACACAGCTGATCAAGAAGGTCCTTCGCGGTGTCTGGCCGTCCATCTTCTCATCCAGCGTTCAGGATGTCATCGCCCCCAGCAAGCACGTGCAGAGCTGTGTTGAGCTTGCCGAGCGCCTTGCCGAGTGCTATCACGCGCGTCGCCGGCTCCAGAGAGAAGAAGATATTCGCCTCCGAATCTATCGCTCTATGCGCGTCAGCCGTGGCGTGTCAGACAAGCTTCGAGAGCGCGTCACGGTGAACCTGCTGGGCTTCTTCCAAAGGGGATCCCAAGTCAATCAAGTGATCAACATCCGCCAGGAGATGCTAGACGACTACACCACTGAGCTCGGCCCAGAGGACCCAACAGTCATCAAGATGCTCTGGACATTGGCTGAGCTCACCAGACCTCGTCCTGTCTTTGTCGAGTATTACCAGAAGATCATCAGTGCCCTGAACAAAGGTCATGAGGTTTGCAATCCCGAGACGTTTGAGCCATGTGTTATCGTGGCGACTGAGCTTTGGAACAAGGGTCTCTTCTCCGAGGCGCTGTCTTACTACAGAACCCTGTTCACTACATTCTTGAAGCAGCCCAAGCTGAACCCCAGGTTCAATGATCAGGAGTTCAACCGCGAGCTCTACACTCGGTACACCTACTGTCTACGCAACATCCACAGCGACTTGAATGTTCTGCACAAGGTTACCGTAGACTACCAGGCTCAGTGCAAGTCAGTTTTTGGCACGAACGCGTCCATCACTATCCAGGCTACGCTCTCGCTGGCTAGAGTTTGCCAAGAGTCCAAGCGCTACGAGCTTGACGCTGTTACGCTTTACGAGGAACTTCTCAAGATCAAGTCGACAGAGGTAGACCATACCGAGATCTCCTCTATTCTCGACTCCATCTATGAAGAACAAGCAGACCTTGTTGCATCGTCCAAGTTCGAGTCTTGTTCCGCTACGCAGACCGAAAGGGCTGTCAAGATTCTGCAAAGTCGAATCTCTGGGGCTCGTGAAACCCATGGGTGGGCGCATTCGGAGTCCTTGACCAAGCTCACTGAGCTGGTCAAGTTCTACAGCAAGCAGCATCATACAGAAAAGGTTATCAATGAGCTCCGAGACACAACAGTCAATGTTCTCTCTTCTGAGACCAGATCCTCAAGACTCATTGCTGCTGCATCTACTATTGTGTCAAGTTACATTGCCAGCAACCAAGTCCACAAGGCTACAGAGTTGAAGGAGGATATCTATCGCCAAATCATCCTCAAGGACACGGCTAGCACCAAGTCCCAGTTCGATCTCTCGTTCCGGGGCCGCGAGAGCTTGGTCTTCCTGGCTCAATTTGAACACAGCCTCAGCCGCAACTCGGCTGCAGTCAACGATATTCTGGCCGACTTGACTACTCAATACGTCTACGTGCAGGAGTTCAGAAGCCTGATCAAAGCGAAGTCCAGCAGCATCCAGAAGGTGACTGTGGCCACATCCCGACTTCATCAGTGTCTGATCAGCAGCGGGCGCCAGGCGGCTGCTGCCCGTGTGATGGAAGACTACAAGCAATACTTCATCATGACGGAGGGCCAGAAGCTGAACCTCACCAAGCCGTCCGAGGTCGATGCCTTCCTCGACATGCTTCTGCAGCACTTCAACACACATAAGTCGAACAACTTCCTACGCTCTGTTGGTATCGCTTCCAACGCGCATGTCTTGCAGCTCCTCAAGACCCAGAATTACGAGCGCGCCTGCGATCTTGCTTCGGCATCGTTCACTTACATCTCGGCACGCGATGAGTACCAGACCCCGGGCATTGCCAAGTTTGTCCTGATCCTGGGTATGACCATTGCCGGCCGCCATCTACACCCGAAGCCCCATGAGGCGGCTCGCAAGAGGATGCTCAGTGTCTCCGGATTCATCACCCAGGACGTGCTCCACGTGCTGAGCGAGTTGAACATCGATCTGGAGCAGATCAGCCTGCACCATCTGAACAACCTCATTGGACTTCTCGGCGACCAGAGGGACTTCAAGACCCTGTCTTGGTTCCTCGGCATTCTCTGGAACAGCCGCGAGGCCCAGCGCAACTGGCGACCCTCCGTGACTCTCGCTCTGGGCCGTCGCTTCATCATGGCAAGATATCTTGTAGGCGAGTCCCTCGCCGCCGTCCGCCTCGCCGAGGATATCGTGTACAACTGCCGTCGCGTCTACGGCAGTCGCCACGCCAACACGCTCGAGATGTCCATCTTCCTCACGCAGCTCTACACGGGCATCGCGCAGCGCTACCAGAGCCAGAAGGCCGGCCAGGACATCGCCATCCGCTACTACAAGAAGAGCGCGGCGATCCACGAGAACGTCCTCCGCGTCTTCAGCGACCCCTCCTACGCCGAGATGGAGGCCGGGCTGGGCACCAGCGCCGAGGCCGAGTCGAGGTCCTTCTTCTTCGAGAGCGGGTACGAGTCGCCCAAGGCGGTGGGAGAGAAGTCGGACGCGGAGCACGTCCGGGAGCATCTGCAGTACCTCAAGCTCGCGCTGGAGCGCCTCGGCAGCTGGCCCAAGGACTACGTCGAGTACCAGAGGCTCAACACCGATGTCTTCCGTGTGTTTGGCGCGGAGCTGAGAGGCATCGAGGGTATGGACAAGTGGAATCTGGGGAGCTTCGGCTCGGGCAACGCCGAGAGCAGCGAGGACCTGCTGGACCTCGAGGTGACTGACTGGGAGCTGGGAGAGGCCGCCCAGGTTGGAAATTGATCGGCATGAGGCGCAGTTGAGTGAGAAGGGAAGAAAATATGCCTGGCGATAGTTTGGGTTGGAGGGTTGGTTGTGGCAGATTGTCAGAGAGCTCCTGAGCTCGAACCATGTTTGTTAACCAGTATGCATGAATTGATCAACGCAGTCTTTACCGGATGTCAATCATCGTTCGTTCGCATCTTGATTGAGTTAGCACTATGCTTATTCCTTTGAAAGGTGATTTGAGATTAGACGGTGGACAGTATCCGCAAACCTTAAGTGGGCACGGATATCACGGCACACTTGAGGCTGTCGCGACGGAAGTGCGGCTCGTAGTATCTTCACAAATGGTAGAGCAAGAGGCAGTAGTCAGCAGATGTTATCTTATTCATCCCCGTTGTCGACACGCAATAGGGTATCGGTCTGGCTGTCGGGTTCGAGGGCGGCAAGTTCCAGCTGGACCAACGCAATAGTGAACACTGGTCTGTCAACACTGATATTTTGGCGTTCTGCTGTAACATATCGCGACAAAACGCGTACGTCATCCAGAGGTTTCTTAGCAACATTCTTTTTTTAAAGCAAAGCAGCTTCATGCGAAAGTGTCTGCCATCTCCATCGCTCCATCATGGCAGTACGTATGCATCAGACCACCGCAGATAACCTCATGATCAACGAGGCCTGGAGCATCTCTTGCACGTGGGATGAAGGTCGTCGAGAGGCAAAGACCGAAGCTCCGACCGACCCTCGCCCATTGATTGGATTTCCATAATAGTTGCTGGATGGGTTTTTTCTCTCTGGTGAGATGGGGCAATACGGCACATTATATCCGAGAACTCTGACTGTTGGACGCTTCAGGATCAGACGTCTCATGGATCTTCTGAGTCGACCCAGGGACGCCCGTTAACCATAGATTTAAGCACGTGGGTGGGGATGTTCGATCGATGGGGAACCGGGGACTAGGCAAGGCCCCTGGACCCTCCATCCATCGGGCAATGAGACGTCTCGAAGTGGCTCCGGTCCCGCGGCGGGAATATCGGCCATACGATGAGGCGTCCCTTAGCCACTTTGACGGCCGCTTGCCAAGAGATCTTGGTGTAGGTAGGAAAGAGAGCACGAGGCCTCCTCCGTCTGGAACCAATATCTGTCAACGTGCTCGTCAGCGATGGGTCGTTCTAGGCTGATTCCGGGCAAATCGCCTTGGTCTGGCCGAGCCAAGAAGCAGGTGGCAGACGGGTGACTTTCAATAGTAACAGGTCCGGCTGGGAAAAAATCGCCTTCCAAGCCACGTACCTACTATGCCCCGTTACCCCGTGCAGTAGGAGCCATCAGGCCTTGGCTGTATGTACGTTGCTAATCATAATGCAGATCGACGTCACAGGCTTGTACCGTAGACCAAGACTCCATGTTCTCTCTCCCACTCTACGGTTCCAGTCAAGTCCCTGAGCTTAGATTCTAGCTCTTCGCTCACTCACCAAGCTTAATTCTTTGCATTGGGACCCAATAAGCATAAAACCGAACTGATTCAAGTCTTTACTTGCATTTGACCCATATTCCAGAAGCTGGGTTTCCTTCCATGGGCCCGCTCCCGATGGCCTCCCCCCCACACACCCCGAGACCACACATGCATCACGGCAAGCCAGAGCCGAGAAACTTAGGTAGAATTAGATGAGAATCACGTCCGCAGTAGCAAATCAAAGCCAGCCGTTTGAGCACTACCTCGAATTCCCCCCGATACGGCAACCCCGTTTCTAACTACAGCATCGCTAGTTGGCCACAACAGCCCATCCTCACGCAGTTCGCCGTGCTGCCGTCTTATCCGGCGCAAAACAGCCTGGGCATAATCTTCCATCCTTCCATCCTTCTATTTGGTGTTCTGTATTTAAGACTGACGTGCTTCTCCTGGTCTCTGTCGCGTTTCTTGTTTCTGCAGCTCACATCAAGCCCAGTAAGCCAGCGATCAGATTCGCAAGGGTGTCCCTCACGTTCTTTCGAAAACACCTAACAAGAAACCGCAAAGATGGTTCTCTCTCAGTACGACTACATCTTCGGCATCGGCACCGTATTTGCCATGCTCGATGCCTTCAACAACGGTGCCAGTATGTCATCAAGTTTCTCAACATCTCGAAGATCAGGGTCTTCTATCAAGGGCAACTTGCTAACCTTCTCTACTAGACGATGTCGCCAACTCCTGGGCCACCAGTGTCTCCTCCCGTTCGATTTCATACCGATGGGCCATGGTGCTAGCCACTATCTGTGAGTTGGTTGGTGCCATTGCTACCGGTGCCCGTACCGCCTCGACCATCAAGGACGGCATCATCCCCTCGTCTGCCTTCCAGTCCAACCCTGGTGTTCAGATGCTGGCTTTCGCCTGTGCCATCGCCGCCGCCTCTTCTTGGGTGATGTGGTGCACTGCCCACTCCACCCACGTCTCCTCCAGTTACTCCATCATCTCCGCCGTCGCTGGTGTTGGTGTTGCTACCGTCGGTGCCTCCAAGGTTCAGTGGGGTTGGAACAACGGTAAGGGTCTCGGCGCCGTCTTCGCTGGTCTCGGCATGGCCCCTGTTATCTCTGCTGGCTTCGCTGCTACCATCTTCATGCTCATCAAGCTCGTTGTCCACATGCGCAAGAACCCTACTCCTTGGGCTGTCTACACCTCTCCCTTCTGGTTCCTCCTTGCCTCTTCCATTTGCACCCTGTCGATTGTCTACAAGGGCTCTCCTCAGTTCAACCTAGGCTCCAAGCCCGGATGGTGGATCGCCGCTGTTACTCTCGGCACCGGTGGCGGCGTCTGCCTTCTATCTGCCATCTTCTTCGTCCCCTACATCCACGCCCTTGTCATCAAGAAGGACCAGACTCTCCGCTGGTACCACGTCTTCATGGGTCCCCTCAACTTCAAGCGTGCTGGCCAGGCTGGTGATGTCGCTGTTGTCCCCAACTTTGCCGTCATCCAGGAGGACGAGGACGAGGTTGCTTCCTCCAACGGCACTGAGGAGCACGATGTCACCAAGGAGAAGAACACCACCACCAAGACCGCCGCCCCCGAGCACGACAATGAGCACGCCCTTGTCCATCTCGAGGCTACCCAGGAGGAGTACCAGGAGATGGTCGCCGCCAAGCAGCGCCAGATGCACGACAAGCTCATCAAGAAGGGTGGACCTCTGGGCTGGGCTCTCCGCACTCTCCGTGAAAACCCCATGGGTGCCGGTTCTCTGTACGAAGTCCACAACATCAAGAGAATCTTCGTCCGCATTCCTGCCCTGATCGTTTGCGCTGCTCTCTACGGTATCAACTACGATATTCACGGTGCTCAGTCCGGTGTTCTCGGAACCCCTGAGGGTGCCCGCATGGCTCGTGTCTACAGCCACGCCAAGCAGTACTCCAACGAGGTTGAATACAGCTACTCCTTCATTCAGGTCCTTACCGCTTGCACTGCCTCTTTCGCTCACGGTGCTAACGATATCGGTAACTCCGTCGGTATGTAAAACACACTCTCTCTCTGAAGATCCTCCGATCACTAACCCATATCCAGGTCCCTGGGCTGCTATGTACTACGCCTGGTCTCAGGAGAAGACTGCCGACAAGACCCCCGTCCCCATCTGGCAGCTCGCTGTCCTCGGTCTCACTCTCTCTGTCGGCTTCATCACCTACGGTTACAACATCATGAAGGGTGAGTTTCCAAATACATTGATTTTCTGTCATCAGGTTGCTAACATCCCTCATAGTCATGGGTAACAAGCTTACCTACCACTCTCCTTCTCGTGGTTGCTCTATGGAGATGGGCGCCGCCATCACCGTCCTCCTCGCCTCCCAATTCGCCCTCCCCGTCTCTACCTCCATGTGCATCACCGGCGCCACCGTCGGTGTTGGTCTGTGCAACGGAACCTGGCGCGCTATCAACTGGCAGCGAATTGGTCTTCTCTTGACCGGTTGGATCCTGACCATCCCCATTGCCGGAACCCTCGCTGGCTGCCTCATGGGTCTGTTCATCAACGCCCCTCACTTCGCCTCTTAAATATAATACCTTGGAGGTTCCCCATCCGGTTGCCACCTCCTGGCACACAACCCTACCTGCATACCTACTACCTAGATTGATACCACTCGATACCTATTATCCTGTAATACCCCAATTTGTACACGGCAGTACATAGACAGTCCTTAGAACAAGTAATAGATTTACCTGCCGACTATATTCAATGTTGCTTTGTGCCTTATTGTAACAGCGGAACACCACATGTAAGGATCTAATGCGACGCGATGAACTCAAACTCACAAAATGTTTCGCGTGACCTTTCTTTATTCAATGAATAAATAAATAGATCATTCATAGACCGTCTTTGGACAATAGGAAATTCAAGTCTTCTATCAATTTCGTTTCAACTGGTGACCTCTAGCTGTGGCAAATCCTCACATCTAACAGTCACTATAATCAACTTATGTTACACTTTGGTAAATCAGGGAAAGGATAGTTTTCAAAGGCGACGTATCTGTGATTAATCTTTGTTAAATTTCAAGTTTGGTTCATTCTCCTTTGATGCAATTATTCATATATTGCTTGCCATGTACGTGCTTCCTGGGTAGCTAGCACAAAGATGCATAAATTGTGCAAATATAGTGTTTGATGTATAAAAGTGTATAAATTTATGAATGTGGTGATGACTAATTATACGATTTTGCAAGTTTATATCGGCAGATGAGTGTAAACCATGGTGGAATGTGACTCAATCAGTGTCTGTTTTAGTTGCAACAAAAGCGTACAATATATGATCGCCCTTCGGATTCACTAATATTATAAATAATTACATAAAACATTTGTTTGCTCTCTTGATTACTTGGTTTTATGCCCCAATCTGGTTCCTGGGTTGCAATTAAGATGCGTTATGTCGATGTTTAGGGTAGGTAGGCTTGGACTGCGTTTTTAGTCATCAATTGTTTTGCAATAATGAATAATGCCGTCATTCGTTTGTCAATTGAAGTGAGATTCAAGATTTTTCATATCAAAACAAAACAAAGACACTTTCAGGCAATGGAAATCCAAATATTGTCCGACCTCCACCTGGAAACCCCCCGATCGTACGACATCTTCGAGATTGTACCCAAGGCACCATACTTGGCCTTGCTTGGAGATATTGGGAATGTCGGATCCGACCAAAGTGAGTTCCTAGACTGGATCACTCGCCAGCTAAGGCAGTTCCGAGCCGTCTTCTTGGTCGCTGGAAACCACGAGGCTTTCCAGACGTCTTGGCCAAATGCAATCACAGTCCTCGGCGACTTTGAGCGCACTATTCAGAAAGACGACTCATTGGGCGAGTTCGTTCTGCTCGACCGCCGTGCATATGAGATCCCGGATAGCGACGTTGTCATTCTAGGCTGCAGCTTATTCTCGTTTATCCCACCCGAGAGCGAGAATGATATCAGCTTTGGCCTCAACGACTTTTATCGCACGAGTGATTGGGATACGACTATGCACAACGCTGCGCACGAGCGAGATCTTGCATGGCTCAACGAGAAGGTCGCCGAGTACGATGCGAGTGAGGCCAAGATTGTGGTTTTATCGCACTGGAGCCCCTCCGTCGACACACGCGCCCTGGACCCAAGACACATCAACAGCCCTATCTCGGGCGCTTTCTCGACTGATCTGTCGGGAGAGGCGTGCTTCAAGAGCCCTCAGGTGCGGTTGTGGGCTTTTGGGCACACTCATTATAATTGTGACTTCACGGTAGATAGAGGGGATCATGTTGGGCCATTGAGGATATACACCAACCAAAGGGGCTATTATTTTTCTCAGGCTCCCCGCTTTGATGCAGAGAGGGTTGTTCAGATGGAGTAAAGTACTGAGAAACGTTTCCAATAGGGCATTTAGAACATTACATCTAGATTCTTATGTGTTAGGTAGGCAGCTGAACTTTCATGTCGCAGCCTATCTCGGTCTATGAACCCCCCATTTGGCTGATCTTCTCATCTTCTTGCCTGAAACAAGTACTGGTCAGATAGAATTAGAGGAATAGCCATGCATCCTCCAGTGATAAAAGCTCGCTTAGCCAGTCTCTTTCCTCTCCGTACGGTAATTCCATACCCGCCAATAACTCGTTGGAGAGCTGCACATTTCTCAGATCTTGTTTCTTCCACAAGTTCATGAGAACTAGAGCCGCACTCTTGGCGTTAGCAGACAGCGAAACTTCCCAGATCCTTTCGAATACCCTGAGCGCCCACTCTCTATGCTCAAGCTTGGAGCAGGCCGCGCCGGCGACGAAGGTCGGCCACAACACACACTTTATCAGGTCAACATCTTCAAGTTCAGGAAACGGGTATTCCGAAACGAGATCATCGACAGAAGGCATCAGCATAGTCGAGTCTCTGGTGACGTTGGCAAAAATTTGACTTGCATATATGTCGGCTCCGAGCTTCCAGATCGTGCCTATATGTTGCAAGTCTACTAGCGTGTCTTTGTCCACATTGTTCAGAGGGACTGCGGCAGCCCAGGATTCAACATCGAATCCTCGAATTTGACGCAATGCTTCACTGAGACCCATCATATCGATTGGGGGTTCCGTCCCCCCAGTATCAAGCCGTCGTTGCGAGGAGAAGAACTCAACCGCTGATTGTATGCTACTAGGACAGCCAACTAGCGATACACCTAGGTTATCATGGCGCATAGATTGTATGATATGCGTGGAGAAGGACGACGATAATAGCCCTGGTCGGGTGATTGAGGACCCAAAAGTTTGAAATCTGGGGGCCATGAACTTTGGTTAGTATGGTTCATAGCCTTGGGTAAAATCTAAAAGACTCACACAGATACATCGTTAGCTACGCCTGGTGAATCAATATGCCAAGGCTGGCTTTGGGTCCTCGCTCTATCCGTCAACAGCCGCTTTGCGCCCTCGAGATGGATGGTCCAGGATCCGGCGCCACTCTCACATGCTTCAAGAATAGTAAGGAGCACAATGGTGACCAATGTAGAGTGACACTGGCTTTTGGACTCATCTTCTAGCGCGGCTGCAAGATGTTTGAGACAGTCTGTTTTGGATCGTAGATAGTGATTAAGAAGCGTGGATTTAGAAAGATGAGTATCGGCTGGGTTAGACAGCAACAAAGGCATCTCTCCATTAAGTGTGGTAGTAGTGATTGTTTTAGACCGTAAACTGAGTATAGGCATGCCCATTAGGCTATGAGTAAAGTGACAAGATGCAACTGCTAGGATTGCATTTGCTACAGCAGGTGACGATGCAACGAGAGGGATGATTCCACGATATTTGTTGTCAATAGTATCTCGCCAGACTATGAGCGGGCAAACACGCCGTGAAACTTAAGGAACTCAGTCAGCTCAGAACACAAGAAAAAGCGTGTCGAACGCGTAGAAGGAGCCGGACGTACAATAATCAATGAAGAATCTCGAGGCAAGATCAAGATCTTGAAAAAGGGGCTCAGTCAGCGCAATCATGGGAGGTGGAGAGTACCGATTTCTGGAATAGTTGTGACGACGCCTCAATGATGTAAGATGGGGGGATGAGAAAACATCTGGTGATGCTTGGGGCGACGAACGGGAAGAATCGGTTCCCGAACATGTGAGCCCATCATCGGATTGTGCTGGAAGATCTGAGGAAGACGCAACATGGTATGTAATAGAAGGCTGTTGTTGTAATGAGTGTGAAATCACTTTTTGCGACATATGTTTTGCCTCGGCTGGTGTCTGTTGTCCGCCAAAGCTTCGGTTCTTCATTGGGCCTCGAACAGACACGCCGTCAACCCATGTCAGGGGCTTGACATATCCAAGGCATGCAACTCCATTGTCCCGGCATTTACGGCAGCTAGGAACCTCCCCATCGCACTTGAGACGACGACGCCTGCAAGTCCAACACCTACCGGTAGACATTACCCTTCATAGGCAATGGGCTCCACCGATGGTCGCAGGTGCGATCAGCCCTGGATCGATAACATATGTAGGTAGATTAAGTATTGATAAGCCTTTTGTCGTGATAGGTGGGGTCAAAGTAGAGAAGTTTGCTCTGAGCGCTTGGCAAGGAGCCCGCGGACATCCAAGGGCTGAATCATCGGTTCTCTTTGTCTAGTGGAGACCGGATATACGTACGAACGGATTAATAATGAGTGAGCGACTGGGCGAAATGATGGGTGTCACGTGACCCACGAAGGCTTTGTCGTTGCATTTCCTAAAGAGGTTATATCCGGTCTTTAGCCGATAAGACCCACTTTCCTAATTCTGATAATAAGTGACAAGGCCCCACTTGTTGAAGATGCGAGACGAGAGTATATGAGGTGCTGCAGGTCCATTCTCGATGGCAAGCTAGCTTATGAGGATGGATGTTTGGGTCATGAGTTGACTTTGCTTCGTTTTGAGGCTAACTTGAAATTTACGAGTCTAGTGTTCTTGTGCTCATGCCTTCCTACTTGTTGCATCAGCGGAACGAGCCGCGCGATGGCTCCCACCCCACCGAGCACGACTCGGACCAACATGTCTTCGTAACGGCAGAGGCTGAGGAGACCGTCACTGAACTGCACCGAGCCATCTCGAAGCAATCCAAACATGCGGAGCCAGAGCCGTCTCCTTCGCCGGCATTTGAAGATTTTGAAAAATATCTGCGCAGTACACAGGAGGATGCTGAAACTCAGGCGAAGAAGCCCCAGCCCGTGCCGCTCAGCGTATGCTTCAAATCAATTACCACCTATGGAAGGCAGGGTGGTCCAAAATCTGTCAAAACCCTCAAGGACGCAATTTGGAGGACTCTGACTCTACAAGATATCTACGAAGCTACCCTTAAGCGATTGATATCTCCTGATCGAGTCGAAAATGGGCAAGCCCTGATCCGAGATTTTTCTGGTGTTGTTCGAAATGGCCAGATGATGCTGTGAGTAACTACAAAACAGCGCCTTCAATTTCTGTTCTGTTTTATTGTGCTAACGGCACGGTACTTGACAGTGTTTTGGGTAACCCAGGCTCCGGATGCAGCACGTTTTTACGCACCATTGGCGGTGAGCACGACTCCTTTTTGGGGGTCAAGGGGTCCATTGATTACTCGGGTCTTTCTCTCGAGGAAGTGTCAAAGTACTACAGGGGTGCCGTTGCATATATACCGGAGGATGATGTACATCTGCCCACTCTAACTGTCCGGCAAACCCTGGAATTCGCTTTGAAGAATAAGACACCCAAGAAGCTATTGCCGGAAGTGCCTCGCTTTCTCGACGAGTTCGGCCGAGTGTTTGGTATGACCCACGTCATGAACACTTTGGTTGGAAATGAATTCGTCAGGGGCGTGTCTGGCGGCGAGAGAAAGCGAGTTTCTATCTTGGAATCTCTGGCATCGGATTCATCAGTCAATTGTTGGGACGGTTCCACTCGGGGACTGGACGCATCATCTGCTCTTGATTACATACGTTCACTGAGAATCATGACGGACACATGCGATCGGGCGACGATTGTATCGATTTATCAAGCTTCGGATGCCATTTATGATCTCATGGACAAGATTTTGCTCATTGATCAGGGACGGATGCTTTACCAAGGCCCTGCCAAGGAGGCAGAAGGCTACTTCGAGGCTCTTGGCTATCGCCGTCTCCCACGTCAAACAATGAGTGATTTCTTGGCAAATGTTGCTGCGGGAACTCCAGAAAATATTCAAGATAACAAACAATTGAGCGTCCCTCGAGGAGCAGTCAATCTCGAACAAGCTTTTCGATCCAGCAAGGCTTTCCAGAATGTCCAAAACGAAATCACCGAGTATGAGCATTCTATTTCTTCTGCCAATGGCAGCAATGACAGCACTGTAACTGCGGTCGAGGCATTTAAGCACTACGGGGATAAGCAAAAATCAAGATTCGTCTCTCCTCGCTCATCTTACAACACATCATTCATTCGCCAAGCGGTATTATGCACGAAGCGCGAATATTGGCAACTGATGGGAGACAAGATACCGTTTTTGACCAGATTTTTGTGCATTTTTTTCTGTGCCTGGCTTCTCGGTTCCATGTTCTACCAAATGCCTCTTGACACTCGGGGTGTTTATTCTCGTGGCGGATTCTCCTTCTACTGCGCAGCTACGGTAGCCTGGTTCCAAATGGCGGAGCTGGAAACTGCGTTCTTTGACCGTACTGTGGTCAGCCGTCAACGGAGATACGCCATGGTGAGACCGAGCGCAGTTGTGCTGGGGAAGACGCTGCTAGACTTCGGTACCGTCTCATTCCAGTCTTTTGCTTTTTCTATTATCGCCTATTTTATGAGTGGGATGAGGTTAGAGGTAAGTATCAGCCTTATTAATTGCATTCACCTCAACGAGTAATTAAAGAGTTGAAACTAACCATGCGCTCTACGTACCATTTTAGGCCGGCTCGTTTTTCGCTTTTGGCTTCGCCATTTTCTTTTGTGCAATGGCGTATGTATCGCTATACCGACTGCTCGGTGCTGCTTCTCCTCGCCTTGAGATCTCTCTCAGATATTGCGGTATTCTGCTTCTGATTGCCATGGTGTTCGGTGGTTATATGAGATCCGTCGATCGTTTGATTGCAGATGTACCATGGGTTGGCTGGCTATCTGTAAGTTTAACCTTTTGGTGTTGTCCGTCAAACTTTACTGATCCTTCGCTAGTACACAACCCCAGTTCTATACGCCTTTGAAATCATCATGGCAGTTGAATTCCATAGTCGAGAGTTCAATTGTGCGTCAAGTTCCATCATACCGTCTGGCCAAGGTTATAATGACGTTGCCTTCCAAACTTGCAGTTATGAAAGCATGTCACCAGGCGAGATGAGTTTACAGGGTGATACCTATATTCTCAACAAGTTTGGATTCAGCTTCGGTAATATCGGACGAGATTTCGGGATTCTGATTCTCTTCATGGTCGCTTTTGTGACGATTAACATGTGGGTGGTTGAGAAAATCGACTGGGCTGCAGACGGAGGAGGCGCACTTGAATTTGCTCATGGACCACCAGCATCAAACAACTCTACTACGCAGAAGGACGAGGAGAGCACCAGCCAAACCGAAACACCAGTCAGGGCTGAGACCTTGACTGAGAAAACCAAGAGTAATAAGACTGGTGAGGGCGGATTGGTCAAGTCCCAATCTGTGTTCACATGGCGCAATTTGAATTACACTGTCCCGCACAAAGATGGGGACAAACAGCTCCTCAATGATGTCTCTGGGTTTTGTGAGCCCGGGAAGCTGACTGCGCTGGTTGGCGCCTCTGGTGCTGGCAAGAGTACTTGTAAGTGATTACACATCGTCCTCATCATCACAACTCAACACTAACCGCACACGTAGTAATGACTGTCTTGACACAGCAAGCAACCGGGAGATTGGAAGGCGAAATGAAGATTGATGACAAGAATGTTGGGTCATCTTTTGGGCGGTCTATCGGTTACTGCCAGCAGATGGACATTCATGTTGAAACAAGCACCGTTCGAGAAGCCTTTGAGTTTTCTGCTCTTTTGAGACAATCTAGCAGCACAAGCAAGAAGGAGAAGTTGGAGTACGTAGATGAGATCTTGGAAATTCTACAGATGAAGGATCTCCAAGATGTCATCATTCGATCTCTATCCCTCGAGCAGAAAAAACGTACCACCATCGGCGTCGAACTTTGCGCGAAGCCGAGCATGCTGCTGTTTTTGGACGAACCTACGAGCGTGAGTCTAGTTTTCTACAGGATGTTGTTCGAAGATACTGATGAGTATTAAATAGGGATTGGATGGACAAGGGGCCATGAACATTGTCAGGCTTCTACGACGACTGGCTGATCATGGTCAAGCCATCATTTGCACCATTCACCAAGCGAATCAAGAACAGTTTGAACTAGTAAGCTCGGCAGTCATAAATATTTCAAGAAGATTTTCTGACTCATTCTTATTTAGTTTGATCGTGTTCTTGCCCTGAATCACGGGGGGCGCGTCTATTACTTCGGAGATATTGGCCCTCACGGCAAGACTGTGGTCAATTATTTCACAAATAGGGGGGTCGGTGTAGAAGCCGACAAGAATATTGCTGATCTACTCATTGAGGTCACAGCCAGAAACTCGAGCTCTTCTCCAGGAAATGATTGGTGCGATATCTGGGACGAGTCTCCTGAGGCAGCCGCCGTGTTAGAGAAAATCGACAACATCACCTCAAAGGCTCCAGCCCAATGCGAGGACAAAGAGTTGGAGCCGGTCCGGACCTACGCCTCTTCAACGCTCTCCCAGATCATTCTCCTGACGAAGAGAACCATGCTGCAATACTGGCGAACTCCAGATTACGTCTATTCACGCCTCTACTGCTCCTTCTTCCATGCCTTCCTTAATGGCCTCGCTTTCTTGCAACTGGGCAACACCGTTTCTGATCTTCAGTACCGAGTTTTCACCTGCTTCCTTGTCTTGATGATCGTTCCGGAGTTCATCAACGCCTGTGCGGTAATGTTTGACGAAAACAGGAATATTTGGCTGGGAAGAGAGCACCCAAGCCGAATATACGGCTGGGTGGCATTTACTACCGCCCAAGTGGTCTCTGAAATCCCTTATGCCTTTGCTGGCGCAGTATTGTTTTACGTCTTGTTCTATTTCCTTATTGGCCTTCCGCTTGGGGAGCCGGCTGGGTACACATTTCTCATGATGATGATGTTTCATCTCTTTAGCACATCCTGGGGGCAGTGGATCGCGGCATTAAGGCATGTAACCTGTCTCCCTCTCATTCGCTTTTGAATATAACTAACTATCGAAAACAGTGCTGACGCGGTCATGGCGGCTAGCGTGATGCCCTTCTTCATTGTTGTATGCGAATTCTTCAACGGCATCCTGCAACCTGTAGAGCTCATGCCGGTTGTTTGGCGGTACACTCTGTACTACATCGGCCCTTTCACCTACTGGGTTTCTGGAACGATCTCCATGATTCTGCTACCAGTCAGTGTGAAATGCGCAGATTCAGAATTTATCCGCTTCCATGTTCCGCCTAATACCACCTGCGGCGTTTACGCAGAAGATTGGCTCTCCTCAACAACTGGATATCTGGCGGATCCTGATGCCACTGACACGTGCAACTACTGCCAGTACACAGGAGGGCAAGATGTGAGTTTCTTGAGTATCAACTTGGGTGCGATCAATGTTTAATGACTTCTATAGTATCTTTCAAACATCAATGTGTCTGCCTCTGATGCCTGGCCATATCTGGGCATCTTTGCGCTCTTTACGGTCACGAACTACCTTTCGGTGTATCTTTGGGTTTACATCAAATCAGTCAAGAACTGGCTGCCGTGGTAGAATATTGAATGGGGATGGGGCCGCAACCAGCAGATAATAATTAAGTCAGGGGATTAAAAAACTTTATAGACATAGAAGGTGGAGGTGGTGAATAGGGCATTAAGATAGTGAAAAGAAAAGCAGTGCATGGGATACAACGATAGCATCGAGTGTAAGTATTAGCTAGGGAGGTGTATGGAATTATCATCCTGCTCAAACTCTACAGGATATCTTTCGACGGTGCAAATTCTATGGGTGATTGGGTTGCAGATACTGGCACACCAATCGCAGTCAGACAGAATGGGATGGTAGCGATATGACCTTATGGCCGATATATCTGAGTTCAGAATAAAACAATGCCAAAGAAGATTACCCCAAGGGAAGATTAATTTAATGGGCCGATAGCCCTGGAATGGAATTCTAGATTCTCATTAGTAGGGGGTCATTATCATCGAAAGAGTAGAGTGTTGGTGTTAACTGTGACCTTCATATCTTGGAGGTTGCCACTTGAAGGCTAACCATAGGCTCAAGTAATGCAAACATTAAGAATGCTATAATATTGACTAGAATTCTACTCCATAGTATTCAATATTGAGTTGTCCTTTCCCCCGATGTTCCGCATTCAGCCTGCAACACCCCATGTGGAGATTCATGATCTGAATACCCACACGGATTCAGCATCAGCGAATGACGATGAGTAGCCCCGTTGGCTCAGTGGTAAAGCGTATCACTAGTAATGATAAGATCACTGGTTCGATTCCAGTACGGGGCAATCGTTAAACCTGATATTTTTGCTTCTGGTCGATATCGTTTGTGGCAATATGACGAATACTTTTTGCCGGTAGCTATCCCAGCTGATGAGCGGCTAATTCTGGCCCTAGCTGAGACGATCTGCCCATTGATATCGCACGTGAGAGAGATTGTCGACTTCAAATCAATTTCAGCTGCCGATGGGTGAGGAGGATAGTATTTGAAGCACAGCAAATATATCCCGAGGTAGAAGCTAGACTCTGGGAGTAAACAGACAGAAATCTTTCATTTCCAGGCTTCTGTCTGCTCTAATATAGGTTCAAAAGTTTTATAAAGAAGTTTTCCTAGACCGAAAGCACGAAGTGACTGAATAAACTCATCCGCCTAAGTAAGAAAAGTGTCATTAAGTTTCAAGAAGACTATAGACTGAACTTGAGTATTTACTTTGAAGACTAATTAGACTTGAGGAGTGGTAAACACTTAGGGTCTTTACTCTTAAGAGTTTTTACCCTTAAGAGAGGACAATGTCTGGGCAAATTTCGGGTCCTTGAATTAATTGCTGTCGGCTAAAAAACATACAATGGCCGACCCTTCAACTACGGGGTGAATCGAGAAACCCTAATGGTAAAAAAAGTGCTCCTCTGGTTCCGGTTTTTTCTACAATGGATCAGACTAACTCAGGATATTGTTTGATTTAGCCAGTGAAATACTTCTGTTAGATGCCCCTTTCCGTGCGAAGTGCGAAGTGTGGCCCGACATAGGATCGACCGATCAACTTTGATTGCCACAGGAAATATTACAGCCTCCTGAATCGAGTGGAGAAAGTTCAATGCAACAGTCACCGTGGTGCTGGGTCCCAGCTTACCCCTAGTCGGCGGTTGTTCTCCGCCACCCACTCATCTCGGATGTTGAAGATTCCTACCAAATCGGTGGGTGGGTGGGTATGCGCATGAAATTTCATGTGCCCTTTTCCCTGACAACTGGTAAACTTTAGATTAAGTAGACGCAATGGAATCCTCCATGCGTATCAAAGTGGTCACATGACATCAAGGCCGTGGTTACTCGAGAGTGTTGAAAATAGTCCAATCCATAATATTTCGTTGCGATCACTACATTGCTTAATTAAGTCTATCGATATGCTAGTGAGGTTGAATCACTTTTAATGTTACATAGGAATTTTAAATTTTAACCCAGCTTGTGGTGGCCAGACCCGAGGCAGGGGAGCCGTTGCCGGTGACTGGGTGGTCACTCGAGCTGTCCGCTTCGTTGTACGTCACCGTCACGACGTCTGTCCGTGTGATCTGGTGGTTTCGGTCTCCCGACGTGCTTCCGTTTGTGTGACCCTTCTTAGGGAGGATGCTCTCTTGCGACTCGACTTCGGGGTCGCCTGCGAGAGAGCCCATTGTATGGTTCGAGACGAGGTGGCTGTTGTTGGGGTTCCGGCCACCGAGGCGGCTGCCCTTGGAGAGCTCGACGTCTCCTCCGTGAGACTGGCCGTATCGGTCGGCACCGGATGTTCCGTATCGGTATTTGTATGCGGAGGAGCCGCCCAGCATGCGGCGGCCGAAGAGGACGTCGACTAACGGTCGGAGTACGGGGATGCAGCAGGCGATGATGATCGTGCTCGATTCGACACTGCCGGTCACAGGATTAGAAACGATGGAACCTCGGGTTGAGGGCATATCCGCGAGCACTTACATTGTCCAGATGACAAGATCGGATGTGTCGTCTGTTCGCTTCTGTTAGAATCTGGAACCTGGCGCATTCAGGAACGGAAAAACTTGGATGCTTACAGGAAAAGTCAGCCCCTGCCAGAGAGGGTAGTCGCGTGCACTTGTAGATGGCAACGACTGTAGCGATCGATCCAATACCCAGAGCAACACAGAGCGCAATCTTCTTGCGCAGGTTGATCTGCAGTGTCCAGAGCACGCTGGCAGGATAGATGGCTAGATATAGATCCACAAAGGCAGAGAAACCTATGCGCGCGTCAGAATATTGTTGAAGACATTACCGCGCTGTGCTTCTTGGATAAGTACAAACCTCCTGCAAAGATGGCATAATCAACCAAGACCCATTTCGAAATACATGATCCTGCCACGTCAAAATTCCACTGGGAGTAGGCTGGCGTACACTGCGCATAGAGGATAACGACGCAGCCGAGCAGCGTTGCGAAGCAGAGGCTTGAAACCGCCCAGAGGGCGATCTTGTTATATTTGTTCGGATTCATCAGTCGGACCAAGAGTGAGGCGACGGCCAGCTTCGGGAGTCCAAAAGCGACGATTCCAAAAGGGAAACCAAGGATGGTCCAGAAGATAGCGTTTTGCTTCTCGTCTTTGGTGAGCAGGGCGAAATGTTTACCGTTGCCCGACTTGACAGCCATGATGGCCATTGCGACGTTGGCCCATTCTGAAAACTGAATTACCGGTTAGTCTGTCGTAATAATCGGCCAGAACTCTGATGTGCCGTTGAACTTACGGTGGCGAGAGTAACCAAGTAGTCGTCCAGGTGTAGCTCTCCCATGATCTTCTGTCGAGTGAAGAGGCGCATTATAACGAATAGCGTACTGAGGACCGTAACGGTGATACAGACGCCCAAGATGGACGGCCCTTTGTTTTGCGCCACCCATTCTGCCGGGAACTGGTCGGCCGGTACTGCATCGAACGGTGATGACATGTTGGCTTGTCCTTCGCTCCGTCCCTAAAGTCCCTTAAACCCTCGAAATCGGCATGAAATATGCAAGGCGCCGGCAGCTCGATCGAAACGGCGGCCAACAGGATGAGAAGAGGAGAATCATGCACAAAATCAAGATGGGGAGTGGGAATGGGGGCGGAATATCTGCAGAACAGATGAACAAAGTGTGACACGAACCAGCTGGGTGGTTCCCTGTTCGCGCGCACTTCACCTGAGTGGAGCTATGGACACTCGGGCTTTAATATATTTTAGGTATCTTGAGGCCTCTGGCAGGCTCCCTATCCGAGTAAGGATGGCTATAATGGCTCGATGTTATGCCAGGAACGAAGGAGAAGCATTGGCGAGAATATCAGGCGAAAGGCAAATTTGACTTAGGCGAGCCCGTTTGAAGATCCCAGACAAGGTTCTGTACGCCAGAAAACGCGGAAAATTTTAGATTACTCTTCATGGGTACATGGAATATTAGACCTGTATCCGTCTGTCTCCTATTCCCATTTATCCCCCGCCGGTTCCTCGTGGCGCGGCCCCGAGGTTTGGTACACAGGGTCCTGTGACATACTATGATCCCTTCCTAGACGAGGTGACTTGCAGAAACGTGTGCCTATCACCCTATCACGACATTTGATCCAGGGGGTCGGTTCGGACGGAGGGAAGAGAGCACAAGAGTGTTTTGAAGTGTGGTAGTTGGCTGGCCCCTGAGTTCTGCGTCCAAGCTATGTACGTGCTTACTCTGGATGTGGTCATAATGTTCATGCAAGTATAGTGTATACGACCCTAGTCATGGTGTTAAAGTACCGTTGATTCAGATATCCGCGGAATGGGGACTAGCGTTGCATTACAACTCACGAACGTTGCTTTTTTTTCGACCCAAGGAGGCGATCCTGCCCTTCTTCGTGCTGGTGGTGCCGTTACCTAACCGTTGGGTCAGTGCTACCATGACCGACCGACACTTGAATTCCAGAATCACGCCAGTGTCAGCCCGGCAACTCGCATGATTTCCCTAGATCAACGGTTGCGGCAACCATACTCTGGTGGGAAGGACGTGAATATCAACGTGCTCCGGATAGGTGAAGCCAAGCAAGCCAAGAGACTGTCATGGCGGGTGGCACCGGGCATGGGGTTTCGCACCATCGGGGTATCTTTCCCAATCCAACTTTGTTGGCAACGGACGAGACCGGGAAGACTTGTCAAGCTTTTGTCTCCTTACGCCACTACTCATGTACCTGCTATGGGTATGGACGTTAGCTTCTCCTCCGCCTCAGCCTTTTGGTGAAGAAAACGGTTTGAACTATACGTTCCGGGACTGGTCCGCGAAGGAACACGCTACATCATGCTGGGACCCCGGACCCTGTCGAGGGTAATATTGGCACCGTTTGGCAAGCTAGAGGCGAAGAATGTAACCCTTCCAACGGTCGTTCCTCCAGCCGGACTCCGCCGGCACTGCTTTTCAGGGTATGCCACCGGCTTGCTCACCCCATTCCTGCAGATCTTCATTCTTTATGTTTACGAAAACGGTGGCTACTGGTTCTTGTTTGGGCATCGGCCCCAGCGAACGTTGCCGCGCGCCAGGGGGAAACCCATTCTTTTGGGGAGTAAACTAAGGAGAAATAGGCGCACCGTTACGACACTGGGACAAGACGAAAGAGGTTGGATGTGGCAAGTGGGTAGACGCGTAGCGACGTTAGATCGAGCGGCCTCTGTGACGATCAAAATGTGCGCGGACCCTGTCCTCACAACTTGCTCGTAAGGCTCTGAACTAGCCTCATGTGTCCGTCTCAAGTAGTCTGGACTCTGGCCAAACAATGGCACGTTACGCTTGCATAAAGCCCCGTGCCCACGAAACCTGCAGCCCGCCAGTTTGTGGCGAGCAACGAGGCGAGAGCCGATAACGTACGTTTATTCCCCCCCTTGCGGACGGCTTGGGGGCGAGCCAATCTTCGCTCCGCAACTGGAGAAGAAATGGGGCGGTGGACCATGAGAGGAAAGGTTAGTGACATATAGATTAACAGCTAAGGAGAATAATGTCACTCGACGAGCGGCAAGGAGAAATGATTCAGGGACGCTGGGATCATGGAACAAGTCTAGCTTCCAGTCAGCATCAGAACATGGTTAGCAGCGAGAGAGCAATTGGTCCATTACGTACTGGCGTGTTCTGAAATGAGCCAAGGCGTGCTGATAGGAGAAGTAGCCGGGGGATCGACCAGCAGCGCCCAAGACTCAAACACAGCCTGGTCTGCCACTAAGACAGGGAGGGTATAGATCTCGCAAGAACAACTCACTTCCCAGGGAGGTTGCCGCGATGCCCGTTCCTAGATTCTCGAGATGATATGATCCTCCAACCTCCACTGCGGCTCCGTTGATGTCAAGTGCCTCCCCTCGACTCACACAAGTAAGCCACGCTTTAACAGTGCCGGAACCAACAAGCCAACTAACATGGTGTGACGGGCTGAGATGAAGGAGAATATGGGAGCACCACATGTGGGAGCTGGCGCCACACCGTAATGATGAACCAAGCCCCTGGTTTCCCACCCCTACATAGCATACCGCATTTTGAGAACTACTTCTCGGGCTTTTGGCACAACGAATGTGCATGTATCGACATAATCATTTGCACTAGACCCATCTTTCCCCTTCGATCAAGGATCTCATCATGCACCAATGCTGCTCTTCATAATGCATCGGCCCAATCCAGCCCCTGGTTCCTCTCGCACTAACCCAACCAACGGTTCTTTGGTTTCCATATGGGTGATGGCTTGTTATTCCCCTCTTGTTAACCCCCGTGTATTATCATGCGAGGGCTATAGCACGAGGTACATGTAGCTCTGATCCAAGATCCTGACTCGTGGCCTGAGTCCGTCCCCAAAGCATCTCCAGTCGGCGGTACCTATTCCCATTATAGGCTTGCGGATGCACCAAGACCCTCAATGCAGCGGCGCCATCATCCTTTTGGTAGAAGCGGTAGAGGCGGTCGATAAGGTCCGTCCTACGCCCGTTTGTGCATGCTTGTGAAGCTCTCTACTTGAAAAGGTGCTTGATACCCCAGGGCCGTGTCTTGTTTTCTCCTCCCAGTACTCGTATCTTCATCCAGTTTCATTGTCCTGCGTGTGTGAGCGATCATCCTCGCTTATACTTAGTCCCTGCCCGTTGCTAGCCGAGCACGTCCTCGTTAGCATCCCTAATTACCACCTCTTCTTTTTTGTTCACAGAAGGAAATAAAGTAATTCACCATGGCTACCAATGGCGAGGCCAAGACCCCTCAGGTCTCAGTTGTTACTGCCACTGACCCGGCCGCCGTCCCCGGGCTGATCAAGGAGCTCTCGGCCTTGGCTGAGAAGTTCGACCCCGCCAATGTCGATGACAATCTGCGTCTGGACCTCGCCCTCAAGGCAAGGACGTTATGGAAGTCCCTTGAGACTCCACGTGAGACCATGATCAGACACAACTGGGCCCAGGTATGTTGTGCTTTTCCCAACAACCCTCCTAAGCATGTAATTTTCAAAGTTCTGACATGTCTGGTTGTTCGGTTAGCCTGCCGCTTTCACCGCCTTGACTGCCGGTGTACAGAAGGGTGTCTGGACATACCTTGACGAGCATGATGGCCCGTTCGTTGCCAGCAAGGTTGCAGAGGCCCTGGACATCACTCCCGCTGTCTGGTGTAAGCAATTGATCGCTCCCTCTAAACCTCTTGTAGTGTAGATCTAACAGTATGCAGCCCGTCTTGCCCGTCATCTCGGTGCCATGGGCTACCTGAAGGAAATCGCCCCAGATACTTATGAACGCACAAACTTCACCAAGGCCATGTCTGTGCCCATCATTGGCCAGAGTTACCCTGTCCTGTATGTATCCTTTCACTTATCATTCACCTTCTAGTGCAACCGCTGACAGTGCTCAGGGCCGGTGGTTGCTTTGCTGCCCTTGACCACTTCCACGAGTACCAGGACAAGGTCGGCTGGACCGAGCCCAACGACGTCGCCAACGGTCCCTACCAGGCGGCGTTCAACACCAAGCTCAACTTCTTTGAGTACCTGCAGGCCAACCCCCCCTATGGCGTGCAGTTCAACTACCACATGGGCGGGTACCACCAGGGCCGTCCGTCGTGGATGGACCCCGGCTTCTTCCCTGTCAAGGAGAACCTGATTGACGGGTTCGAGGACAAGGAGGGCTCGGCCTTCCTGGTCGACATCGGCGGCTCCGTCGGCCACGACATCGAGGAGCTCTACAAGAAGTACCCCCAGATCCCGGGCCGCCTGGTCCTGCAGGACCTCCCGCTCGTCATCAGCCAGATTGAGAAGCTCGACGACCGGATCGAGCGCATGGCTTATGATTTCCATCTTGAGCAGCCCGTGAAAGGTAAGAGATCGGACAAATCTGCGTGTCAAATAATTGTAGAAAGAAACGTGCACTAACTGGTAATTGCAGAGGCCCGCGCATACTTCATGCACTCGGTCCTCCACGACTGGCCCGAGGAGGTCTGCCTCAAGATCCTTGCCAACATCACCGCCGCCATGAAGCCCGGCTACAGCAAGCTCCTCATCAATGAGAACGTCATCCCAGACACCAATGCCCAATGGGAGGCTACTGGTCTGGATATCATGATGATGACTCTCCTGAGCTCCCGCGAGCGCACCCGTGAGAACTGGGAGACTCTCCTGAACAAAGCCAACCTGAAGATTGTCAAGGTTTGGAGTGCCAGAAACGGCGCCGAGAGTCTGATTGAGTGCGAGCTCGCATAGATCAGTATCTGGCACTAGAAATAACAGAAGCACCTCGGGTCACAAATGGTAGCGCCGCGAGATCACCATCGACGGATGTAGGATTTAGTGTCTGAGAAGTGCATTAATCCCAATGGTGATATATAGAAACCAAATATAACAAGCAGAATATAGCAGAATAGTTTCATAATCAAAGCTTCCCAAGCACACCCGAGTTTTGACATGTTAAACGGCGGCCGTAGAGAGACTGTTTCTACGAGACGCAGCCCAAGTCGCCCTCAAACCGCCACTACTTCAAGCCTCCTGAGAGGACAATCTCCTGGCCAGTCATGTATCCAGTCTTAGCAAACCTAGAAACACCGTAAGCTTGCTTGCTTCACTCGCTCGAAGATGAGAATGGCACGTACATGGCGACGACATTGGCGACTTCTTCAGGGTGGCCCAGCCGGCGAACGGGAATGCCAGCGGCAACCCCAAGACCCAGATCAGTCTCCTTGATGGCCTCGAGGTTGGCCCCCTCGGTCCAGGTCCTAGATGAGATTGAATCGTCAGGATCAATTGACGAACAAGACGCGTATCTATGGGCGAGTGAGCGGTCTCCCACTTACATTGACTTGGGCGCAGGAATCATGCCCGTGTACCCAATCATGGCAGGGAGCACCTGTTTAAATAAACATCAGTACGCCATCAGTCGGCACTCGCTCCCTCCCCGATCGGACTTACCGTGTTGACCGTCACTCCCTCCGGAGCGAGAACCGTAGACAGGTTGAGACCCATGGAGCTGGTGAAACATTCAGACAAAGGGCACTCCTATAATATGGGGACCAACAAGCCCAGTTCCCAGCGTACCGGACGCTTTTCCCCAGGGAGAGAGATGAACATACCTAAGCGCGCCCTTGGTCGCGGCGTAATGGCAGCCGTTGATACCGCCGCCGCGGCTCGCGATGCTGCCCACGAGAATGACCCGGCCCCAGGACTGGGCTCTCATGCCAGGCAGGCAGGCCTTGACGACGACGAACTGGCTGCGGGCGTTGACCTCCATGATCTCGTCCCAGTCATCTTCGCCAATGTCCTTGGGGTCGCGGATCCGGCGGCCCAGCCCGGCGTTGGCTACCAAAATGGAGATGGCCTTGTGCTTGGCGGCGACGGAGGGGATGGCGAGCGCATTGGGGACCAGGTCCCGGGTGGACTCGCGCGAGGAGAGGTCGGCCGCCACGGGGACGAAGAGCTGGGAGGGATGCTTGGCTCGCAGCCGCTGGGCGAGCATCTCGGCCTTGTCCTGGATTTACGCCGCGGGGAAGGGATTAGCTGTGACCAACGGGCATGATGCACGGCCAAGGGTGTGGCTGGATATGAACTACCTTACTAGAAGAGTAATGCAGGAGGATATCGCACCCTTCCGCGGCCAAGGCCCCAGCTGAGGCGTTACCGATACCGCCGCTAGAGGAGAAACCGTTAGACGAAAGTCTGCTGGGAGTATCTGTGTATGGGAGCTTACCTAGAGCCAGTGACGAGGGCCAGCCGGCCCTGGACGTTGTTGTCGAGGGGATGAAGGTGAAGAGTCGCCATGGCTGTAGCTTAGCAGAATGTAGTTCGATGTCACGGATGTATGTCGTCTCGCCAATTGACGAATCACAGATGCAGCAGCAGAAGCAAGAATCGTAGCACCAGACTCCCAGGTCACCAGACAACGGGATGGACGAGACGAGAGGATGAATTGACCTCTTCCCAGCCAGCTGCTTTCCTTGATCTATCACCATCTCGGGCCCCTCCCGATCCCCCTTCCCCTCTCTTTAGCCTCTTCCCCGGAGGTTTCCACGATCCCCGAGTTCGGGGCCCTTTCTTGTAGATCCATATTTAAGCACGACCCGGCCCCTTCCATTGGAACAGACGCCAGCTAACGAGGGACCGTCTTCCTACTGGCTGTCCAGCTCCCCACCGCTCACGAAGGGTCTGGAAAAGAGTCAGTCTGCTGTCCTGCGGGGTGTGTTACATCGCATCGGCGGTGGCGGGGCGTATGAACTGGGATGAGAAACGCCCCTCCGCCTCCTGCAGCGAGGGTAGGCAGGAAGAGAAAGAATGGGATTGTGCAGGAAAAAGAAACTTCAGTCGAGGTTTTTCTTTTTCCTCGCTCCCCGCGCGAAAGCAGAAACAGGGAGCGTGCGCTGCCGGACTGATGCCTCTCCTGAGCGCGTCTCTCCCCCTTTTGGGACGTGACCCCGGCGCAGGTTGATTCAATCGAGTCTGGTGCATTAGGGGCAGTGTGTTTATGCCCCCAAGCGGGGTTCTCCTACGAATCTATGAGCGCACAGCTAGACCAGGGCTCATCATACATGAAGAGTTTGTCGCCTTGTCTCTGCCTTGGCTTGGCTTGAGTCAGAAAGGGCCGGGCTTTGGGCCATGTCTTTTCCCATCGAGGGCACGAGCGTCTATCTTAATCCCGATTGCCCCGTCTTTGGGCCGCCCCGTGCGTCCTTGTTCAGGTGGCTGGCTTATGTAGGTATTATGTATGTTGGTCGTGCGGCGGGACTTCTCAGGTGGCACGTTCGTCCACGCAACCCGATCATGCACAGAAATCCATTTGGAGCAGGCAGCATACGAGCAGGACGAAGATAATGACGGAGGCCGCCGAGCAGGGTCCTGGTCTTCGTCTTATGGCCGACTACCCAGGGCGATTGGATGGGCATACCAGCTCAATTGACGAGAACTTGGGTCAATGCGGCCGCGATTGCTTCATCGGGAGGTCTGCTTTGTCTGTCGGTGTGGCCAGCGACGGTGAGCAGCGATGCAAAGCCGGGGGAGAGCTTGTTGTTTGCCTAATACCATGAGGCAGACCGTCGGCGTTGCATCTGATCTGCTGCGACACCTCAATGCTGTGGGATTGCGTCAATCCTGCAGCGAATCATCCATTGCAACCAACTTTAATCATCAGCCAACCCTCCCGGCTGATGTGCATTTACGGGAAGAAACATATCACGACCAAGAGGCAGAACAATCACGCGCTGGTCTGTGCCCCCTTTTCCAGCCGACGGCCCGGCAGCTGGCCCTCGCTCCACGGCACTCGTTTTTCCTCTTGCCCTCTTCACTTTAGGTTGCACGTCCGCTCATGTATGTATCAGATGATGCTAATTGGGGGCCGTTGGTCGCCGCCATGACAGCAGTCGGGACGCACGTCCATCCCAAAGAGATGAGCTGCGCGACCCGGTTATGTGGGTGTGTGGCAGAAGAGGGAAAGGGACGGAAAAAGAAGAGATGGAGCCCAAAGAAGAATGCCTACTGTGTGGTGGGAAACGAGAAGGGCTCTGTCACTGCTCATCGGCCGTAAGCGGGCGAGGCAGGCCACAGCGCCGGCCCAGGACGAGGATCAGGTCTGTCTTGTGTCTATCGTGTCCCACCATGGCTAATTGCCTGCTTCCTTCATGCGGGCTGCGGTGGGGACGGTGCGTGCGGCCTTGGTCTCACTCTTCTCTCCCGTGAGGACGTACGTGAGTCCCTCCATCCGCTCGCTACAACTGTGATTCCAGCCTGTTGGTCCGACCAATATTGCTGCGCGGAATTAACAGACGCCCTCCCGTGTCCATCAAGCCCTCTTTGACGCCCGGATGGATCGATAATGGGCCCATTCTCTGCCCTGTGATGGAGCCGTTGTCTGCCAGTGTGGCCGGTCGGTCGGTCAGTCGGCGTGGTCTTGGATTTTTTATCTCGTCTCCCTCTTTTCTTTAAATAACACATTTCTGACTCGTCTCTTTCCCCCTTCTTCTTCCCTCATCAGCGGGAGACTGATTGTTTGGTCTATTCTACTTCATCTTCTCCCGGCCGCATCCGCCACAGTCGATGCCGTCGCCATCACCAACACCATCACCGTCGTCACTCTCGCCGCCGATGGCCATGGACGCCTCCTGGGCCTGGGGCTCCCTCCTGCCCTCTCCCGTGGTCCTGCTCGCCATCGTCTGCCTCGTCTTCGCCGCGCTGCTGTACCAGGTCTATCTCTTCGCCCTGCCCAAGCCCATCCCAGGAATCCCATACAACGTCCACGCCTCCAAGCGCCTGATGGGAGACATACCAGACGTGCGCCGCTCCAAGCACATGCGACAATGGGTTTGGTCCCAGCCCCGGGCCCACCGTGCCCCTCTGTCTCAGGTCTTCGTCCTGCCCTTCAGGCGCCCGACTGTCATCGTCACAGACTACGGTGCCGTCGTGGATATCCTGGCCCGTCGGTCGCGTGAGTTCGACCGCGGCCAGCGCATCAGGGAGATTGTTGGCCTCATCGCCCCCGAGTTCCACTTCACCATGGAGACCAAGGAGGAGGGCTTCAAGGCTCACAAGGAGCTGGTCAGGGACCTGATGACGCCGCGGTTTCTCAACGAGGTAGGCTGCCTCTCTGTCTCGCTTTTGTGGCGGTGAGAGATAGAAGAGTACTTTGACTAACAAGCATCCCTCGTGTTCAGGTTTCCTCGCCTCGAATATACGATGCTTTTGCGGCCCTCGTCCACCTCTGGCATGAGAAGAGCACAAAAGCAATGGGACAGCCCTTTTGCGCCAGCCATGACCTGTACATGACCACCCTTGACTCCATTTGCAGCGTGGCCTTTGGCCTGGACGCGTCGAAGTGCTCGCTCACACGGGAGATCGACCACGTCCGATCGCTGCCCATGCCTCTCGCCAGCCCAGCACCCGGACCACAGGTGTCCCCCGTCATCAGCGACGCAAGCCCCGTGGAGTTCTCGCGGCCCGAGCCAAACCCGGAGATCGAGGCGCTGCTGGACATCCCCGAGATGCTCTCCATCTCGCAGAAGAGCGGCTTCCCGTGGATCGCCCAGAGGCTCGCGCTCCTGCGGCCGAAGCACGCCCGGGCGATGCGGAACCGGCAGTCACTGATCGACACGCAGACGGAGAACAGCCTGAAACGGCTGTTCGCCGGTGGGGAGAAGGAGATGCAATGCGCATTGGACTGGATGCTGTGGAGAGAGATGGGCAAGGCCAAGAAGGAGGAGAGGAGCCCCGACTTCCACTCCCCGGTCATTCGAGACGAGGTGAGCTTTTGCATTAATTCTACGTAGATCTCGTCATGCACCGCTAACTAAAATTCTGCATCATAGACCTTTGGTTTCCTGCTGGGAGGCCACGATACCTCTGCGACTGTTCTATCATGGTGGGTCAAGTACATGGCTGAGCATCCGCATGTCCAGACTCGACTTCGAGCCGAGCTACGCAATGGCCATTCTGCAGCCATGATGGAAGGGCGGTGGCCGGCCATGGAGGAGATCATCTCCACGCACATCCCGTATCTTGAGGCAGTCGTCCAGGAGACGCTGCGCTGCGCATCCATCGTTACTCTCATCTCACGCACGACGACTCAGGATGCACAGGTTCTTGGATACCATATTCCCAAAGATACCAGCATCCTGCTAGCCTTGACAGGCCCCGGCCTCACGGAGCCTTCCCTCGATGTCCCTGCCACGCCCAACCTGGGGATGAAACCTTCCCCAACCTCACAAACGAACAGTCCCCCGGCTTGGGACAATGCGGACGTTCACCTCTTCCGTCCAGAGAGATGGCTCAAAGCCGATGAGGAGAAGGGTATCGAGGTGTTTGATAGCCGCGCCGGCCCCATCCTCGCGTTTTCCACCGGCCCGCGAGGCTGCTTCGGTCGACGCCTGGGAGAAATGCAGCTCAAGACAGCCGTGACGCTGCTCATCTGGAACTTCGAATTCGGAAGCACCGGACCCCTTGGCGGCATGGAGATCAAGGAGAAGTTCGTCAACATGCCGAGAGACTGCTACGTGCGGCTCAAGCAGACCTAGAAGGACGAATTGAAGGAAAATAGATCTGTGATGAAACCAGATCATGGTCGGTCGTTTTTATGAAAAACAAGTACGGTTCTAACTAATACCCTACGATACCGGAGGCAACGGTAATTTTCGAGATGCTTTTGGATAAAGCAATGACGTTATGAAGAATGGTTTATAGAACGTTGTGTTTCTCTTTGTGAGGAGGAAACGAGTACATATAAACTTCATGGGCGGCTCTAGCGCTGTTTTTTACTAGGTATACGTGTCACTTGACTTTCACTTGGATGTTATGATGGGAATCAGGAATAATGAGCTTTAAGATGATCAATTAAGAAAACAAGGATGTTTCATTCTCTAGGTTCTAAGTTCCCTGGCTGCAACTATCTTTAAGCTAATCAAAGACATGAAGGTAGTCCTTCGTGATAGCTGCAGCCCCTGAGTCACCAGATTACAAGAAGGAAGGGTTGGCATTGGTGAGCAGCTGCTCAAAGTACGCCTGGAACCACGTGCCAGCCTCTGGTGCCGGCTGAAGAGCGTCGGACAGCCCGCAGTGGTAGTCGTACCGGGCAGCGCTGGTATCACTCGTGCCGTCACACTCGCCGCCTGGCTTCACCCATACGAAGGCGTCCAGGAGGGCATCACCCGTATTGGCACTGGGGCGAATACCGAAGCCTGTGCCCTTGGCATTGCACCAGTGGCCCCATTCAGTCTGGCCGGTGGGCTGCTTGCCAGAGCGGCCCTGGTCGGTGATGAACTTGCAGCCGGTCCACCCGTTGCTGGCCAGCTGTGGCTCCAATGCGGCAATGTACGATTTCTCATCGTAGATTGGGTTGGGGGAGGTGTATGAGGGGGCTGAGCTGAGGCTCCAAGCATTGTAGTTGGCCACATTGGTGGCAAGACCGCGCAGGGCCTTGGGTGCGCCTGCGTCCTTGTACACTTTGGCGTACAGCTGAGCGGCGGGGGCTTGGTTCGCCGGCCAGCCGAGCCAGCCTGCGTGACCTGCATCGAGATACATGGCTACGTTTGGCAGGTTGAGCTGCTTTACGGCGTAGTTGGTGCACTCCATATACGCACTCTGAGCGTTGGAGCACTTGGCAACATTCAGGTTTGTCACGAGGTTGGCAAGGGAGTCGGGTTCTATGTAGCACATAGGTCAGCTGATGATTCAGTCATACTGGCGGACAAGGTTGCTATCAACGCACCGATGACAAGGAGGATCCGGATATCGGAGTACTCAACAATGATGTTTCGAATGGTGTCAATGTAAGTCTTGTATTTGGCAACACCACCGTCAATAATCGAGTACTCTCCGTTGGAAGCGGCAGCAGCACAGTCACGGTCTGGAAGATCGTAGACGACGAATTGGCCAGCATAGTTGCCTCCAGCCCTGTTCTTGGTGCGGATGTCCGCAAGAGTCGACCTCATGAGAGGGGTCTTGGAGAAGGTATCCCTATAAGAGTCGTTGTGAGAAAATGTGACATATATCATAGTGCCATTATATCGATCATCACTTACAGCCACATGTACGAGGGCACATTGGCAACCTTGGCTGCAGCGGTAGCCATAGCGCCACTTAGACTAGGGATCGCCAAGGTCGAAACCTCGGAGGCGTAGTACGAGTTTGCAAACAAATCGACTCCAGAGTATGGGTTTCCAGACCATGTGGCAGTGCCTGTGCCGACAGGTACGGACGTAGTCGACGTGCTGGTTATCTGGGTACTAGTACCGGTTGCACTAGTCGTCCTGGTGGATGTGGTGCTTGTTGCGAGCGTGCTGGAGCTCGACGTTGCTGTACCAGGGATGCATTGAGAATACCAGTCATTCACATAGGTACAAACATTTCCTGACAGGCAACAGGCTTCTCCGGTATAGCCATTACCTCCACATTGTGCCCTAAAGTGTGGTCAGTTTCCAACGGCAAGTTCAATGGCCTTAGTTTATAGGGGCGCACCAGGCAGCAGAGCAAGCCCGCTCTTCAAGAGGCGCACCGAGGACTCCAAGAGCCAGAGAGGCGGACAAGATAACCGATTTCGCGAACATTGTGACTGTAGGATGATCAAGCTAGCTGAACACTGTTCTGGTGTCTACTGTGCAGTCGAGATATCATCGAGGAAGGAGGGGGACATTCGTATTTATATACAAGTATGGAATCACGGCTCAGACATTTGGGGCTGTGGCTCCGGAAAGACGGATCGTAGTAAAAGCTAGATCACACTACTTTGACATATGATTTCGAACCTAGGGCTGGCATTGTTTGGAAAGGAAGTTAGCTTGGTATGGGCCAACTTCAATATTCAGTCGCTTGGGAGATTAGCCATCGGAGCGACTAAACCGTCAATCCCGCTCAGCTCTCTTCGCATCCAAAGTCATGCCCGGCACTGCAACGTATGCTCAGGTACAAGGTGTCACGCAGTATATCGACGGCATATTTGAGGGCAGACTAGGCCGGATGGGCATTAGAGATGAATCTGCCCACTTCAACGGCACGAGCGGAGAATAACTCCGGTACACAGGGCCGCTGAGAAGTTAGCGGGGCAAATGCGTTGAGCAAGAGAGGGGAGTTGTTCTGTTTTGAAAGTTGAGTTGATGCCAAGACTTCGATCGTGATATGAAACGAGGATCAGTAGATCCTTTCTCAACCAAGAGCCGGTTCCAATTCCTCGGAAGCGATCGATCTGCAGTTTGAAACAAAATGAACGCACAGGAGAACGCTGATCAGCACAAACATAACATCAATGCTTGAAGCCAAGAGCATCAAAATGGTAGCTTTTTTTCTATCCCGCTCCGGAACCAGGGCTCCGTTCCAGATGAAGCTTAATGTGCCTATTCCACCATTAGATATCAAAGAACGCCTCGGGGGCCTAGGTACCACTTTAGCTGCGTAGCATCGATAAGGTTACATTTTCAATAGTTCGCGAAACCCAGTCCCGGATCCCAGAATTATTCCTTAATGGCATGACCTCGGTACAAGCAGCGTCCGGTTTCCCAAACCAGCTCAGCCTGGATGAGGGTGAAAATCATTTCCAAAGGCATCCGCGATTCGCCAGTGTCTCGTGACGAAATAATCATTGGAGATACCAGATGTCTCCAAAACTCCAAGGTGGATATCAATTGTCGTGTCTTCGACACGATATGGAAAGACCATCATCACCACCATTGCCTGAGCATTGATGTGGACTGAAAAATCGACATGATAGCTTCCAAAGACATTTTCGTCTGCCGCCTCCATCAGTCCACATGCCCCAAGCTTCAACGTTGGCGATTGGAATTCTATTCCGTGCGACTGTTTACCAAAGCCCAACACTCTCGAGAATGGAAATACCGTCACAGGCCGTCGCGCCCTCGGAGATATTTTGAATTCGGGAAGTCTCTTCATCTCAATAATTTCCCCCATAACTTGTTTATCAACCCATGGGATTTCTCGTCCGGGATATTGTTCCGATTCTCCATGACCCAACGGACCTCTCCAGCGACGGCATCTGGTCGATCCCGGATCACATGGTGGCCGCAATCAGGGATGTGAAGATAGCGACTATTTTTCGACAGGTCTAGTTGCCGTTTCTTGAGTCTCTCGTCCTCCTTGTCCCAGGCGTCCACCATAGCAGATTCAGGGCCGTTTCGGATGTCATTCTCCAGCTTCTCGTCTCCGTGAGCATCGCGTATCTTTTCTTCCAACTGCTTCATCTTCCCAATCATCGAATTGGCTCGAATGACACTGAGTGGCTTCGTGCCCAGGATCGTCCGCTTGTATTGGCGTGCCTCCATTGCCGGATCCAAACCCGTCTCTTGACCTGTCTCAGCGAGAACCATGCCCACTACGTCGCTTGTTCGCTGCTGTAAGAATTCACGTGCAAAGTTTCCTCCATATGAATGTCCGATTAAAACGTAAGGAGGGCCGAGCTGCATTTCGGCGAGGTACTGAAGTAACGACTTGGTAGAAGCTTTCGAATCAGGATTGGAGGGTCCGCGGTTATATAGGAGGACGTGGTATGAAGACGCTAGTAATTGTGCCAGCTCGCCCCAAGACGCACATGAGTCCCCTGATCCATGGAAGCAGATGATCAAAGGCGATGTGGAAATGTTTGAATCATCATTTGGTCCCAAAACCTGAGCTTGTTCTTTGTGGTTGATTTCCATTGAGAACAAAAAAACGTATAGAGACGATCCACGCGTGTATTTTCTTTTAGAAATAGATTCTTTCGTTTTTATCTAGACTTCTTGTATTTTTGGAAAGCTAGAAGGAGGAAATAATAAAATTCAGGAGCTCTAGGCAGCAACGATGAGCATTCTGAAGCTTGGCCTAGGGTAAGTTGGTAGGTTAAGCTTATGTGACGCGAGGTTGGCCCATAAAATTAAGCGATATCGATAACGGCACTGATAAGCTGATAGCGCACCCGGAGTTTCTTGGTTGCGAAGCTCATCCAGAATGCCACGTCGTTCTCTCCTCATCACGTTGACAATCCAGTTATTCTTTCGCCCTTGAGACGGCCTCCACGATACTGAACTGAAACCGCTTCCGAAAGGGCTACGAACTTCGAACGCTCAATACCAACAATGTACTATTCCGCGAGGGCTTCCGACGACCATGGGTCCGTCTGCCTGTCCCAATTACTCATGCACTGCTAAAATACGAACACTCCCGATCGTATACGTATTCGATCCGCCATCGATTTCCCCTTAAACGATACTCGAGACGAGGAATATCTTCTATTGAATGTCCTACTTTAGAGGAATCCAACAATGCGCCGCCGCAGCCGGCATTGGGGATACTCCAACCGCTAGTATCAACACCAATGACGATGGTATAAACCTCCGTTTCCGACATAGCTTTTCCGACAGCTACTCCTGTCTTGCCGATAGCCTAATATTGCTAGAGATAAGTCATCGTAGGCATGCGCTCCACGGGTGTTCAGCATGTTTGACTTATGCCGATCGATCTTTATATCCCAACCTGCAGAACGTTTAGAGCGTTGTACAGACCCATCGTGAATCTGAAAGCTTCATTTAGGAACATGAGGTTCTTGGGGGCTGGATTTCTTCCCATATGTATCCTCCAAACGAGCAGGTTCCTGTAGGGAAAGCAACGACAAACTCGTTGAGCCTATCATGACGGGACGTGAGGAAGCTGCCAATGGCTTTGAATGCTGGCAAGTTCTAGCTAGAACGTAAGGTGCTCGGCCATCGTCCCTAAGCGTCTTTTCCCCATTCCTTCTCCTCATTTCTTGGCTCACAGCTGGCTGCTGCGCCGTTGACGGTGATGATGCAATACCAGGGTTGTAGGAACACGAGAAACGGACGAGACCAACTCATCTTGCCTGCTCCCTCGCGCTTTCAACGAAATTGTGGTCCGAGTCTCCTCTCGTTTCTGCGGACAGATGGATCGTGATGTTGTAGATGAGTCGGTTAGCCTTGATTTCCTCACCTGCCGGTTCTCGTAGTTGTCCCTTTGCCGCATTGACGCCCAACGCGGGTCGACTTCCGGACCGTTTGTCTGATTTGCGTCAGGGACAGTACGAGGGTCTGCTGGCTCTGATTGAATCGGCTGACTATCCGGCCCAGGAAAATGCCTTGGCACTCCTCGGCGACCTTATTTCACCATGTTGCAGGGTTCGCGATGTTCGTATCGCCTCTAGGGCTACGTGAATCTTATGTCTTGGCTATGTTGGCTCCAGGGCCTCTCTTTTGCATATTTCCACCTTGATGGGATCGAGCTTCCGGAATAGGCAAGCGGGAAGAGATGGTGGAAGATGAGGGACTGTCTGACGACATCCATCAGCTGGAACCTCTGCCAGCGTAAGGCATGACATTGCTACGCTGACCTGCATGGATCCGGAAGGTGGCATAGCTGGAGCCGATGAGCTCAACTGAAACTCAATTGCCGTCATTGCCCGGGCCAATCAGCACTGAAGGATGTCATTCTAATCATAGCCGCCTCTCCACGAATCGTCCAATGCCGGAGTCGACTCCAGTTTGTCAGCGATCACCCGCCTATAGCTCGAGAGCAAGCTTCTTTTACGGCAGAGCACTTCTCCCCTGTCAAAGCTAGGGTGGCAACTGTGAAAACCTTCTTTTGGGCAGTTTTGGGCAAGATCGGCAAGCCGTTGATGGTTCATTCGATGCTCGTCTTGCGCTATCCGCGAGCAACAGGAATATGTGAGCCAGCGAGGCTCACTCATGGCTTGGCTCCTTCCATATTCTGAATCTGCCGCGCAAAGGGACCTGTTGATAGTTGACGCCATTGGTAGCTTTTGCGCCGAGCCGACCATTTTGTGCAATTACGTCGACGAGGGGTCAAATTGTTTGCTTTGGCATCATGAGAACAATAACAGAGTAGTCAGTTTAGGCCAGGACTGTAAACAAGGTCTCGTTGAATCAAAAAGTACAAATATCAACTGATTCCCCCGTTCTGCACTCGAGTTTTGTTCCTGACAGCCTCATCATCTCTGGTCTCAAACACTCTTCCAAGCTTGATACTACGGTTTTCTCCAACTGATTTACTCTATTCACCATGGCTAACCTTCGCCGTCTCGCCGTGAGCCTGGCAGCTTTCCTGCCGCTCGCTCTTGCTGCTCCCGCCGCAGTTCAGAAGCGTGAAGTCATCCCCAACAAGTACATTGTTACTCTGAAGCAGGATGCTGGCAGCTTCGATGCTCACATCAACTGGGTCAATGACATTCACGCCCGAAGCCTCTCTCGCCGTGACACCAACGGTGTTGAGAAGGAGTACCACATTGAGAACTTCAACGCTTACTCTGGAGAGTTTGACGAGGCTACCATTGAGGAGATCAGGAACAGCCCTGAGGTAAGTTCTCTACTATAGCACTGTTATCACGACGAGCTTGCATTTCTCACAATCAATAATAGGTTCTCGAGGTTGAGGAGGACCAGGTCTGGTACGTCCCTGAGATCACCAAGGAGGACACCGTTGAGATCCAGGGCCGTGCCTTGGTCACCCAGACCGGCGCTACCTGGGGCTTGGGAACTGTTTCCCACAAGGCCTCCGGTTCCACCTCGTACATCTACGATGACACTGCCGGCCAGGGAACCTATGCCTACATCGTTGACACTGGTATCCTCGAGACTCACAACGAGTTTGGAACCCGTGCCAGCACTGGCTACAACGCTGTTGGCGGCAGCAATGCTGATACCAACGGACACGGCACTCACGTCGCCGGAACTAGTAAGCATCCCTAGAGTTGTATTGATTGCATAGTATCTTGATCCTAACACTGGCAACTTCATAGTTGGTGGAGCCACCTACGGTGTTTCCAAGAAGACCAGCCTCGTCGCCGTCAAGGTCTTCCAGGGTTCCTCTAGCAGCACCTCCATTGTTCTCGCTGGTTACAACTGGGCTGTGAACGACATCATCTCCAAGTCCCGCCAGAACGTCGCTGCCGTTAGCTTGTCCCTCGGTGGCGGCTTTTCTTCTACCTTCAACAGTGCCGTCAACAATGCTTTCGCTTCTGGTGTCATCTCCGTCGTAGCTGCCGGAAACGACAACGCCGACGCCGCCAACTACTCTCCTGCCTCCGCTGCTGACGCCATCACTGTTGGCTCTATCGCCTCCAACTGGGCCCGCTCCAGCTTCAGCAACTACGGTGCCGTTCTCGACATCTTTGCCCCCGGAACGTAAGTAACTCTTCTCTGGTCCCCCGTTTTGAGTCTTTGTTGGCGCCCTACTAAACATTGGTTACAGTTCCGTTCTCTCCTCCTACATCGGCAGCAACTCCGCTACCGCCACTCTCTCCGGTACCTCCATGGCTACTCCCCACGTTACCGGTCTCGTTCTCTACCTTCTGTCTCTTGAGGGTATCAGCTCCTCCGCCATCCCTGCCCGCCTGACTGCCCTTTCCACCAAGGACAAGGTCACCAGCCCTGGCACTGGCAGCCCCAACCGCATTCTCTACAACGGCAACGGTGCCTAAATGAATATGCGCGGCGCCCACCGAGAGGAAATTCTACCCCCTTTTTCAGGGTAGCACAAGAATCCGCTATCAACTTGGCTTCGGCAAGTGAGAAACCTCTCGGATATCGAAAGATACATGATCCTCTTTGAGGGTCTGCGCCTTACAATGCTTGATTTTTATATGAGAAAGTGATGATGAGGATGGATGATTTCTACGGTCTACTTTATGAAAGGCCAAGGCTTGGATAAACCGATAAGTTTTAGAATAGCTTTTGACCTCCATAGATGATATATGAGAATAGAAGCCCTGCGTGGGGCTACGAGTTTTCTATCGCATGTTGATCATTGCATCGTGTACGCGGGGTCTTGAACATGAATCAATTTTCCTGCCTATAGTGATGAAATGGTTTCCTAGGTTGAATGACCCTGAGGTCGACTGGTCTGAGAGAGCTAAGATAGCCCTTTTCCAACATCCACAAGAATCTTAACATGGTTTTCCTTGTCCTCGATCAGAGTGCGGAATCCTTCAGCTTCAACTTCATTTAGTGCGATTGTTTTTGTGATCATTCCGGCTGGGACTATTTTGCCTGTTCACACATAGTTAGGGTTTATCGGAAATATAAACATTCTAGGGGTCAAATGCTTACCTGCTGAAATAGCCTCGATGACGGCTTCAAAATCTCCCAGGCTATAAGTTGCACTGTTTTGCATTAGTAGAGAATTTGAGATTAGAAGAGCGAAGAATAGGATCTTTGAGCACTTACACTCCCATATAACGTCTCTCCCGAAAAACAAGTTCGTTCATCAGAAGCTTCGCCTGCTTATCCCAGACGGCAATATTAACCAGTGTCCCTCTGGCCTTGAGAGCGAGGAACGCGGTGTCCAAGGCTACTTGAGCCCCAGCTGCATCGAAACCCACGTCGGCCCCAAGTCCACCAGTAAGCTCCAGAACCCGCTGTACAATATCCTCCGCGACAGGATCAATAACATGATGCGCCCCGAAGTGTTTCGCGAACTCCCGTCTTTTGCTGCTAACCTCGCTCACGATAATGTTTTGGCACCCACGGCCCGCAAGCACCTGGACGACGGCGAGACCAATGGGACCCCCTCCAAGGACGAGCGCTGCATCGGAATTCTGATACGGCGAGATATCCACCGCATGCCATCCTACGGCGAGCGGTTCAACAAGCGCCCCAACTTCCAGGGAGACGTTGTCAGGAAGCTTCTTGACGCAGGACTGCGGCACTACGCTGATCTCGGCCAGGCCTCCGCCCCATCCGCTCAGTCCGATGAAGCCGTTCTTATCACAGCAGTTGTGAAGCCCCCGCGCGCATGATCGACAGTCGCCGTCGTAGATGATGGGCTGAACGCAGACTCGGTCGCCCTTCTGGAAGTTGGTCACATCGCTGGCGACCTCCTCCACGATCCCAGAGAACTCATGCCCGATAGTGAGAGGGTACGTCTCTTTCGTAATGGGATGGGGATGCTGGGGTTTGGGAATTAAATTCGCCCCCTCGAGATATTCGTGCAAGTCGGTGCCGCAGATGCCACAGAACTTGGGGAGGATTTTGACGGATCCCGGTGTGAGTTCGGGGGTTGGGATAGAGTCGAGACGGATATCTTTCTGACCGTGGAACCGTAGAGCCTTCATGATAGGTAGACTTTCGCAGGGTTTGCTTGTTGAGGAAGATGTATGTTGAAAGTTTGTTTTGTATGGGCTGTGAGCGGGGATAGTTGAGAGGAGACGACGTAAGACATTGTGCCGTAGGATTGAAGTTGCTGGTAATATTCTAACTTTGGCCGTTGGATTCAATGAACCTTTCTTCGGTATGCCGAATCCGGGTAGTCACTAGAATCGAATACGTACCAGATCAGCCAAGGTCATATGCGTGACTGAGTGCCAAGTGCGGGGTCCATGTCCTGGTCTCCCCCGGCCAGATGGGACTCGTGATGCTTGAATCACAGCTACATCGACTAAACTATTCGTAATACATACCGAGCAGTGGAGCTCGGATGGAATCGATCTGGGGTAAACTTGGCCCGAGCCTTGGAGGATGCAGTTCGGTGGATCTCCGCATGACATGGTATTGCCTTCCAACTGCTATATTATTGCTTTGGCGATTGGTTGGCGGCGTCTATCAACTATCCTAGTCAGGCAGTCACTCGGTCAGTTGGGTAAGCCGATGCTCGGTCTATCTAATATGTGGCCGGTACGACGCTTAGACGACCCCCATCCGTGATGAGGACATTCCCATTGATGTACGCCCCGGCTCTGCTGACGAGGAACAGCACTGCCCCCGCAATATCCTGTGCGTCCCCAGCCCTTTGCTCCGGGATGATGCTCTTGGGCCATCCCTCCTTCTCCCGCTTGGCGATCACAGTAGCTGTCATCTCGCTTGGGTAAACTGCAATAATTCGGCATGGAGTCAGAGTCGAGGCGTAGGCATAGCTCGGGAGAGAACAACTGAGACAACAACTTACAGCCGGGGGCAATGATGTTGGACCTGATGTCGTATGGGACCAGTGACGTGGCCAGCTGCTTGAAGATATGAACAACAGCGGCCTTGGATCCACCATATGCATATCCTTGGGTAAGCGAACGATTGAAGGCGCCGATACTGCTTGTGGCAATCACTTGACTTTTCTGAGTCACATTCCCTCTCTTGTTACCTTCACCGAGTAGCTGGAGAAAAGCAGCTACCGTGTTGAACGCCCCTGTGGTATTGGCAGCAAATGTTTCGGTGAATTCCTCTGCAGTCCAGCCCCACAGATGGTTTTCGAATTCCTCAAGACTGGCATTAGGCTTGAGCGTCTTGATCGACGGCCCCCCTATCCCGGCATTTGCTATGACAAGGTTAACATAGCTATGTGCTGTTTTGATCTCTTCTGCCGCCCTTTGAAGATCGGGCTTGCTGGTCACATCGCCTTGAATGGCATGGATGTTTCCGTGCTTCTATGTAGATGAAAGAAGGTAATTTAGTCAAGACAATCATCTCAGCTTGTATGGTATCCTCATCACTCACTGCAGTTTTTGCGGCCTCCTCTAATACTTCTTTGCGGCGCCCATAAATATACACGGTGGCACCGTTGGCTTCCAGAGCCTGTGCAATCAGAAGACCAATCCCTGGGTTTGGTCAGAGGGATTCTTAGATACGAAAGTGATTGGGCCACTCACCACTTCCGCCTCCAGTGACAAAGGCAATTAGACCCTTGACGCTGAATAGGTCATTGGCTAAAATAGACGAAGACATGGTGATGTGATTGATATGTGGTTGCATCCCATCACATTGAGTCACATAGGCCTCTGTGAGTGAACATATATACCTCTAGGCCCGCTTTAAATATGACACAATTCCAGTATATTATGGCGGAATAAACATTTGACGCATGTAGATTTGATTATATATCTTCTTATGGCTAGCCTGGGGTTGCCGTTCGATTGGAGCAACTGCGCAAGCATGTAGTGCGGGAAGCTTGGCCAGAAATGCTGCTATACATGATCACATACACAACTCAACACACCCCAAGAATAAAAATGCCTTTCAAGGCACTACTTAAACTTTAATGCAAGAAATAGGCATGTGAAATAGTAATTGAAAATAGCATAGTGGCCTACTTGAGCAGGCAGCATACCGTCGTTATTCCCTCGCACAGGTGCAATAGTGGCACGGCTGGTAAATTTCACCACAAGGATCAAACGAACCTGATTTATGAATCTCATTCTTTTCTAATAAATGCTTCAATGTTTGAAAACCTAAAATGTCCGCCTTGTGGTAGTGGCTTTTCTTATCTTGGTCGATACATGCTTGTGACCAGTTTCACTATTTTTGAGAATCAAGCCATTGCTTGAGCTTCTCGCCGTCCCTTGGAACGAACCGAGCTCGGAATCCCCTGGGCGTTCCAACAAAAGTAAAGCCCTTAAGGCCTGCAAGAGGGTCAATTGCTTCCGCCGTTTCGCCATCGGCAGGAAGTATCTGAAACTTGGCGACGAGATGCAAGAATACGGTATACAAAGCCTTGTGCGCGAGGAGAGAGGCCACGCACATCCTGCCTCCTATTCCAAATGCGTACTGATGCGCGGCAGCGTCGGGAGCATCTGGAAGCCATCGCTCTGGTGCAAATACGCCCGGCTCTCGGAAGGCAGTAGTATCTGCAAAAAGGGACCGTTAGTTCTGAAAGTGTGCTAAAGGCAAAAGGTGCAAGTTAGTTCTCACCTCTGGTGCAAGCCCAGCTGTTTAGGAAAACAAGAGTGTTGGCGGGAATTGTAGCCTGTCCCCAAGTGGCATCCGAATATGTTGCTTTAGGCAAGGCGAGTTTCAGGACAACGAAAAATCGGGAGATCTCCTTGGTTAGAGCATCAATGTACTCAACCTTGCTAGAGGCGTAACTGTCCGATGGAATGTCTAAAACTCCGGCGTCTTTGATGGCGTTGTAGGCTTTCTCTTGAATATCCTGGCGATGGGCAAGCAGAAGAATAGCCCATGCCATTGTAGGTTGGTTTGAATCCGCACCCTTGGGATCGAAATGTCAGTATGAGGCCGTGATCATAATTAAGAAGCATGCATGCTTATTTACTTACTGCCATCATACTCAAGCTGACGCTGATCAATTCCTCCCGGGTCAGTGTTGCCGATTCTGGATCTCTAAGGACAGCTCCCTGAATACAAGGTCTGTCCACGCCCCTCTCCACCTCATCCTTTAGACGATTTAGCAAAACATCGTTATATTCTAGCCTCCTGCGGCCAATACTGCCAGCGTGGTCTTTGGGACTTGCCGTCAGTCTAAAGAATCCAGCGATAGGCTCCCAGTAGCGAAGCAGAGGAATGTAATTGGTGTAGTTCTTTGATGTATCTCGAAGCTTGCTGATCTCAGACTCGACGTAGATGATTTCTGCTAGAAGAGGATCCTCCGACAAGGATTTGACACTCGAAACTCTTGTCCCGTAATTGAGTGTAAGACTCAAATTCAGTGCAAAGTGCCTCACAGGAGAGCGAAAGTCAATAGCTCCGTCGTTCGCCTCACTCGCAAGATAGATGTCCCTTAGAAACTCGCGTGATTCAAGGTTGAGAATGGGAGAATAACTCTCTACCCGTGGCCGGTTCAAGGCTCCTGCTGCTAGCTTTCTCCGGCGCTTGCACGAGTCGTCCCATGGGCTGGTGCCGATGCTCGTGACGGTCTTGCTAACCTTCTTGTGGAAGACATAGAATGTGGGCCGGGAGTTCCAGGCATGACGCTCGCCGATGAAGAGCTTCTTCGCGGCCTCGACTGAGTTGACAACTACAGCGGTCGTGTTTCCAAGCTGGATTTGGAACACGGGGCCATACTTCACTGCCCACTGGCGATAGGTCTCCGCTGGAACTTGATTTCGTTTCTACCAATATTTAGCAATCGATAACTCTGAATCTTGGCTGAAACTCCGTACTTGGAATAGGTTGCCAACAATGGGCCAGCCGGTAGGACCTGGTAGGTGCTTGATCCGGCCCTGATATCTAATGAGCTCATTCCGTAAAAGATATACCACCAGGACAGCTACTGGGGCGATTAGGGCAGCAATTAGAATATTGCTTTGGTGCAGAATTGCATCTTGAATGATTGATAATGCTGTCATGGTAATTCCATAGCCTCCTGGCTTATCTTGGATGTGAGTGATGGTGATCTAGCTCACCTTAGCGTAGGTCAAGGGTTTACTATATGCTAGACGAGGATTGAGACCCCTGCCTACATTCCAGTGACCGGTTTTCGGTCAGAATGGCGAAATGGCATGATATCAAATGTGGTATGGACTAAGTCCTCTCGGCATTCTCCATCGAGTGAGGCATAATTCGTGATTTGAAATCATGATGGGGTGTATGGAGAGTGCTCACACTTGGAGCATCGAGAGATGTCTCCACGAAATCAGCCAATAGTTCAGGCCAATCCATTTCGGGTCCGGGAATTATGTTTGGTTGGGTTAAGTCCCCCGGAAATATCTCAACAAGGGCGGGGTTGAAAGCTCTTCTGAAGAACATGATAAGCTCGAGAGCACGTCAGATATGTGAAAATTGCGTCGTTGTCTTGGCTAGATTAGTGCTATACAGGGGTCAGTAGACATTATTGATGAATGACGGTGTCTAAACAGACCCGCTACGAATATTCTGGCTTTGAGCATGCATGAGGGAGCTTCTTGCATGATGTGCCTGCGAACCGGCGTATTGGTATTTGATCTTCCTTCACTGCAGCCTTACAACGTGGCTGGGCAAGGAAGTGATCCAGTGACTGTTACCAATCCGAGCTACTCATCTAGAACATCTGCAACTGAAGCTACAATACCATCTATACCTGCTTTACAGCAGGATTGTGTTTGCCGTCTCTATCCACGTTGAACATGTGAGGATTCTCCGCCGCCCCATTGACAATAGCCTTCTCCCGGCTCTCTCTGAGCATCCATGGTGAATTCTTAAGTCCCTTGTGCCAATTGCGCTCGGCATACTCTTCTTCTGAAGGCTTCTCTCCCGTAGCCTGGATTTCCTTGGCTCTGTGTTCAATCTCACCCCACACACGAAGCAGGTTTTCTCCTGCAATAAGGCGGATCTGTTCGTCTGTAGCCCCACGCTCCATGATTAACTCGATGAGTGCCGGGAATTTGGATACATCCTCGAGACCAATAGGCACATAAGGAGTACCCGAGAAGTCGCTCCCAAGACCAACACATTCCCATCCGCAGACCTCTGCAATTCGGAATACATGATCAACCACATCGTGGATGGTGGCGAGATCTGGGTTCTTCATATTGAGGAAACGGTTGACAAAAACAGCCATGACAATACCTCCGTTCTTCTTGACTGAGCGTAGTACATCGTCAGGGACGTGACGAAGATGTGGTTCAACGCTGTAGGCACCGGAGTGAGAGAAGATGACAGGAGCTCTTGCAATACTCAATGCGTCCCTCATGAACTGGTGGGATACGTGAGACAGGTCAACCATCATGCCAAGACGGTTCATTTCCCGAATCGCATCGTGTCCAAGGCTGTAAAGACCGCCATCTTTGCCTCCAGCTGCAACTGTGGATGCTGAGGTTCCAAAGGAATTATCACAATTATGAGTCATGGTGATATATCGAGCACCAAGCTCGTACATTTGCCGAATAGTAGCAATGCTGCCTCCAACCTGATGACCACCTTCTATGCCAATCATACTAGCAATACGGCCGGCTCTGAAAGCTTTCCGGACACATACAGCCGTATCGCAGTACTGTAGGTGCTCGGGGTGTTCATTAATGAAACGGCGGGTAACATCAATCTGTTCGAGAGTGTCACGAACAACCCACTGATCACAGTCAGGATTAGCACTTTGTTAATCATCCATTGAATTCTGCAATTACGTACCGAAGGGTCTTCGAAATGCTTTTGTTGTGTATCACAATCCACATACACGCTCCAGAACTGGCCCCCTACTTGGCCCTGCCTCATTCTCTTGATGTCAGTATGGCCCAGGAGCTGCTTGGTGAGATCAACTCTCCCATCATAGATGCGGTTATGCAACTCAATGCGTAACTGCCATGGAAGATCATTGTGTCCATCAATCAACCTTCAAAGGGACACTCAAGATCAGCTTCAAAACATTGATATAACACCGTCACTACTAGAAACTCACGGCGTAGTGCTGAGCACTCTTCTAGTGCGTTCTGCATAATCTGTAGGGTCCACTGGTAATGCGCCGAACCATATCCAGGTAATTGGGCTCAGAACCACTGCCAAACCTGCAGCAAGAAACGACCCTCGGGCCCACGAGCTACTTAAAAAGCCGCCGTTTCGTCGCTGAGGATGGACAATAATCGACTGTTCTTGTTGGATTCCCTCAGCCTGATCTTGCTGTGTGCCATTGGATTGAGAAGTCGACGACATGGCTGCAAACCGGAAAACGTGCCGTCTAAGCAGATAAGACGGGTACGAAGGTGACAAAGACTAATCGAGGTCATTGAAGACGGTAATACGCAGCTGCTCCCTGATATGTGCGAACCTAGAGCCCACGCTGTGGACCCCCTGGTCTTCAACCCTTCAACTCAGTTGACTCCATCGTGCTAGTGCTGCCAAGCAGATGGGACCCAACGATTGCGTGCTCCGGGTTCGGACTCTTTGCAGTACAAACTCAGCTTGCCGTATGGATTGAGGTCCACACATGCTGAGAATATGCCTTCACTGACTTGTAGCAGGATTCCCAAGTTCCCCGCTCTCGTTGTCCCCCGAGTCAGATTGTCTGGGCGGATGAACTAGTCCGTTATATTGTGTATGTCGTGCTTTCAGGGTTAAATGGCGAGTTTACTTTTGGGGTTAGAATATCTTTTCTTATTCGTCTAAGTTATTCCCGAAGACGCCAACGTTTATCTCCAGGATATGTGTCAAGCGTTGTGGGACCAGTACCACGGACTCGGGATACGCTCGGGCTCAACTCTCTGACGATACGGAGATTAACAGCGGCAGTTTGTCAGCTTGAAAAAACATGGGTGAATATCCGGAGCATGGATGAATCGGGTAGCTCTACTGGTACAGGGTGCTCTTCCCTGGCGATGAGTGCGAAGTAATACTGCATGCGGCTGAGTACTTTAACTTCGCTCAGCCAAGGCCACCCAGGATGGAGCTCACGTCTCTGCCCCTTCACCTTTGCTTCTTTTGCTTCATTTATCTTGGATGCTACTCGTGATCGAAGAAATATTCAAGCCAGGATGTCAGATACTGAGAAACAAGCAGTCCAGGATGTGGTGTCGGCCACTCCGTCGGATGATGCTTCTGGCAATGCTCCTGCGGTGAACAAGGACGTTGAGAGGAAGTTGGTCTGGAAAACAGATCTGATAATCATGCCCGCTCTTGGTAAACCTTCCCAGATCAGACCAATCTCCTCTAATAGTGTCTAGACTGATAATATCAAACAGCTTTGGCTTATCTTACACACACGTTAGACCGCGCCAACCTAGGCAATGCCAAAACGGACACGTTTGAAGCAGACCTTGGTCTGGTGGGCAACCAGTTCTCACTGCTCTTGATTCTCTTCTACATCCCTTACGCCCTAATGAACATTCCTTTCACACTTTTGTCAAAGCGCTTCAACCCCGCAATTGTCATCCCATCCATCATGACATTCTGGGGAGCCATGGCCATGGTAGCTGCAGCAACCAAGAACTTTGGAGGCATCCTTGCCGTCAGAATCCTTATGGGATGTGCCGAGGCCGCCTTCTTCCCTTGCGCAATATTCTATTGTAGCTCATTCTACACTCGCTGGGAGCTTAGTTTCCGTACAAGCGTCTTTGGTATGATGGGATTCATTGCTGGCGCTATCTCAGGCCTTATTGCTTGGTCAGTCTTCCAGTGGGACAAGGTTTTAAGAGGGTGGCAGTATCTCTTCCTAATAGAAGGCGCATTGACTGTTGGGGTGGGATTATTGCTCTTTGCTATCCTGCCACGAAGCATTCAGAAGTCGCGATGGTTTACGGAAGAGGAGAAAGCTCTCTCGCGCCAGCGCATGGAGGAGGACTCCCACGATGAAGATAAACGCTTCCGCTGGGAAGATGCCGTGAAGGAGACAAAGGACTGGACGACTTGGGTTTTCACACTCATGCCGCTGCTGTACGGAGTTGGTGTCGCCAGTAGTTCCAACTTCTTGCCTGTACGTCTATTTCAACTCTCGGGAGCACACTGGATGGGAAAGCTAACGGCTTGTAACAGACTATTGTTAAACGCATCGCCATTATTCCATCAAAAGCCAATCTCTACACTGTTGGTCCAAATCTGACTGCGGCGGCTGTTCAGCTCACGACGACGTGGCTGTCGGATCGATTCCAGCAGCGTGCTTCCATCGCAGTCGGAACACTATTTGTTTCATTCCTCGCATGGATTCTGCTCGCCACCTTGGATCTTGTAAAGCACGTCGAGGTTGGATATTTCTTGACATATCTGATCACGTTTGGAACATTTACACCAGGAATCTTGGTTCCCATTTGGGTTGCATCGAACACAACGACAACCACTGGAAGGGCCTTCCGCCTGGGATTAAACTTCATGGCCCAAAACCTGGCAGGAATCATCAGTTCCGCTGTCTTCCGAGCGCAGGACGCCCCTGTCTACAAGCCGGCTTTGATCACTGTTGCTTGCTTCCAGGCAGCGTTCATGATCATCTGTTTGGGCCTGAGGGAGCACTTCCGGAGACTGAACAAGAAGCTTGACAAGGGTGAAATTGTGCACGTGAGCTGTGGCAAAGAGCGACCCGATTACCGTTATGCATACTAGATGGCGGTTTCGTCGCTTTCGCATGCCGGGCTGCTGAGATAGAAGGTCGATATCAGATGATCCATGTACGGACTGCTCCAATGGAAAATGGAATATTCATAATAGCCTAGGGAAAGCTAATCACATCCTCAACGGGGTTTATTAAGTAAGATGAAGGCCGAGGGAGGATTGCCGAGGCAAGGTCGGAGTCCCCGCTCTCCGCACATGGCCTGCCCATTTGATCATCGATCGTACGTTAAATCTAGAATCAAGCATATGAATAGAAACAGGCAAAAATATAAAAGAAAATCGTTCTTATTTGTTTCTTACAACTTGTCAATACTACCACAACTTTGAGTATTAAAAACGCCAGAATGAATTTCGATCTCCCTCAAGACCTTGAGGACTGCATATCCAAGCTCGACACCTTTATCAAGTCAGAAATCCTCCCAATTCAGCAGGAGAATATCCAGTTTTTCGACCACCGGAGAGAGCCTTCAAGAACGCAATGGGACAATAACGGTCTGCCAACCCCCGAATGGGAGGCTCTCCTGAGCCGCGCCCGCAAGCTCGCCGATGACGCCGGCTTCTATCGCCTGCCCTTGCCCAAGCAATACGGCGGACAGGAATGCTCCAACATGTGGATGTGCGCTCTCCGCTATCATATGGCATCGCATCCGGACTATGGAGGAGGTGTAAGTCTAGCCAATGACCTGCAGAACGAGCACAGCGTCGTTGGCAACTTTCCGGATTTTCTCATGCTATACCATTGGGGGAATGAGCAGCAAAAGAATGAGTTTATTCCTGCTCGTTTAGATGGTCGCTTTGGTAAGCCCCGTCATTATCGATTTGTTTATGTGTGTCCAATATCTCATCTTGGTTGTAGTCATGACTTTTGGCTTAACTGAGATACATCACGGTAGTGATGCCACTCACATGGATACAAAGGCAACCCCGTCAGTACTTTTTTCCCTTTGTCCACTAGGAAAAAAATACAGCAAGCATTCTACGGCAACCAAAAGAGGGAATACTAATCCCTCTCTAGAATCACGCTTGCAGATGGGTCACCGGGATACAGCATCAGCGGAAATAAAAAATGGCAGACAGGTGCTCACTCAGCGACGCATTTCCTCATTTTCGCACGTACTTCAGGACAGCCGGGCTCATCCAAAGGCCTCACTGCTTTTCTAGTACCCAAAGGCACCCCCGGACTAGAAATAAACTCGTACCAGTACACCCTCAACATGCCTACCGACCATGCAACTCTTTTGTTGGATGATGTACGCGTTCCAGCGACTGCAGTATTTGGCCCCTTCGACAACGGACTCGCTGTGGCCCAGACCTTTACGCACGAGAATCGCATCCGTCAGGCTGCTAGTTCGTGCGGTGCAGCCAAATTCTGTATCGATCGCTCCGTTGCGTATGCCCGAGGCCGCATTGTGTTTGGAAAGCCTCTGGCGTCCAACCAAGCCATCCAGTGGCCCTTGGTGGAGCTTTCGACTCAAGTGGAAATGTGTAAGTGGCCGCCTTCCCTCTTATATATTAAGATAATAGACCTGACTTTGCTGGATGATATTAACAGTGCGCTTGCTGATCTTTCGAACTGCTACCGAGATGGACCAAGTGCAGCAGCAATACAAAGACAGCACGAAGACTCCTCCCTGGATCGCTATTGAGAAGCAGTTGGGGCATAAGATCGGGATGTGCAACTATTATGCTAACCGACTAGCCACGCAAGCCGCTGACAATGCCATTCAGGTCCACGGTGGCAACGGCTATAGCAGGCACCAGCCATTTGAGCACATTTGGCGGCACTTTCGGCGATATAGGATCACTGAAGGGAGCGAGGAAATCCAGATGAGAAAGGTCGCAGGCTATCTCTTCGGATACAAGGATACTGGTGTGGAGAAGGAAAAGGGGAAGTTGTAAAGTCTACATTCACGTCTATCGTGGCAATTAAGTAATATTTTACGATAGTAGCTGGTGTGTGAGGCAGGGACAGATCACATTTGTTCCATCAAAAAACCTTCTAGCAACAACAATGAAACGTTGGCCGTGTACCGGTGGGAATCTCATGAAACCGCCCCCTTCACCATCATTCTCGCTAGCGCCATGAAGAAGTTGAAATATGAAACGCATGGGAATTCACTTTTTAATGAGTTGTCACGATACGATTTCCTGGTATTGTGCCAGGAAGAGAAGGTCGTGGTAAAGGATCTGCCGCTTATCCGGTCTCGAATACTTTTATGGAACTCGGTTGTAGCTGGTTCGGGTGCTCTTCGCGATACCGCTACTTGATGCTTCTGGCATAAAGCTTAACCGCTTCTAATTTCTGACCCTAGATAGGTGAAATTATGACTGCATGTGTCAGGGAAAAGAAGGTGGTGAGTTCCCTCTGAAGCGGCAAGATCTGGACTGGCACCAGAAGATTAGCTACAATCCTTAGCTTGCTTCTTTGTAGGTCATGAGAATTATAACTGAACCATTCTCCATATAGAAATTATTTTGAGAGCTTCCCAACTGGGAAATGCATGATCGGTGTAAATGCTATATGATGCCCGCCGGGATCAACGTACAAAGATTCCTACCCGAAATAGCAATCCCCGACAGCATAAATAGGGAGCCTATGCGTTTGGAATATAGTAGCTAATTACTGTTTCCTTTCAGATAAGGTTGCCTTGTTTTGGAGCAAAAAAGCTATAAAATCCATCGTGCTCCCCCGAACCTTAGGGACTTAGATCACTCACTATTATGACAAGCAATTTCGTTCGGCATTCGAGACCTTGCGTACTTTCTAGCGTTCAATTTTGACCTCCATATCCCTGAGTTCATTCGAGATCACCATCCTCAATATGCTTTTCAAGGCCGTTATTCTCTACACTTTGAGCGTTGCCGTTGCGGCCTCGCCTGTTCTTCAGGAAAGGGACGATGTCACCTGGTACAGACCTGATCCGTCAGTCTTTGACTGCAAGAATCTAGACGCCTGGGATGAATGTGCGAAAGCGTATTCATACTGTTCAATCGCCCTTAACTATCCTCAGGAAGCTTGGTAATGGCCGCTTCTACCCCGTTGAAGAATAACGCCGCTAATCTTGACTCAGCTACCGCCACTGTTATTGGCGTTGTACCGAATGATGGATACACATTACAAGGGTGTTCACATAAACAAGGCCAATAAATTTCAATGCAGACTTGGAGCGATATATATTGCACGTTCATTTTACGAGAATTTTCAGTTTCCACGACCTAAGATGGTTCTTACCGTGTACCCCTTTCCGCAAATTTCATCAGGAATATAGATTTAATCGGTGACTATAAACATTTTTGACTGCCCTGAAAGGACTGAGAAAGACTGCTGCAAGCATTATAGTCGGTAGTAGATTTCGTGATAGGTACGCGCCCATGTACCGCGTTGTGAATATCAGGGTAGTTTCTGACGTTATTAATGGTGAGCCTATGAAAATTTATAGGAGGGGATGGGGAGTCGGAAACTTCCGTGCTGTAATGAGGATCAAGAATGAGGTGGAGAAGCCGTTTATGAACGTAGGTGTATGCATCAATCATGCTTTTGCTCCACTAATACTGTTATTTGCAACGCTCATATATGGCAGAATAGTTTCCATGGCTACAATGAGAGTTAAAGAGTAAGTACAATCGGTAACGGTCCGAGGTATCAAGTCTCAACGATATTCTTCAGTCTTTTCTTTACTGTGTCAAGGAAATCTCGGAATCAGGATCCACGCAAATAGCATCACAACCAATGTAGTGTGTTTAATGTCGTGTGTTTAATGTCGTGTGTTTAATGTCGTGTGTTTAATGTCGTGTGTTTAATGTCATGTGTTTGAGAGAGACAGATGGACTTGCACTTGACTTGTCTAGCTATCTATCTTCTTTCCTTCCTTCCTTCCTTCCTTCCTTCCTTCCTTCCTTCCTTCCTTCCTTCCTTCCTTCCTTCCTTCCTTCCTTCCTTCTTCTTCCTCCCCTCCCCAGATGTGTGCAACCTCAGCAGCTGTCTTCACGGTAGCCTTGCAGCGAAGCAGATAGATCCAGCGGCGGTTGCGATCGCCATTTGCAATGATTTGCATTTCGGGATGAGAAAAGCCAGCTAGTGGCTGTATAGTAGTAATTTCGGAAGCCACATTCGCAACAGGGCTGACTGCTTCGAGGAGCAGTTCAAAAACATCGAAATAATGGTCAAATACAGCAGTTGGATGGCGTTTCTTATCACGAAATGCCGGTCATCACAGAGTGGCGATCGCAACCGCCGCTGCCTCTAGCTGCTTCGCTGCAAGGCTGAGAAATCAGCTTCGTGGAGACAGCTGCCGAGGTTGCACACAACTTGGGAGGGGAGGAGGAAGGAAGGAAGGCAGGAAGAGAGATAGATAGCTAGGCCAGTCAAATACAAGCCCACTATGTCTCTCAAACACACGAACGTACACACATACACCTGTCCTCATAGCCCCCCCGAAATGCTGTTTGTTTGGCTGTCCAGAGCAGATCTGGCGACAGCTCGGTGGGATGTTTGAGACTTAGGTGCAATCGGCTCGAAGGCAAAGCTTGATGTACCTAATGGTCAGCAGAGCGATGAAGGCAGCGATACACAAGAGTTAACTGATCCGACTGAGAGCGGCGACGGTGGCGATGTGTGGTACTTGACTTGTGTCTGTGAAGCGACGAAGGCAGCAATTTGCGAATGTGTTGTAGAAATGGACTTGAGCTGTATGGTTCAATCAGGCCAGAGATGGTAGCCTTTAAATAGATAGAAAGCAGTATCCTAAGGCTCATGAAAGGAGTCATGCCGACGAAAGAGTCATTGCCGGCCACAGACACTGTTGATGTTGAACCTTATATACGACCGGGCGTAAGCCTCGCAGCCTGGCAAAAGGGCTGAAGTTTGATGTATTATGATACTGAGTATGGTATCCAAATTGTTGAATTCTAGGTATTTGGGAATTTCCCCTTTTTTCCAGCGGCTGCCACATAACTGTACAGCTTTCTCACTTACTTCTCAATATCTTCTTCATTACATCGGTCCATACCTGAACGAAGCACGAGAATAAGAAACTGTTCGATTCAGAACTCAACATACGGGAGAGAGTTTGAGTAGAACATTGAACCGCAATAGAAGATTCCAGATTCGACAAGGCAACACACCGAATACGAAAGGTTAATAAAAACAACTTCGCTAGCCCAAGGCTGCAGTCACGCGGAAGAAAATCCATGAACCTTCATACCGATGGCTCACTTGCCGTCAAGACGGAACTCAACACACATTATCCAAACAGTGAGCATTAATGCAAAATGAAGCCAAAAAGAAGGCCAGTGGTGAGTGATGTCGAAGAAGGCGTCGACAATTTCTAGCGGAAGGAAGATCGGTGGTCACTAGAAATCAACAAACTTGGATCTGCAGCATTGTACCCATTCTTGTTCCGGAATGAATCCAGCCGAGCAGCCGAGGGCAGTTATCCATTGCATAAACTTGACCGTTTCTGAGGCAAGGGTACCTGAACAGTTTGAGCAAAATTATGCAAGAAATACAACCAGTCCACTACTCTTGTTACACCAAGTTCCAACATGATGAACTCAGAAGCAAGCTGTACAGGCAGTATAAATGTTGCAACCTGTACTCTCCCTAATAGCAGTCTCATGCCGGATCCAAGTAGAGAGACGTCCTTCGATCAGCCAGACAAGCATGTATGGATCATAACAGTCTAGTCCACCTCGCCGCCGGATCTGTTTCAAGAACAAGGCCTATCTGGCCCAGTCACATGAAGTCCCGGTCCAAAATTATCCGTCAAGTAAGATTCATTGACATTATTTGGATCCTGCTTGATCTACACTGCGAATATCATCTTTAGGTTGTGGAGTAATGTAGCTACCAGACCATCAGGGTTCACATCATAGGTATTATAAGTCGCATCGGCCCATCACTTCTCTTTGTCTCACCTCCAACACGCGAATCCTGAAATAAGTCTTATACAATACTTTCGTTACCGAACCGGTTCGCAAACGCCATCAAAGTAGCGAGGAGTTAGAGGATACGATGAGCAGTCAAGGCCGAAAAGACGCAAGTGGCCCAAAGGGCTTTGATACCAACCAACCTATGGGCGCATGCCGTTTAGGTTCCACAACAGTGTAGGACAGTCTGTCTAAAGATGGGTAATAGTGCCATCAGGTGCTATAGGCATACTGTACGAAGCTGTCGAGTATGATCCCTTTCACCAGGCTTCCGAAGCACAACTGACCTCCTTCATAGAGCATGATTCTCTGGCGTATCGTATGATTTTCCAGAAGACCCGTCATCCTATATCGCCAGAACGGTGTCTAGAATTTCTCTCGTGTTTGTCAATATCAGAGTCGCACTACGACAAAGAGGACTGTCCACAAATCAGCGGCTTCACTCCAACCCCGCTCGATAAGGCAGCGTACGCGCCGCTCGTCCAGGTCCGGATAACGCAGGTGGGAGTGAGGCCTTGGCGTTACGACGATAAGACCCTCGAAATGTTGCAGGCGAGATTACCACGTTCGGCGGCTTGCCTTCTGAGGCCCTGTGATGCAACCTTCCCCTCAAATACCCTGTCGACAATTTAGGTGAGGAGGCACAGGTGCGCGAGTGACATGGGGGGGAACTGTTGTCGTACAATTTGGTATGATCAATACGGAAGATATTTTCCAAGTTCTGCCTCCTGGCATTGATGCGACTCGGGAATACCGATGTAAGTGGTCTATTCCCCATACCTCTGTCAACTTGACTCCCTGCAGTCCCTGGTACACGAACCTATCAGCTAAGGTGTATTGATGGATTAGATTGGACCGCTTGCAAATATATCTCTTATTGGTGGGAAAGATGGGTATACGCCTTGTTGATGCAGGAATGCATGTGTGACTTTACAAAGACTCACCTTATACAGCCATTACAAGCTTAAATCCCTGGACACGATCATGCACGAAAATCCGGAGCCCTTGAATGTGTGAAGGAGCAACTATAATCAGGATTTAGCCTAGAGCTACCTGATTAGTACCTACACATGCCGATCCTGAAACCATATCTCAGTGTAGGATGCGAGCTGCCGGCCTCAAAAAGGAAGTTCGATCAAAAGTCCTCTTATCAGTTATCGGCACGAGAGCATTCTTAGAGTGCAGAGAAATGTCTTATGAACCAATTCTTTGAAGTCTCGGCTCGTTCTCATAAGGCGAATCTCAGCATCATCACAGTTTCACTCAACGTCTCATGCTTCAACTTCCATTCTATTGTGTAATAGGCACACTAGATTAAAGTTGCAGCAACTCCCATTGTGATCATTCTGAGCTTATCAAATGAGGAGGCCGACGCAAACTCTAGGTCGATGCTCGCGAGGGATTTACAAGGGCAATCTGCACCTTCTCTCTTGAGTTGGTGCGGGGGAGTTGGAACGGTGACTACCACAATGTGACCGCCTTACAGCTCAAGATAGAGGAAATTCTTGGCATTGAAGAAGGGAGAAGGTAGTAGCAATATAATCAAAACTGCATAGGGAGAATGCGCGGGTGAGGCGAGTCGATACTATGATATTAGAGTCGAGAGATATAAAAGCAGAGGGTTCCGTTGGATGAACTATCTATCAACTCAAGTTCTATCAGGCCAATAAGATTCACAATATAGCCCAAAGCATCTCGTCATGTATTCGATCAAGTCTATTCTACTCTTTGCCGGCGCGGCTCTTGGCCACTCTCTCTCCGCACGTGAGGAGGGTGTCGCCCGCTGTGGTACTTCACAGCCCTCCGCTGAATTCGTCGAAACTTCTCGAGAATTCTCTGTGAAAGAAGCTTCGGCTCGGCTATCCGGTCTCGCTACGTCGGCTGCCTTGTCGGTCGATGTCTACTTGCACAGTGTCGCTGGTTCGACAGCCGGTCTCTTATCCGTAAGTTCTCAGGAAGCTCGAACTAAAAGAAGATGGCATTCTAACAAGGACAGGATGCCACTCTCCAAGCCCAATTTGACGTTCTGTATGACAACTTTTCCCCATACGGCATTACTCTCAACTACGCGGGCAGCAGCAAGACAGTGAACTCG